TAATATATATATATATATATATATATATATATATATATATATATATATATATACTACTATATATATATATATATAAAATTTGACCAATTTATATATATTTTTTTTAATAACTTAACCTATATCATAAACTCAAAATATATATTCACACGTATTTTTTATTAATTTTAAAATTAGTAATACTTGTTTAGATATTTTATACAAAATTTGTTTGGGTATAAAATAAAATAAAAAAGTAAAATATTACATATTAAAAATATTAATTAGTTGTTGTGAATAATTTTCAATAATAAACTTGATTTCCGATAAATGTTAGATCTTAATTAATATTTGGATGTTTGGTCTAATGATAAAAATACTACTCATTAATACATTTTTAGTGTATTTTTTACAAATCATATACTCAATTATCGAAAATTTTACATTATATCACTTGTAAGTTGACTTATTTTTACAAAAATTTGTTCAGACAATACCTACTTATGATTTTAAATATAATAAACAAAGAAATGATAATATTAATTTATAAATAATTTATTATAATAAAAATATCTTATTGTTAATTATTTTATTTTGTTATAATTCAAACACTTTTTGTTCTCTTTATTTCCTACTTTTTTTCTGTTTTATTTGTCACTTTCTTATCTTCCATCTTTTAATTAAAATAAAGACTAATGACATTTAAAATGACGTACTTATCAATTATAAGAAGTAAAATAATTAACCTAAAATTGTAAAAAAAAATATATAATTTGATAGGGCAGTTAAAAAATAAAAATAAAAAGAGATCGTATTAAATAAAACATAACATAAATTGAATCGGAATTTTTATTTATTTAACAATTTAGCCGGAAATTTAGATAGATTAATTCGTAAACTTATAAAATAATAATGTTTAAGAAATATACAAATAATATATATATATATATATATATATATATATATATATATATGTATATATCAACTTATTTTATCATATAATTTATTTAAAAATACATATTTTATTGACAATTTTTTTTCTAAATAAATTAGGACAATATGATAATTCGTTAATCTGATCAAACTTTAAATTATCACTTGTAAATATAAATAAAATTAGAATAAATATTTATCTAAGTAATACATGTACTCATTTAACATTTTAGATTATACTTGCAAATAAAATGTATGGTTTTTACAACTATAACACATTCAATCGGAGTAATAATGTAAGAGATAAATGAAACATTTTAAATTATAAAATGTATGGTTTTTACAACTATAACACATTCAATCAAGATAATAATGTAAAAGAGAAATGAAGCATTATTGATATATCACTTCCAACTTTGACTATATTACACATGATAAGAGGATGGGATGAATTTTATTTGGCAAATCTCACCACACCTTTTTAACCATCTTTAATATTGTTTTGGACAAGATTATAAATTAAATCTGAATTATAAATTAAATTTTCATTCATAAGTTTGTTTAGTTTTAATATAACAATAATTATTAAGACTTTAATTAGTACGTGGGACTTAGATTTACTCTTAGACTGTCAATTAATTTTAAGAGAAAATTCATTGAATAAAAATAAAGTATTTACATTATTCATAATAAAAAAATCTTAAAATTTTAGATTATGAATATGTTTTTATATATATTTCTCGATTTTCTTATTTTTATTCAACACGTAACTTAATTTATATTTATATAATCTAATATTAAATTATTTTTTAATGGATTGTTTTCCTTTAAATTTAAAATTATTTGCCTAGGCCTAAGATTTTATCATTATGTCTATTATATATTTAAAATTATTTGCCTAGGCCTAAGATTTTATCATTATGTCTATTATATATCTTTATTGGCATTATTCAATATTTATGGTAATCATAATTTTTGGTGAGATTTTAATAATCACATTCTTAAGAGTGACAAAATTGTTGGATTGGTGGTACAACCATATCATTTATCTGGACATGACAGATTTTAAAATTTTCACTCCTAATTTAACTTTTAAGAGATAAAATAAATTTAACTTTATGTACTATATAAAAAGATACGTGAAATAGGTTAAATTAATGAAAAATAATTATAGTTTAAATTAAATTAAACCTATTTTTATTCAACTTATCTAAGTTATGACTTGCACAAGTTTAACCCAAGTTAAATAGTAAATTTTTAGGTAGGTTGGTTTTATAGAATAATATTTTTTTAAAATAAAAATAATATAAAAAAATATATGTATTATAAATTAATTTATAAGAATTTCACTCATTCTCAAAGTAATTAAATGAGTAAATCCCTAATAACTACTTAATTATACATCTAATTATTAAGATTAATTATTATTTTATATTAATAAATTACTAATAAATAATATTAATAATAATAAAAAATAAGTTTTTAATTTTTATTTTAATATTGAATGTAAACATTTTCTTATAATTTATATATTAAATCATTGTATTTTTTATAAAAATATTTTGATTAATATAATTTAAAATTTTAAAATATATTTTGTTTTTAATTGATTTAATTTTTTTAAATCAATTGATTTGGTTTAATTATGTTAAAACCTTTTTAATTTTCAATTATACTAAAATTTACTGGTTCTCCTAATATAAAATTAGATTATAATATAAAATTTATTTTATTTTAAAATATAAATTAAACTGGATTGAACCTTGTTAATTTTAATACCTAATAATTCTAAAACTATTAATAGATCTATTATATATTTTAATTTATTATATTTATATTAATATATATATATATATATATTTAATTTTTTATATGGGTATAACATATTTATAAAATTACTGTCTAATATATTCAAAATTTATTATATGGGCAAGTAAATTATTTTTTAAATGATTTCATTTTTAAATATTAATAAATATAAAATATATTGTTTATAAGTCAATTAGTTATTAAATGATATCATTTAAAATATTAATAAATATAGAATATATTAATTAGAAAACAACATTTAATAAGTTAATTTTCATTTCAAAATAATAAAAATTTTACTTATCAATTATTTTTATTTTTAAAATATAATTATATTTTATATATGACAAATATGTGAAAATAACTTAAAAAATCAAACTAATTAAAAAAACAAGAAAACATGAAGAGAAAAAGTGAGAAAAAATATAATAATATAATTAATTAATTGGATTAATAACTATAAAAGATTGATGAAAAAAGAAGTGAAAATGAAAAATATGTAATAAAAAAGAAATGATACTATATATGATATAAGAGGAAAAAATATTTAAAAAATATTAATATTTTAAGATTTATATTTAAAATTAATAAAAAAAATAATTAAAATAAAAATTACATTATTCATCTTCATTCTTAATTTCTTAAAACGGAAAAACAAGAAAAACATGGACAAATTCGACCCCCGCTTAATAAATTCAGTTTTTTTTATCAAACTAAATACAGATATAAATTTAATTATCATCTATAACTTATATTTTAAAATGTTAAACCTGTCAAATATATAACAAATAAATTTTTGCAAAGTCTCCTCCCCACTAGCGAGCATATCTTGCTCATCACGGTGAGCATGTCGACTAGATGTTTTATATAACTATGTGATCGCAATTAAAACAAGTTATAATGATTATAATATGAAATACAAGGTGAATAGTAACATAAAATGTCTAAACAATATTTATTATTTGTGTTTTAATTAAAATAATATAATTTAATGTAATAGAATAAAGAGTTTTAATTTACAAAATATTATAATTATAAATGTTTTGTAAAGCTTTTAACTTTTTGTTTATACTTTTAATTTATTTAATAGATATCATCGTCATGAGATTCATAAAATTTTATAGTTTTTTAATAAATGTTAATTAATAAATGTTTGTCACAGCGTTCTTTATTTATTTCGTACTTATTAAAAAAAAAAAAAAAAGAAGGAAGGACAACCTGTATTGGTTCCGCAGACGGAGAGCTGTTTGATCAAATGTGAGCTAGCGTTACATGCTGCTTATTTTTCCTTGTCTCCATAGTTTTGGTTTATCCTCCCTTCTAATGTAAAGACCATATTGCCCTTAATTAAAAGGCACTAACGGGTCAAAGGATCTACCGGAATAAATCTGGACGCCCATATTTACACACCCATGTTCGCTGTCTTCACCCTTCGCTACCTCTTTCTCCCAAACACGTTCTCTCTCTAAACTAGAAACCTCGCCACTGCAACAAACACAAACACAAGCACTCAAGGTGCTCTCAATTCCTCACTCATCACGGTTTGTTCCTTCCACTGTTCCATCTTCTCCTTCTTTTAACTCGATTTCGTTTTATTACGTTATATTCTCCTTTCGATTCCACGAAACAATTTATCGCATCTCATAATTAGTCTGTTTTAGCTCATACTTCGTTGCAAAGCGCTTGACCTTATGATCGGTCTAGTTAATTTGTGCGAAGGGTTATGTTTTCGTTTTCCGACCTTTTATTTTTCTCTTTTTCCTTAGTTTGCGTTATTCTTATCGATGATTTGGGGTATTCGATAGCTTCTGCGGGTTCAGTGTGGTACGAATTTTAGGTGCGTGTTTGGTTATTGATTACGTAACTCTGTGTTTTGATTCGATTCGAATTGAGTATTCGCTGCGTTTGATATGCGATTTTTGCTTTAACTGGTTGATTCAGACAATATGGAAATAACGATTTTAAACATTGCATGGATTGTGAGGTTAGTAGGGAATTATTGCAAGAAATGATGTAGCGTATCTGGAAGACCGTTGAGAACTACTAAATCACGTCTGGGACGTGGGAGCTATATAACTCTTAGCTGATTGAAGCTATAACTTTAGCTTCTTAGTAAATGTGAAAAACCGCGTCTGGAGCAGTAGATTTTAGTATCAGTGTTTGGGAAGTTGAGAAGACTATGATCCATCGTATGTAATGGCTGAGAAATGTTTGATAATTATTAGCTACTGTTACTGAGACTTCTTAATGCTAGTTTCTAGAAGCTCCCGCGATGTACGGATATGCCTAAGGCCTTTCTATGTGTGATTTATGTGGAAGTGGTAGTGGAAGTATTTGGAGGTGTCTTCAGAGAGTTTCTGCACTGTAAACTTCCTTTTTTAAACAAACGGTCATAATCCATAAACTACATCATCTGATTTTCTTAGTTTTATTTGGAAATGATCCTTAGTAGAATTCCTGTTATGGAATTGTTTTCTCCATTTACCCCTGGGGTTATTATTTAAACTAGATTTATTAACTTGACAGTTTCTGCAATGCACCGCGTGGGTAGTGCAAGCAACGGAAACAATTCAACTCGTCCTCGCAAGGAGAAGAGATTAACCTACGTATTGAATGATTCTGATGACACTAAGGTGAACTCATTATTTATTTACTTATTTATTTTATTTGTTCCAGAGAAACATTGTTTTCTCTTTTTACATTAACTTAGACCCATTTGGCGGTTTGCATATTTTGACCTTTTGTTTTTAAGATTTACCCAATATTTACTTTCTATAATCTATCAAATCTTCATTAATAGTTCATACAGTACCTGTCTCCTTTCTTCCTGTTACTTGGCATTTTGCTTTGAAAGGCGTTATGTGATAGATTTTATTTTTTCAATATTTATTGTTTTGGTTAAATTTCCTTCAATTTTGATAGTTCTCTTACTTGCACGGTCTAGAACTGTAACTTGGCTCGTTACTGCAGCATTGTGCAGGCATAAATTGTTTATCTCTGCTTACGTCTGCATCATCTGACGGGTCTGATTATCTCTTCACTGGGAGCCGTGATGGCAGGTTAAAGCGATGGTTACTAGGTGTAGATGCAGGCATATGCTCGGCTACTTTTGAATCTCATGTTGACTGGGTAATTATTATGTGAATTTTTTGTTTCTATTTTTCTTCCTTTCCATTTGATACTTTACTTTTAACGGTAGAAAGGTGTAAGAAAGTATATGGTTGCAATGTGTAAGAAAGTATATGATGCAATGTTGGAAATCTATTTATCAATCTACGTGCAGAACATACTTCATTATTGGGGTCTTGCCATCTTGGTTATGATTATGTGTGGGCTGTATATGATGTTTTGACTAAGATGAGTGTTGTGTTTTCTTAGAATTTCATCTGCAAAAATAGGTCTGAATTTGATATTGACTTTTATTTATTTTATTTTGTTTTGTGGAGTACATCATCTGATATCCTTTCTGAAGTCTGTAATGATTTGTTTTGTTGTGTAATAATTCTAATTGAGAAGGTATGGTTGATAAGAAAAAGGCTATACAAATCCATTGGATTCTCTTGTTCAAAATATCCCAAAACTGCGAGTGCATGTTTGCAACTGAATTTGAGTATTATATTGTGAGATAAAGTTATCTCTGCAGTCTTGAACTTTGTTTTTTGGTTGTCTATTTGTCTTGTTTCCTTCTCTTACATTGTAAAAGTCATAATATCCTGAACTGTCTCCTGGACATCTTTTCCTCTTAAATATCCTCTTTTTGTCTAGTTATTTTTCATCACTAGAAATTTATGCAATTCTTTTTTCTCAATAGGTCAATATTCTTGAACTTATGATCATTCTTCAATTTTTACTTTTTTCCCCAAAGTCCAGAACCCTGTTTCATTAGCATTTAAGTTGTACCCACAAAAACGTGATACCTGCACAATGTTTAGCACATGCATAACAGCTTAAGTATAATTGAATATATAATATATAAATGCTATTTTATTATTGCAGGTTAATGATGTTGTTCTTGTTGCTGACAGTACACTTGTTTCTTGTTCTTCAGATACTACCCTTAAGGTTTGTTGATTGCTAGCTTTTTTTGTTGTTCCAATCAATCCTTACTCTTTAATAATTTCCGTGCTTTCATAATTATTTGCACCTTCATTTTTATGTTAGACATGGAATGCCTTTTCCCTTGGAACTTGTACTAGGACACTTCGACAACACACTGACTATGTTACTTGCCTCGCAGCAGCAGGAAAAAATGTAATGTACTTCAAATATTTTATGCTTCTTATTAAGTGCATTAACTAAAAGTTCATTCACTTTTGGTATATGTTCTGCATTGAACTAGATAGATACTTTGGTTGAATTATCAATGTCAAATCCATTCTTTGATTGTTTAATAGTGTCATGCATTTTAGAGCAATATTGTTGCCTCTGGTGGCCTTGGTGGGGAGGTTTTCATATGGGATATAGAGGCTGCTATCAATCCAGTCTCTAAGTGCAATGATGCTACAGTTGATGAATCTTCAAACGGTATCAATGGTTCTGGCAACCTACTACCATTGACAAGCTTGCGTACTATTAGCTCAAGCAACAATATGTCCACGACCACAACTCAAACTCAGGGATACATTCCAATTGCTGCCAAAGGCCATAAAGATTCTGTTTATGCATTGGCTACAAATGAAAGTGGAACAATTCTTGTATCTGGTGGCACAGAAAAGGTACAGTATGGTATATGCTCTGACTTGTTAATGCTTCTTTACCTTTGAAACATAAGAGGTGTTTTTTTTGCGCATATATATATATATATATATATATATATATATATATATATATATATATATATATATATATATATATTATAGAGTGCTACATTAGCTTGAATTTTGTGGGATGTTATCTCTGACCATGTTTTATTTCTTCTTCCATTTTTTTGGGGTTCTCTAGGTTGTGCGTGTCTGGGACGCAAGAACAGGATCAAAGACTCTAAAGCTAAGAGGACATACAGATAACATCAGGGCTCTGCTTGTGGATTCTAGTGGCAGGTCTGTGGAGTGGATATTTTAGTTACAATTTTCAGTTTACAATTATATTTTAAAGTTGGTAACTTGCTTTTCCTCTCTGTTATTTATAATTTCTTTATTATCATAAAATTCTATCTCTCTCTTTGGATTGATCTTTCTCATTTAACATTTCTATGTTTTCCCACAACTTGTAGATAACGTTGCACTTGAATGAAATGTTGTTGGGTTTCTTTGTATGCAGCAATGTATCTTTTTCATTGGATAAATTTGTTAATATGTCTTTTCAACAAGTCAGCAGTAATGTTTTAATGTTCATTATTACAGATATTGTTTATCCGGATCTTCAGACTCTATGATAAGGTAATGTCGCATATGAAGTAGTTTATAAGCATTTCAATTCCTTTGGTTTTGCAGTTGACTAATAATTTGTCCATCTTTCCTCACAGGCTTTGGGATATAGGTCAGCAGAGATGTGTGCATTCTTATGCAGTTCATACAGATTCTGTTTGGGCACTTGCCAGCACCCCAACGTTTAGTCATGTTTATAGTGGGGGGAGAGACTTTTCAGTGAGTGCAACCTACAACTAAAATTAACATCAAACTAATTTTTTATTGCTACATCTTGAATTTACATGACATCTTTTCCTGTTTAACTCATGAACATCATATTCTAATGCCCTATTCTTTTATATCGTAAGTTATATTTGACAGATTTGCAAACTAGAGAGAGTAGTTTGCTTTGCACAGGCGAGCACCCTATTCTTCAATTGGCTTTGCATGATGATAGCATATGGGTTGCATCAACAGACTCTTCAGTTCATAGATGGCCCGCTGAAGGATGCAACCCTGAAAAAATTTTCCAGCGAGGCAATTCTTTTTTAGCGGGAAACTTGTCTTTTTCAAGAGCAAGAGTGTCACCGGAAGGATCCACCCCTGTATGTTACATTTATTTCTGAAATAAAAATTGCTATATTAATTTTCTATTTGTTTATCTTCAAGTTTGTCACACTTGGTTCTCATAATATCAGCTGCATATCTAAATGCATAGAACAAGCATGTTAGTTTACATATCCAATATTAGTAATTTCTGTTCGTGAATATGAGAGTTTGTCTTTTAAGCTACTTTTGTTGAAAATAATTGTCTTTTGGTTTCTCTTTTTCTCACAACTAATAATTGACCTTTAATTGTCAAAATTACTGATCTAATAGGTTCCTGTGTACAAAGAACCTGCCTTAACTATCTTAGGTACACCTGCAATAGTACAACATGAAATTTTGAATAATAAGAGGCATGTGCTGACAAAGGTAACCATGATGTTTTCTGGTAATTTTATTATGTCAAGCTTATTGGCATGACCTTTCTTTGTTATTTACTTAACTGATGAATAATTTTGGTATAGGATGCATCTGGGTCAGTGAAGCTTTGGGAGATTACCAAAGGCATTGTGATTGAAGATTACGGAAAGGTGACAACTGGTTGCATTTTCGTTTTGAAACTTGTATCCCATTCTTGTTTGCCTGAAGAAGATTATCTGGCATGAAATGAATGATATTTACAAAGTTTCAACTATAGCTGATAGGACTCATTTGTGGGTTCATAATAGCTCATGATTTACTTGTGAACTATCTAGGTTTCATTTGAGGAGAAAAAGGAAGAGTTATTTGAGATGGTATGATTACTAATTCACATCATGGGTTTCACTTTTAATAATTATATTTTCTTTTTCTTGGCAAGATAACACGGTTTCCAATGATTTATTTGTTCAAGCCTGCTTTTAATTTTTCCAAATGCTGCTTTAGGTTAGCATTCCCGCATGGTTCACAGTGGATACCAGGCTTGGAAGCTTGTCGGTTCATTTGGACACACCCCAGTGTTTTTCTGCAGAAATGTATTCAGCGGATCTTAACATTATAGGCAAGCCTGAAGATGATAAGGTAATGACATCATTGTCTTGAACAGTGTACTTGCCCTTTTCTTAAATTTTAAATTATATTAATTTTTTGCTCCTAGTTTTTGGTACACCGTAACAATTAAAGTTAACTCTTTATTTAGTCGATGCTGTTGGCTATAATTGATTTGAATTTTTATAATTGTCAACCACTTCATCTTCATGGAATCCATTCCGGTCAGTGGCACATAATCATCGTACATCTTAGTTCATATTTTTGCTCAATCTGAAATGATTCCTGTCGTGATTCATAGTATAGTGGCCATGATGGAAGCATTCAAGTATTTTGGGTGTGTTGAACTATATTGCCCTAGTCTATTATGAAGTTTTATAGTTTAAAGAAACATGTGATTCATGCACATGTAATGACATAATGAAAACGTTTCATCACTTTGCTGTCATGTATGAACAATCTAAATCATTGCCTGTTATTCTACAGGTTAATTTGGCTCGAGAAACCCTTAAAGGTCTACTGGCTCATTGGTTGAGGAAACGAAAGCAAAGAACAGGATCTGCAGCTCCAGCTAATGGGGAGTTATTACCTGGAAAGGATACTGCTTCTAGAAGTCTTGCCCATTCAAGAATTGAGGTTGATGGTAGTTCTGAGAATGACAGTATGGTTTATCCTCCGTTTGAATTCTCAGTTACTTCCCCTCCTTCCATTATTACTGAGGGCACTCATGGAGGTCAGTGGAGGAAAAAAATTACTGATTTAGATGGAACCAAGGATGAGAAAGACTTCCCCTGGTGGTGCCTTGACTGCGTTTTGAATAATCGGTTACCTCCCAGAGAAAACACCAAGTAATTTTGCCCCCCCCTTTTTATTTTTTCCCTCTTTATTAATATTTGCATTAAAATATGTTATTTTAGTTCAGAGCTATAAACTTTGCTTGTGACAATTTGTATATTTTGTTCCTTTAGCATAATTGCCTAACTCTGATGATTAGATCTATTTATCAGATCCAAAAATATGGTGGTACTTAGCATGGCTTTTGTAAATGACATTAATTGGTATATGGTTAAGAAGTCATAGTTAAATGGAATATTGTCGAAGAATTTGATTGTATGAGCATTATGGCAATCTCAGACTAGTTATGTGATGCTCTCTTTAATATTTATTCTTTTACCACTGCAGATGCAGTTTCTATTTGCAACCATGTGAAGGCTCTTCAGTTCAGATTGTCACACAAGGGAAGCTAAGTGCCCCACGTATATTAAGAATTCACAAAGTAAGTTCTTATATTAATTGACAATTGGAATTAATAATTGCCTTATTGATCTTTGCATGCATTGGTAAGTTGACTTTGATCATGCTTTCCAAAAGTATTACTTGCTTTGAATTTAGTTTAGTTTTTGTGTGCAAATGTGTGTGGATTCTGTAAACATATCCTACAGGTAGATGGTACATGTTTTATGATGAATTTAACGTTTTTGGTTGGTTTAGGTTGTTAATTATGTAGTTGAGAAGATGGTGCTTGACAAACCTTTGGATAGCCTAAGTGGTGATGGTAGTTTCGGCCCTGGGTTTAGTGGTTCACAGTCACAGCATCAAACAGTTGGAGATGGATCCTTTCGATCTGGATTTAAGCCATGGCAAAAGCTTAGACCTTCTATTGAAATATTGTGCAACAACCAGGCAAGTAATATGTTGTTTACTAGTCTTAGATGCAGTCTTATGACAGTGCATGAGTATAGCATGGTTTTCTAGATACCAAGATTGAGCAGTTCATGACTTCATACTTTATTTTTCTGTAGTTTGCTTACTTTGCAATTCCTTTTATGCCTTGTAGAATCTATTTGCTAACCTGATTGCCATTTTAGTTTCCATCTTGGTGTTTGTGGTCATTGAAGAAATCACATTGTTAGAAGGCTTTAAATATGTTTAGTCTCAAATTTGAGTATTTTTTCTTTTAGTTCTCCAAATTAAAATTGCTTTTTCTAGTCCCTGAAATAAACAAAATGTCTTTTTTTTGTCCCTCACTGCTAAGAGCGTTTGACTTGTTGCTAATGTGGCTAACAACATCCACATAAAACATGATTGTCAATAAATGACATGGAAATTCTCTTTTAAATTTTTTTTGGCTAAGTTATTTCTGGTTCCTAAAATTTGGATCAAATTTTATTTTAGTCTCCAAATTTAAAAGTGATTTTTAATTCCTCAAATGTAAAAATTGATAATTTAAGTCTCTCAAATTAGAAATAATTTTTAGTCCTCCAAATTTAAAAGTGGTTTTCTGAGTTTTCTAGTTTGGAAAATATTCGTTTTGAATTTCAAAGTTCACCACGTTGAAAATTTGTACATAACTAGGTGTTTAATTTGAAAAAGATTTTAACCGGTTGAAATATCTTTCTTATTTTTCTCTTTTTCATTCTTTTCCCCTCTTTATAAGAGTGGTTTGGATGATTTCTGCTATTGCTACTACAACCACAACAATGTAGTCTCTTCTAATCTTCTACCTTGTTCTTTGTCACATTGTCATAAATGGAGTTTTAACTTAAATTTTTATTTGGCTTAATGACTTATTTCTTCTTGTTCTTTGTTGACTTTTTTTCAATTTCGTTACATTATTATTTTCAATGTTAATTTGATCCCATTTTTTTTTAAGTGAGCTAATGTATTCCCCTCCATTAATGTTCTTAAGTTTTCTAATGGAAGACTGCAAAGTGACACTAACATGACATTGAAATATGTCACATCTATACCAATATGTATGGCACATTATCAATAATAGGCACATAGATGTCACATAGGCATTAGTCTCATGTCGGCAAGCAAAGTCACATTAGTGTCACCTTATACACTTTGTTAAGGTTTCAATATAAAATCAATTGGCAATATTAGGAGTAGTCTACCATGTATTTAAACCATACCAAATGACATGAGACAAACGATGTGAGACTTCTAATAAGCCCCCTTCAACGAGGCCTGCTGGAACAGACAAAGTGTATTTTTGACCCACAACAAAAAGACAATTCTTGGCCCAAGATAATAATCGAAAAAAGACGTTGGGTTTTGATTCTGATACCATATTAAGGTTCTAACATAATTGGTTATTAGGAGTAGCCTAACATATATTTAAACCATACCAAATGACACGAGGTAGGCGATGTGGGACTTCCAACACACTTTTATCATACAATTTATGGTGGGGAAAAACATTTCCTGACTTTAAAAGAAAGAGGGAATAAACGTAATTGATAAGGAAAATAATAGCGGGGCCAAATTGTAAAATGTCAATAAATAGTGGGTCAAAATAAGTCATTATGCCCTTTAGTTTTGAGATTAAAGTATACTGGTTGTGACTAGAATGTGTGAATGCAATGTTTCCTTTTGCTTCACAAGATTTGGTAGTTTAAAATTATTCATGCAATACAAAAAGGTTCACATAGATGTTATGGGTCAATATTTTAAAATATTTTCATCCCTTAAATTTTTGCCGGGAAGTCAACCGAAACAAAAGTTTCACGGTTAGCTAAGCTTGGTTTAGTGATGGTAATTCAAAATGAGGAATCAATGTCAATTGTGACCCTTAGGCTTCCAAAGTTGATAGATCAATCCCGCCACTTATTTTCTGTAATTATTTTTAAAATTATCTTTTTTTCATCTCTAATGAATCCAGAATTATTAATGAGTTTGTCAATTATTCATTTTCATTTCTTAATTCAGTATGTAAATTTTTTAAGAGCTTTATGAACTAATGAGTTATTTTCAAATTAGAGGACTTAAAAATAACGTTTTCATTTTAGGGGACTAAAGTCATTTTAGATTTGGAAGACTGAAAATATTTTTAATTTCTGGAATTAAAAAATCAATTTTTTTTTTCAATTTGAGGGACTAAAAAAAAATCAATTTTAAATTTGATGGATTCATAAAATAAAAATGTTAAGTTCCATATTGTTATTTTAGTTTCAGGTGTCATTGTCCACGTCATCAACAAGTGTAATGCCATTAGTGCTGATGGATTAAAGAGAATATTTTCTGAAATTCAAGGACTAAGAAAAACAATTTTTAATTTAAAGGACAAAATAAGTGACCCAACTTTGAGGGACTAAAAATATTCAAGCATTGTTAGAATTATGTACTGTGGTATTTGTTTGTCATTTGCATTTGCAAAGTTGCTATTTGACCGACTTCTGGAGTATTTAATGCAGGATGAGTTGACGGATATTAGGGGCAGTACTTTGATTATTGTTTAAATATTTTTGGTTTGCTTGTCCCTAAAATCAGTGCAATTTTTAACCTGGAGTTTCTTTTAGCAGTGACATTATTCATCTTGTTAGATTTTATTATCAATGGATATCGTGAGATGAACTGATAATGAAATTGAGAAGACTGCCTTACTAAATTCTTAATCGAGTGGTAGGCTCTTCATTATAAAACTCATTCAGATATTAGACACTCTTAATTTAGCCTTTTTGACTATTAAATTGAAGTCTTAACTGTTCTTTTGTGTTACCAACTTTGTTTTCAAGTTCATATTTTTAATCAAGTTGTTGAACTTATTAGGCCTTTTTTTGGTTTGTAGATGACTATAGTATTTATTTTAATATTGTTTGACCCAAAGATTGAATGTGTTTTTACTTGATTCACACTAACTTTGCTTTGCTGGATACTATTTTTCATTTAAGTAATAGTCAGCTTTTCGGTTTGTTTTCAGGTTCTATCTCCTGAAATGAGCTTAGCCACAGTGCGAACTTATATATGGAAGAAATCAGATGACTTGGTTCTAAATTACAGACTAGTTCAAAGCAGGTGACTACAAATTGCATATGCATATGAGGTGGGTAATTGAGCTTTGCTTGTCTTTTCTGAACTACATATTTAATGCCTTTATGGATTTTTGTTCTAGTATTTATCTTATTTTGTAGATGTACCAAATGGAAAGGAGAAATAGTTATATTTGGATCCATAAAGTGATATTAGGTGACAAAGTCTAATCTTTATTAGTATTTTTGTTTCTTTCATATTGGACTAAAGTGAGCTGTACCTATTGTCTGAATGGTCATTATTGATTTTTATGCATTGCATAACCATTTCTTCTGCTTTCTTACCCTTTATGTCATTTTATCACTTAAAAGAAAAATAATTAGAAGGAAAAATATTATTTTTTTATCACTTTATATTGAATTTTGTTGTTTTCAATACAAGCATCACCTGGTGGGATAAAGTTTGTTGTTCCATATTGAACTTACCCCGTTGTTGACATGCTTCATTCATTGTGTGAAAATTATATATTTGACGAGGAGTACTAGTAACACATTGGTATAAAATTTACTGAAAACTGCAAATTTAGAAGAGACTCGTTAAATAAGTGAAACCTTCTACATTTGTGATTTTTCAACCAATAGTAAAAAGGATGTTCAGATGCTAGTATTTTTCTATATTTCATTATAGATCGCAAACTTCACTATGATTTATGTTTGATACTTGCAGGTTTGCTTGTGATTATGTAAAATGCTTTTGAGCACCGAATTCTTCTTGGGTTGCCTGCATTGATCGGTAGCATAATAGGAATTTGTAAATTTTTAGTGGTCATTATCACCAAATTTAGTGACATTCTCCAGACCTGCTTGGATAGTTTATTCTTTATTGGAGAGCTGTTACTGTAAATTTTGAACATTATCTAGCTCGCGTGTATACTTCTGCTGGACGTGGCGGTGTCTTCTGCATCTGGCTTGAAGGCTTTTAATTGACTCTGTTGAGAATTAGTGGGAATCATACTACCATAGTGGGTGATTTTTCAGGAATCAGGTAGTTGATATAGAGATGACTACGAAAACATTGTAAATTTGAATTGTGCGTTAAATATCTGGCCATATAAAATATGTTGTCCAGGTGCATATTTAAATCATAAAATTTTGTTAATTCTAATAATATTTCCATTTGTTCAAATTAGTCATTTGATATCCGGTGCTAGTTCTCAGGTAACACTATATTTGAGTTGTGTTATTTTGTCTTGCCTTAGTGTATGTATATTTGAGTGTATCCAATATGCAACTCTGGAAATATGGTAATGTTAAATAGACATTAACATTAGTTAAAACTGTGACAATACTAATTGTAGCTATGGCATGATTTGTTTGGTGATTTATATTTAGAAATTATTATCAAAATGTTGTAACTAATAATCATACGTTGTTATGCTTCTTATTTATTTTGTTGAGCCGGTACATGTGAGATTTGAAAACTGTTATGTACATAATGTGTGCCAGCACGCAATGTTTATTGTTGTCTAGTAGAGCTTGCTGTAATACAATTCATTTCAGTGCAGATTATAGCGAGCATTGTCGTGTATAGGCAATATTACAACGGTACCATGTCTTTTTTTTACTTACACAGAAAATTTCTTAAAATTCATAATGTTGTGAACTTGTGATATATGCAATCCTGTTTTGTTAAAGGACTGTTTTTGTTTGGTGAGGTGTATAAGTTTGTTTAATGCATTTTCATATCTTAAATATATGGTTAATGTATTTTCATAATTAAAATATGTTTTATTTATTTTCATATTTTAAATTATTCATATGTAATTCTTTTGTTATAGTTTTTTTTTCTTTTTGCATATTTAAAGATATGTTTTTGTCCTTTAATTTAGTTATAATGGGAAAGAAAAAGATAATATGCAAATATGTACACTTTTGTTATAATTCCTAACTAAACAAGGTAGCATTTATTAAGATATTATGAATTTTAGGGATTTAACTAAATACACTACGTATTAAAATCAAATTTTTAAGTAAGGTCATTTGAATCTGAAATTAAACAATTATTTTTCTTTCATTAATTAAACTTTTAGATTTGGTTAAGACAGTTGATAATTAAATTGTAATGTCTTTAATATTTAAAAAATAATTTAATTTTATATAGAATCTTAAATGATTTTGTAATAAAATGTTATTTAAGTAAGGAATTTTAAAAGAAATTGAAATTCAAGAAACATTTATGTATTTTTTCTTTGCATTTTCTTTTCTTTCATGTGTTGGTAGAAACATTACAAAATACTTTCATCATGGTTGAGATCATAACACTTTTGGTTCATCATTGTGTTTTTTTATTGATGTTTGCAATGAAGTTAAACATAATTATTTTTCAGCTAATAATCTAAAACTTATTGTTTTTATATAGATTATTATTATTATTTTTTAATTCATATTAATAAGGGTTCTTTTTAACAACATAATTAATGTTTTTCTATTATATCAAACATTGTTTTATTTGAGTTTATTATTTTTTTTAACCCTGAATCAAGCTTTTTTTTTTTCTTTCAATGTTAGTCAAAATTATTTCTTAGCCAGTATTGATAGATTTATTTGTTAGTCAATGTAGTTACAACTTTTAATTGATGATAATGAAACCATTTTTGGAAGTAGATGAGAGTTTTTCAATTGATTTTGACAAGGGTTATATTAATATATATATATATATATATATATATATATATATATATATATATATATATATATATAATTTAATTGACGTAGGTCAATATTATTTCTTAATCAATAGATTTATTTCATGAAGATTCAATTATGGCTATTTATGAGTCAGTTTTACAAACATTTTTAATGATATTACTAGTTCTATTTTTTTTTCTTCTAAAGTTAGTTAGAATTTAATATTATATGAGAAAAACTTTAATCTTGATTATAATTATTTTAATCAATGTATGCTAAGAGATTTTTTTAGTCCGCATAGATAAAGAAATAAATAAATAGTGTCAACCTAAATAATTGAAGTTAATATCAAATAACTTCAATGTTAATTGAGAAATTTTTTTATATAAAATAATATTAATTTATAGAGAAACCTTTTTTTTGTTTTATCTCTGAAATTTTTTTTATTGAAAAAATTATATAAATAAGTCCAAAATTACTATCGAGTTGTTGGTGATGAAATACTTGATTTGCTCCTCTTAAGCAAAATCTTAAGTAATTTTGTGGAAAAAAAAGTGATTAGAACGACAAGTCTCACTAAATATAATTTGTTATATTATGATTAAAAAAGAAACAAAATCAATTTTTTTTTGCTTTAAAATATGACGTACATATAAAAATCCAACTTTTCCACGTCTATTAAACTAAAACGTGTAAGTTTACGCAACATAAAAGTGTTTTGGACGTATACTATAATAATACTGCTTTCAGTGTCTAGTTCGATTCAACGAGATACTTTCCGTTTCCATTTGACTCAGCTCAACCTTCTGAAACGGTTCTTACGTTGCGGGTCAACAAACAAAAACCTTAACTTAAGTGCAAGGTTCCACAACTGTAAAAGTTTTTTAAAGGAAAAAAAAAATACCAGAAAAGAGTTTAGGGTGGATATTCATAATTTTTTCACTTCTCGAAAGATAAAAAAGGTATTGCAACAATCGTCACGTTTTAAAATAATTACTAGTCTGAAATTTTTGTTCAAACTTAACCACTATTGAGCTTTGAACATACTTATAAATCTCTTATTTAATTTATTGAAGATAATGAATATTTATTAACTAATAAATAGTAATATCTTTACAGAAAAAAGTCCGTCACCTTATTTATTTTTTCATACTATTTATTTATTTATTTATTTATTGGTCCATAAGTACTAATGCTCGTTACCATCAGTTGGAACAAGAATCATTGTTATCTTTATGTTATGTCTGGCACAGTTTCTTACAACATTGCATTTCAACCGCATAACGCTTCAATTTTCGTGCTGTGGCGCAATTGTGGCTACGCGCTTCTTTCCTTTCGTGTGTGTCGCTGCAATTTCGCTTCTATCACTCGTTTCTCCATTTTTCAGCATTTCTCCTCTGAACAATCACCAAACATGTGACCCGCGCACACTTGAACCATACACAACAAACGTATTATTTGTGCTTTAAACTCTCAGGAACATGCAAAACAAGGACACCGTGCAAGTGTAAAATAGTAGCCCACGTTTTTTTTCCTGGTGCTTCTGTGCATTGGAAACTGTGATGATAACGATAGCAATGAAAGAGTGAAGATTAGTTGAGTTGAGTGAGTTCGGTTCAATCTCTGTGAATTGTGATGGCCTCGGTCGGGGGTTTTCTAGTCTCACCCTTTGGTGGTGTAAGGTGCTTTACGAGGCACCGGTTTGGAGTTCGGGCTCAGAGTTCGGAGGGTAGAGAAGGCTCCACGGTGTTGTCGTCGAAGGGATCTTCGACGGTGGTGGTGGGGACGCAGAAGAATCAGAATGGTTCATTGGTTAAGGAGGAAAAGAAGGTGCTGTTGTTGGAAGTTGAAGAGAAGAAGAAGGGTGAAGCAGAAGAAGGTTTGGCAGCGCTTTGGGATGATGGATATGGGAGAAGGAATGTAGAGGATTACTTTGTTGCAGCTAAGGAGATTTGCAGATCAGATGGAGGCCCACCTCGGTGGTTTTGCCCAGTTGAATGTGGGGCCCCTTTGAAGAATTCTCCTACTCTTTTGTTTTTGCCGGGTACAAAGTTACACTTTCTGCATGTATTCATTGCGTTGCACAGTTGAGTTATAAGTTACACTTCTGTGCGTGATATGTGAGTATAAGGCTTCTAGTCATGAAATTGTTTTCCTTAGAAACATTCTGTGACATGTTCATTCCTCACACTTTAGTAACATACCTTCTATAACACATTCATTTTGTCACAGAGATCACAACAAAATAAAATTGTGCCTGGCATATTCTTTATTTAATGAACCTTACTCGTGATTTTTCAATTTAAGAAAAAAAAAGGATAGAATGCTTTGCTAGGAATGTGTTGGGAGAAAAAGAAATCTGTTTTCTTTTTCTGTTTTGTTCATGCTTTGTAAGGACTGGATTGAATGGGCTTCTTTTGATGTTGGTTCTATTCAACTTTACAGTTGTGGTTGATTGTTTTTAGAGTTAGAAACTAGGATTAGTAATATAATTGGATTGAAAGTTTGGTCCCTCAGAAATCAGAGTGTAGGTCTATGTAAGTGTGAATGCGTGTTTAACCTGGAAACAGTTTCATCCGCAAAGACTGATTTTTGTAGATGACAACTTCTTGGAGACAGAGTGGTACTAGTTGCTACTTTCATGTCCCAAAATTGAAATTGTGTATTAACTCTTAATGTTGTAATATTGAATGTTGAAATTGAACATGCACAGTGTTGATATTTCTCTAGTTTAACTGGTGCAGGGATGGATGGCACGGGAATGGGTCTCACTTTGCACCTTCAAGCTCTTGGGAAGTATGTTGTTTTTGTATTTTAGTAGTTAGTTAAAAATTCATTTAAAATACACAAGTATGCTGGATTAGTTTCCGCATTTTAAAATTGTATGTTGGAGGTATTACTCAGTTTTACAATTGTCTATATTTTTTGGCATAGAGTTCTAGTTGAAGATTAATGGAAATATTAAGCTTCTTAATTCGATATGCTTGTTATATTGTTCAAAACAATTATGTGTTGGTTCGTGCAATTTTATTTTGCTTTCTATTTTGATCTTTTCTTTCTACAATGTAGGGTTTTTGAAGTTCGATGCTTGCATATCCCAGTTCATGATAGAACACCATTTGAAGGTCTTTGCTTTTTAACGTATGCTTTTGTCAACTTTTGAAAGTTCTTTGTTGCTGTTGATGCATTCAAATGATAGTAACTTATAACTGTTCCTTGTGTCTAGGAGTTTTGTTTGTGACAGAAAATTTTTTGCCTGTCAATGTTGAAGAGTTGTTCATTTTATTGAATCATGTGGAACATCTCAATTTTAATCTGTTTAATCATGTGGAACTTCTATATTGGCACAGTTCAAATATGATGCAGCTCACGACCCAATTATGAACATTTATAAGTGGGATAGTCATAGATTTGAAGCATAAAATTCAATTAAGCACGTTGATGTTTCAAATCTTAAACTACAAAGTAGATGCATAAAATAGATCTTACGAGAAAAATTATGCGAACTCTCTGAATTGGGTGACTGACTGACTATTCCTTTGAGCAATTTGATAATCAGAATCCAGTGCTAGATTGGAGAGATTTCCTCCTCCCTCCAATTTCCCTTCCAAAAACCCTTACTGTGCTCTAGAACATGCGAAATTCTTGGTAACTTTGTACTCACCCTTGGATTGATTATTAACATCGTTAAACTAAAACCAAAATTGATTACTCAATGGCTAACTAATCAATTAGGATTCTTGCTTATCTGCTAGTAATCTTAAAAACATATGAGGAAAACTAATCAACCATTCGCATTGTGCATTTTATATAATGCTGAGCATATCATGCTTTGACTAAGACACAAACTTCAAATCATCTTTTGGGATCTGATTTATCTCATTTTCATTTACGATACATTTTTGTATGTCAGGAACCAACAAGTTTATGTAGAAAATTATTTATGAATTTGGATTTCAATTTTCTTGTTATATTAGTGTATAGATAATTGGAAGATAGATAGGCTTCAATTCTAATATTTGACTAATTCTTCCATATCTGGCTGGCTTTTCTTTTTATAACCATTGTTTGATAATATGCTGGCAGACCACTGGTTTGTGTATAAATTGGTTTATTTTTTTTTTGAATTAATTTATAATTACAACCTTCTTAACAAAGTTCTGAATTAAAATGTCTTTCCCTAAAACTTATGCAAACCTAAACATGGTAAAATTTTATAAATGAATAAATTCAAACTTGCTAGCGATGCCATTATCCATACTTAAACTGAGAGTTTTCCTTTTTTTAATAAAAAAATTTGAAGAGCTGGTGAAACTTGTTGGAGAAGCTGTTAAGCTTGAACATGCTTTGTCTCCAAATAAACCAATCTATCTGGTAGGTGATTCTTTTGGTGGAAGTCTGGCACTTGCTGTTGCTGCTCATAATCCAACAGTTGACCTGGTACTGATATTATCCAATCCAGGTAATTCTATCAATGGTGTTTTCCTTTTTGTCAAATTTGTTATGTATTTAGTGGTGATGTTTTGTCAATTTTCAACTGAAATTTGACTATATACCTTTCAATCACAGCTACTTCCTTTGGCCAATCTCAGTTGCAACCTTTGTTTCCTATCTTAGAGGCTATGCCTGAAGAGCTGCATGTTTCTGTTCCCTTTCTTCTTAGTTTTATTATGGGTAAATAATCCTTTTCTCAAAATTCTAGCTGTTACATTTGCATATTCATGGAGATATAATTCATCTGCAAATACTATTGATAATAATCCAATTTTTACTTATTATATATCCTGTGTTTACACCTAAGAAATAATTACATGTATTCCGTAGGAATTTTATAAAATATGAGGCATTGAATTGTATTCACCAAGTAAAGATATCAGAGTACATGTGATGATACACACACACACACACTAGTGTAGCACATTGCTAGGATGATAGCAACCAAATAGGAAACAAAAAGGCCTTATCTCTATGGTTCAATGGCTCAAGATGTTATATGTCAGTATCATAAAACTTGTTCTTTGTATTATCTCTTATTAATTCATATGCACTGTTATATTTAATGACCTCAGGCGATCCGGTTAAGATGGCATCAGTGAATATCGAAAATAGGCTTCCTCCTGTCAAAAAAATTGAACAATTATCATACAACCTTACTGCATTGCTGCCATGTCTTCCTGTAAGAACCTTTTAATATTCATTCTTGTTCTCTCTGTGTATTTCTTAATTTTTAGGGCTATATTGTATCTAACTTAAGTACAAGCTTTTGGGATGGATTTAGCTCCTAAATTTTTGTAACACACTAACATGTACATAATTATGAAGCTTTTTCTTTCAACTTGTTGGTAACCCTTATGATTGTTTAATTATCCCTCTTATTTTCTAGATTGTAATAGTATTTATCTTTTTCCTCTATCCTTTTTCCTTGTTCTATTTTCTGGACAAGTTCTCAAAGTTCATATCATATGGATTATGTTGAGCTGTCATCTGTACTTAACTGTATTCTGTATTGTCAGGAACTGGCTAATATTATTCCAAGGGATACTCTTCTTTGGAAGCTGAAACTTCTCAAATCAGCTGCTGCATATGCTAATTCGCGTCTTCATGCTGTTAAAGCTGAAGTACTTGTGCTTGCTAGGTTTTTACTCTCTCTGGAACTGATACCTCACATGATAATACTGCATGTACAGTTTTGTTCTTCATCATACTTTGAATTGACAAAGTTCTTTGAATAGGAAGGGGTTATGAGGCTATTGTAATATAACACTAGAATTCTGCCACAATAACCTATAAAATTATATAACCTAGTAGTAGATCAATAATGTATATATATTATCATGTGACTGCTAAATAACTTTTAATCTTGACCATCCATGTATGTTAAGATGGTTCAGATTTATAGTTCTCACATTCTTATAGGTCAACAATGTATTAGATCTTTTATTTTAACTTAAATTTACTGATTTCTGCTTAGGCTCAGTCATTTTAACTGTCAATAATATTGTGTATGATGTTAGCTTTTTCTCACTCCAATTATGAGACTCTTGTGTTCATATATAATTAAGATATGTAACTTTCTAATTGATATTTTCCATTGGATGTTGACAATGTTTCCATTCTAGTGGTAAGGATAACTTGCTTCCTAGCATACATGAAGCTCAAAGACTCGCGCAATTATTGCCAAACTGCAAATTTCGTGTCTTCAAAGACAGTGGACACACCCTTCTCCTGGTACGTGACCTGAATATATATACTTGCAACTGTGATAAATAAAATAGGTGTAGGATATTCTTCAGCAAATATGCATGTAACTTGTAATTTTGACCATCCATTTGAGATTAATGATCTAGATTCACCTTTAATAGTGCGATAATGCTCTCACTTGATATCTCCTATAAAAGGGGTGTGTTAAGTGAGACTACTTGCGACTATCATCCGTAAAGTCGAGGATATTTTCTAGCAAACATGTAACTTCTAAATTTGATAATCTGCATATGATTGATTGGCTGAGATTGGCTTCTTCAACCTTTTATAATAAGATAATGTTCTTGCATCTACATAAGATTGAATGGTCGAGATTAGTCCCTTCAATCTTTTATAATAAGATAATTCTTTCACTTGATGACTCCTTTATGAGGTGTGTGTTAAGTAGACTATTGCATTGCGTCATATAACACTAGTTATGTTTGCCTGTTCATCACATTTAGAAGTTAGTGTAATATGAGAATATTACACTACTCTATAAGAACATATGAAAAACTACCTAGAGTAGTTCTTGTAGCGTATTGGAATTTTGAATCATTTTAGAGGATTTAAATGTTTGTAGTTTGTTCAAGATGTTTAAATTTTACATGTAAACTATATCCATTATAATAGAGAAATCTTCAATTTGGTCCTTCGAAGTTATATAATTTACTACGTTAGTCCTTCAAAATGTTGGTCACCAAATGGTTATCATATTAGTCATCTAAATCTTTTTGTCACTGAATTAATCTTTTAAAGAATTTATCACCATTTTAATCCTTCTGGAGGTTTAAAGTGGTGCGCAAAGAATCCCTATACTAAAACTTTGAGGGGTTAATTTGGTGACAATCTTGGAGAACAAAGTAGTAAAAACATCTGAGGGACTTATCTGGTGAATAAATTTTTTAGAGGACTAATGTGAGGATGCATATAACTTTGGAGGGCCAAATTGATGGTTTTCTCTTTATAGTTTTCACTTTAATTGCATTGTTAATTTGTTTTTTTTCTAAGATTTCTTTTGAAAAGCTTAAGTTTATCTTATACTGTTATTCTTTTAGTATTTTATTAAATTATCTATGTTTATTACTTACAGGGAATCTTATAATGTCAAATGCTGTAAAGAACATTTTTTAATTTTAGTACACGTTCATGAACCAATAGGCATACAAAAGGATTTTTTTATTTTTTATTTTAAGCCATTATTTTCTGCATAACCCTACCACAGTCCTTTGCATGATGAGGTGGATTAACATCCTAAACTCACTAGACATTTTATATTGGTGTATTATGTTTCACTATATTAGTTGCAGACTTACTGCCTATATATAGCTTCAGTGATAGCAACTCATCAAGTGCAGGAAGATGGTATTGGCCTTTTGACAATCATCAAGGGAACTTGCATGTATCGACACTCACGGAGGCATGATTTGGTCAGGGATTTCATCCCTCCCAGTATGACAGAATTCAGATATGCTATGGATCAAGTGGTTGGGTAATTTGATTTGGCAATATTATACTCATTTGTTATTCTTGTTAGAAATCTGCTTGTTAATGTCATTGTTGTATTGATGAGTATTGGGGAGAGGTGAGATTCATACTCTTAGCATTTTCCTTTAATGAACAGGGATCTTGTTGAACTATTTGTCATACCATTTCTCAAATATAAACTTCAAAAAAGTTGACATTAGTAGGATTTGAAGCTTGAGCTTGCTTTTTGAGGGAGGATTCAAGCATCTCACCCTCCTGCCACCTGCCAGTCAATGTGCCTTTGTTATTTGTCAACCCTTGTATAATAAATTTAAATACTCATTCTTGAATGAGAAGATCTACACTATTTGTAAGACACATGCCTTTTCCTGCATCAAATATCTTTATCTTTTTAGATTTCTGTCTCTCAAATACTATGACTTAAATTTAGTCAGTTTGAATTTTAAACTTTGACCCATTATATTGAATTGATTGACATATAGATTACTTTTCTGGATTCAAATAACTTATTTCCATGTTTTATTTCTCAGTTTTATAAAAAAATTATCCCTTTACTTTATTCCTTCTAACAATATAGAATTCTTATTATTGAAGGTGAAGAAATCTTCATTTAAACTTTCTTTGTTCGTAACATATAATTTTACCATTGTATGCAATTCTCATATTTTTATCCCATATTTTTAAATTTCATCTAAATTTAAAAATACCCATATAATGCATGAAAAACTTGCTAGTTTACTTGTAATTTATGATTTTTCAATTGTAAGTTTTTAGATATCTGCTAATCAATTTTATGAGTTAATAAATGGAAATTTCAGTGTTTTCTGTTTTCTACTAAAAGCTGATATGGTTAAATTTTAAATTCGAGATTCATACAGGTCTACATGCATGCATGCATGCATAAATATTGGAAGAAAACCAGCAAGGCCTAGTTTATATACAGCCAGTTCTTTCAACATATCGACTAGGGTTCGATTCTTTACAGTGTGTTTGTAAACAAGGCATCTATAAGAGAGATTATATCCATTTTGGTGTTTTTTTTTACCTCAAAAGGGGTTAGTTTCCAAATGTCTATTGGAAATCCTCTCAACGCACAACATAAAAATATTAGTTGAAAATACCAAATGCACTCGGTTTGAAACTAGAATCATGGATAAAATGTGGGCCCCATCTTTTGATTTCTTATACTGAAGTTATTTACTTGATCTCTTCATCTGCATTGTTTATTGTTCCATGCTTATTCTCAGTTGTATCTAATAATTTCCACAGAAATTTTTTATTCTGTATAAGATAAGCATGTTTAAACTTAAAAAGACTTTTTTCATTGAATTTGCTCATATTTTCTTATATGCTGTTAGACACTCCTCTGCCTCCACATCCTATTTTTTACTCTCTAGTATGTTGTCTTAAACATTCAATCTGATATCGAGCATCCATTCTAGTTGTTTGCTTATATTATCTTTACACTAAATAGTTGAATACTATGTACCTAAATAGAGAAATTGGTCTACAGAATTGTGTATGTGTTTGTATCCATATAAGTAAATGTCAAACCTGCAATTTATGTCAACCTTACGTCAATAATCTTCTTTTAACAGTTTAATTAGCACTGTTCCCACACAAATGAGAATTAAACTGAAATGCTACTAATGTGGATGACAGGTCATTTCGTTCTGTTACGGCATCCGTATTTTTCTCTACCTTGGAGGATGGAAAAATTGTAAAGGGTCTCTCTGGGGTTCCAGATGAAGGTCCTGTCTTATATGTTGGTTATCACATGTTGTTGGGGTTCGAGCTTATCTCACTTACTGATGAATTTTTAAGTGAGAAAGGTATTGCCCTTCGTGGCATAGCGCATCCGGAGCTATTCATGCCTAAAGTGGAGAGTTTTTCATCTGAGTTTTCTATGTTTGATTGGGTGAAGATATTTGGTGGGGTGCCTGTTTCTGCAAGCAATCTTTTCAAATTACTTTCAACAAAGTCACATGTTCTCCTATATCCTGGTGGTGCTCGGGAGGCTCTCCATTATAAGGCACATAAGTTTTATTGTTTTATCTACGCTTCTTATCCAACTAGTATCTATGATTCATTTGTTTCTATGTGCAATCTTTCGGATCAGCATTTACTATTATGTGATGATGGCTTCTACTTTAAAACTGACTGAACTCCGCAATTGCCAGGGGGAAGAATACAAGTTGATTTGGCCTGATCATCCGGAATTTGTGAGAATGGCCGCACGATTTGGTGCCACAATTGTGCCATTTGGAGCTGTGGGGGAAGATGATATAGCTGAAGTATGTTTCTTCTTTCTCTATCAGTCTCTTTTTTTCCCATTTGGTTCACCCCTCACATTTTTTGGTCATCATATTTTAGGGATGTGGCTCTTCTAAAGTCAGTATGAATGAAGAAATTTTGGTTATTGATGAGAAAATCAATGCTTAATATTTCAATACACACATGATTTGTTATATATGTGCACACCATATTTCTCATTGATTTTCTTATTAAAGACCGAGATATGTTACTTTAATCTCTTAAATAAGTTCCACAATTTCGAGGAGTCACATGCATAATTTAGCCTGTCCATTCTGCTTGGATCAATATCATTTACTAGATGGATAGTAGGTGCCAGCCACAAATGATATGAAGATCCTTAATCTAGTGATTTTAATCTCTTAATTAGTATAGAATATAATAGTATGCTTGATTATGCAGCCATTACAATCAATGTTAAAGTGGATTTGGTGGATAGTACATGAGGTTTAGATTCATCAGAAGATATTTTTTTACTTTTGGAGAAAATATATTTTTGGTCCTGTACCTTTTGTCAAACTTACTTTTGGTTCCTATATCTTTAAAAGTAATGAATTGATCCTGAAACTTAAAAAAATATATGTAAATTTAGTCTTTCCCTCAATTTTGTGACAGTAGAAAATGGTCACCAAATGCTAAGTTTGTGTATAAATAATAACTAAACTCACTTAGTTTTAAAAGTTGGAAGACTAATTCATCAACTTGAAAACACAAGGATCAAATGTAAGTTTATCAAAATGTACAAGGACCAAAACATTTTTTTTCCTTTTCCTTTTCCAAAACCTTATAGGAATGCTTATTTTTAAATGTATCATCAGAGAAATATCAAGCTGAATTAACATATCAGGGGTGGGAGAAAGGAATGAGACAAAAATAGCTTGTTTTCCTTGCAATTCTTGAGCTTTGATTAATTGTACTTGCCTTTTGATTGGACTCCTTTTGCTTGAATTATGCAGATACTACTTGATTACAACGACTTAATAAAGATCCCCATAGTCAGCGATTACATAAGAAATATGAATCGTGACTCAGTTAAGTTCAGGTAATTGTTCTCCATCTCAACAATGTTTATTGCTTATTGTTGGACTTGTTCATTAAAGCAAACAATCGAATACGATATAGCAACAACACCATTTCTAATAAGTTCCTTCCTTACAGTTAAAATTTGTTGAGAAATACAAAATCATGAACCCTTAACCCACAAATTTTTAATGATTTTAAATTTCAACCAATACAGGTGAGAAAGAAGGTGTTCCAAGGGGTACGAGAAAATGTTCTTAGCATTTCTCATTGGCCTTACACACTTATTATTTGTTAAAATCTAATGAAAATTACAAAAATAGGTGGATATTTGTTAAATAAGAAGTAAAATTTACTAAAATTTTCCATTTTTAGTAAAATTCAGTTAATAACAGTGTTAGAGAGAACTATATTCAATATTTCTGATAGCTTATATATCCAAACTAAGGATTTTTCATTCACAACTTAGTCACTGGTGTGTTTGTTTCTATCCAGAGATGAAAAAAGTGGTGAGGTAGCAAACCAAAATCTGTCTTTTCCTGTGCTTGCACCCAAAATACCAGGTCGCTTTTACTATCTGTTTGGAAAACCCATAAGAACAAAAGGCATGGAAAAGATGCTAAAAGACAGAGAAAGTGCCAACCAAATGTACCTGCAGATTAAGTCAGACGTTGAAAGTAATTTGAATTACTTGATCAAGAAGAGGGAGGAGGATCCATACAGGAATATCATCAATAGGAAAATATATCAGATATTTTATCCTCCTGAAACTGATCCAACCCCATCATTTAAGCCCTGAAAAATGTTTTGATTCACATTACCCATTCTTATGTAATCATATTTATTTGTAAACAGATACATGTATATGGCCATTATTCTAATAAAATGTGGTGCTTTCTATGTACTACCCAACAAAATATTTAACTTTCTTCAATGATCAAAGTCCCTGCACTGTGTACCAAAAAGTGTGCTTCTTTTAAGTCTATAACAGAAACATGAGAATAAAAATGGTTTCTAGAATCAATTTGGATATATCATTTGGTTACTATTTTTAAATGTTATTTTTTTACAAATTTTATATAAATGTGTTGAAAATTCAAATAAAAACAAAAAAATTAAGTAATTTATAAATAAATAAAATTATTATTTAGTTTTTAATTATAGATAATAATACCATATAAAGTTCACCGAAATTGATTCCTTAGACTCCACTTATTTAGCGTCACTTTTCTCAAGTGGAAAAAAACATCTCGAAATGGTTTTAGTGTCCTTTCATTAACATGAATTTAATTCTAAAATATTTTTACACTGTTTCTAATTGCAAATTGTATATATGGTAAATTTTTTTATTTTCATAAAATTTATCTTGCAATTTATTTAAGGAACTCTTTTGTTGGATTACTCTCATAATACATACCTATGAAACTTTTCATTTTCAATGCATTGTTAGTGTAAATATTTACAGTGTCGGTCAATTAAATAACGCTTTAACTTTTAATCTAAAAATAATTAGTGCATTTTTTTATACTTAAAATAATTTTATATTATCTTCTATCTTCAAATTCTCATATAATTAACTTTCTTTTGAAAGACATACTAATCGTGATTTTTAATTATTTGAAAGTGTAATTCCTTTAATACTGGTAGATATTGTTTAGATATTATTTGATATTATTAAGATATTGTTAGATATTGTTAATCACAATATCAAACAATATCTTCTGTTTATTTTGTTACTTTCAGTTACTCTTTTAGTTGTATCTCTCTACTGTAAATAGATTATCCTATGTGTGATTTATACACAAGGGAGATTAATCTCAAACTTTATTTCTTCTATATTCAACATGGTATCTAGAGCTTAAAATTATTTTGAAATGTTTTTTCGCCTTTGACCACTGTTGGAGCCGCCACTACCACCGCTATCGTTGTCGGTTAAACTGATCTTCCACATCAGAAAAAAGTTATTTTTGTTACTGGATATTATTTGGTAGTGTGAAAGTGCATGTCTAGGAAGGTTCTGACAAGGAAAAATTTGATATTTAAGCGTGTCCATTAGTGACCCACCTCTCTAGTGGCAGATCTTCTTGGGAGCTTAGGGGGGACGTGACCCCCCCAAAATTTTGTAACTCTCATGTAATTTATGATTTTGACCCCCCCAAACATAATGAACATTTAATATATTTACTATATTTACAATTTTATCCTCTCAGTCTCTCCTCACTTTTGTAACTCTCATATAATTTATGATTTTGTTCCCCTCAAACTTAATGATCATTTAATTATATATCTAGAGTTTTATCTTTTCACCCTTTCATCTTCTTTATTCCTTTTATATTTATTTATTATTTATTAATAATATATTATTTGGCTCCCCAATATCAATGGTCAAGATCCACCACTGCACCTCTCTTTCCTGGGAACTTACCTGGTGCACTGGTTCACGCTGTTGTCACTATCGCCTCCGCCCTTTATGACTTCTTCCGCTCCTTTTAGTACTTCCAATTCTATCAGTACTGTGTCTGATCCTTCCATCTACACTAACTATGTTAATATGCACTTATCCATTGACAAGTTAACTGACCCTAATTATGCCACATGGTCATCAGATGTCATATTATGGCTTAAGAGTCAGAAATATCTTGATCATCTTGCCCCGAAAGCACCTACTCTCACTCCTGGTGAGGAAGACCGTTGGGACACCATTGATGCTCAATTATGTGTGGTTCTCAAAGGTACTCTTGATCCTTCGTTAAAACAAATTTTTCGTTCCTACGAAACATGTGCCAAAATCTGGGAACATGCCAAGTTATTATACACCAATGATACTTAACGTCTCTATGATGTCTGTTCTAAATTTGTAGATGTTATTGCCTCTAAACATCAAGATTCTATGACTGATTATATGGGCAAAATTCATGCTCTTTTTCATGAGTTCAATGAGTTATTGCCTCCTTCTCTCGACCCTGCCACCGAGATAGCACAACGATCAAAGTTCTTCATGCTAGGGGCATTACACGGACTTGTTGATCAATATTCATATATTCGTGATCAGATTTTGGGTTCTCCGATTGTCCCCACCTTGACATCGACCTGCTCCACTCTTTTGCGTATACCAACAAAACCCAACCCTGACACACCTGTTTCTGTTCTGTTAATGATTCTTCTACATTGGTATCTCACCGTGATGACCGAATTCGCCCTCGCAAATAGGGAAAATGGCGTCCTAAGTGTGAACATTGTGGCAAGCTAGGTCACAAGATTGACCACTGTTATGCATTACATGAGTGTGAACATTGTGGCAAGCTAGGTCATAAGATTAACAAGTGTTATGCATTACATGGTCGTCCTCCTCGATCTACTGCAGTTGCTCAGACTGATCTTTCCCCACCTTTATCTGCTAAGGATCCTCCTTCTTCTATTTCATCAGACACAACTGCTATGTTCAACAAATTTCTCAAATGGTATAAGGATCAACAGTATTCTAGTTCTACTGTGTTTGTCGCACACACAGGTACATCTTTTGCTGGTCTGACCCAATCTTCTTCTGGTCCTTGGGTTTTTTATTCAGGAGCCACTGATCATATTACTGGTAACAAATCTTTGTTCTTCTCTTTATCCTCTCATGATCCTTTACCTTCTGTTACACTGATTGATGGCTCTAGAGTATCATCTCATGGTGTTGGAACTGTTAAACTTTTCCCTTCTTTAACCATTGATAATGTTCTTTATGTCTCTGTGTCTCCTTTTAACCTGTTATCCATCAGTTGTCTAACTCGTTCTCTTGATTGTGTTGTTTCTTTTACCAACAATTCTGTGTGTTTACAGGATCGGAGTTCGAAACAGGTGATTGACACATGATGTGAGTCTCATGGTCTTTATCATCTTCGTCCATTTACACATGTTGGTGCAGTTATAGAGTCTCCCTCTCTTCTCCATGCTCAGTTAGGTCATCCAAGTCTTGCCAAGTTACAACAGCTTGTCCCTGCCTTATCTAACTTGTCTAGTTTGGCATGTGAGTCGTGTCAATTAGGCAAGCATAGTCGTACTTCCTTTCCTCGTAGTGTTACACGTGGTGCTTCGTCCCCTTTTGTCGTGGTTCACTCTGACATTTGGGGACCTAACTGCGTTAAGTCTACTTTAGGTTTTCAATACTTTGTTACTTTCATTGATGATTATTCCAGATGCACTTGGTTATTTTTGATGAAAAATCGTTCTGAATTATTTCATATTTTTCAAACTTTTTTCAATGAAATTCAAACTCAGTTCGGTGTTTCTATTAGAGTTTTGCGCAGTGATAATGATCGTGAATATCTTTATCATTCTTTTAAACAATTCATGGCTTCTCATGGTATTTTGCATCAAACTTCTTGTGCTTATACACCTCAACAAAATGGTGTAGCTGAACGTAAAAATAGACATCTTATTGAAACAACTCGCACTATTTTAATTCATAGAGAGGTTCCTCAGCATTTTTGGGTGATGCTCTTCTTACTGAATGTTATCTCGTTAATCGCATGCCATCTTCAGTTTTAGATAATAAAATACCTCATTCTATTTTATTCTCTCATGAACCACTTCATCCCTTACCTCTAAGAGTTTTCGGGTCTACATGTTTTGTTTATAATTTCAGTTCTGGTATTGACAAGCTTTCTCCTAGATCATATAAATGTGTTTTCTTAGGGTTTACAAGATCACAAAAAGGATACAAATATTTTTCTCCTTCTCTTAACCATTATTTTGTGTCTGCAAATATCACCTTTGATGAGTTCTCTTTGTATTTTAAAAGTTAATCTTCACCTCTGTCTCCATCCAATTTTGTCAACACTCCCAGTACATTTAATGTTCTTGTTGTTTGTGACCCTCTAATTGTGTCTTTTTCACCATTAGTTTCTGCTCCGCAGTCAGCTTTTTCTTCACTGTCTCTTCAGGTTTATAGTTACCGAAACCAATCACAACCACCACCATGTGACTCTACTCAAGTGTCAACTACTCTGTCTCCTCCGGATGTGACACCTGAGTCTGACCTTCCCATTACCCTCCGAAAAGGTATCCGTTCTACACGTAATCTCTCTCCCCATTATATTGGTTTAAGTTATCATCGACTGTCATTACCTTTTTATACATGTTTTTCCTCTCTTTCCTTTGTGATCATTCCAAAAAATGTCCGTGAAGCTTTAGCCCATCCTGGTTGGCGTCAGGTCATGTTAGATGAACTAAGTGCTCTTCATAATAGTGGAACTTGGGAATTGGTCTCGTTACCGTCTGGGAAATCTGTTGTTGGTTGCATGTGGGTGTTTGCTATCAAAGTTGGACCTGATGGTACTATTGATTGCCTCAAAGTTCGTCTTGTGGCCAAATGTTATACTCAAATTTTTGGGTTGGATTATGGAGATATCTTTTCTCCCGTGACAAAGATAACTTCTGTTCGTTTATTTATCATCATGGTCGCTCTTCAATAATGATCTCTTTATCAACTATATGTTAAAAATCTTTTCCTCAATGGTGATTTGTAAGAAGAAATCTATATGGAGCAACCTCCTGGGTTTGTTGCTCAAGGAGAGTTTTTTGGGATGATATGTCGTCTTCGCAAATTCTTATATGGCCTAAATCAGTCTCCTAAGGCCTGGTTTGGAAAGTTTAGCAAGGTTGTTCAACAATTTGGTATGACTCGGTGTGAAGCAGATCAATCTGTCTTTTATCGACACTCAAGTGTTGGATGTGTTTACTTGATAATATATGTTAATGACATCGTTCTTACAGGTAGTGACAACCATGACATCTCTCAGTTGAAACAACATCTCTGTCACCATTTTCAGACCAAAGATCTTGGCAAACTTAGATATTTCTTGGGTATTGAGGTGACACAGTCCAATGATGATATTGTTATATCTCAGAGGAAGTATGTCATGGATATTTTGGAAGAAATTGGGTTGATGAATTTAAAGTTTGTTGATACATCCATGGAGCCCAATACTAAACTTCTACCAAATCAGGGGAAGCTTATACCTGATCCTGAGCAGTATAGAAGATTGGTTGGAAAATTGAATTATCTTACAGTTACTCGTCCTGACATTTCCTTTGTAGTCAGTGTGGTAAGTCAATTTCTTAATTCCCCATGGGAAGATCATTAGAATGCAGTCATTCGTATCTTAAAGTATATTAAAGGATCTCCTGGAAAAAGATTATTATATGATTCTAATAACCATACAAGAGTTGTTTGTTACTCAGATGCTGATTGGGCAGGATCTCCTTCGGATAGAAGATCTACATCTGGATATTGAGTCTCCATTGGTGGTAACTTGGTCTCATGGAAAAGTAAGAAATAGAGTGTTGTGGCAAGATCTAGTGCAGAAGCAGAATATAGAGTTATGGCCTCAGCTGCCTGTGAACTTATTTGGCTCAAGCAATTGCTTAGAGAGTTACAATTTGGAGATGTCACTTGTGTGACAATCATGCTGCTCTTCATATTAGTTCTAATCCTGTCTTTCATGAGAGGACCAAACACATTGAGATTGACTGTCATTTCATTCGAGAAAAGATTATGTCTGGAGACATCAAGACTGAGTTTGTTAACTCAAGTGATCAGTTAGCAAATATTTTTACTAAATCTTTACGGGATCCTTGAATTGATTATATTTGTAACAAGTTTGACACATACGATTTGTATGCTCCAGCTTGAGGGAGAGTGTTAGATATTGTTTAGATATTATTTGATATTGTTAATCACAATATCAAACAATATCTTCTGTTTTTTTTGTTACTTTCAATTACTCTTTTAGTTGTATCTCTCTACTATAAATAGATTACCCTATGTGTGATTTATACACATGGGAGATTAATCTCAAACTCTATTTCTTATATATTCAACAAATACAATTTAAAAATAAACTCTTAAAACTAATTATCAGCAAAGGTAATAATTTTCCATGAAAAATAAAGATTGATCAACCATAAGAAAAAAAATCTTTATATTTATATTTGATTAACCCCTTTTAATATTTTTATGGTAATTAAATTTTAATACTAATAATTATGAGTTTTTTTTTTAATCAAGAGACATTAGCTCGTTTTCACTAGAAAATGTTGGACCCTCTTCTCATCATGATACATGGCTCTAATGTGGCAGAAGCGTGAACTGTTTCCAACTAGAGGCACTGTCTCAAACATGTTCCCCAACAGGAAGCCCCATTAGTAATGCACTTATCTCAATTTTTTTAAAAGTTATATTTCTTATGGGTTTCTATTAAAAAAATTTAAAATATGTAAAATATATTATGTTTAAAGTTTCATTACATAAATTAATATAAAAATTAATTTTATTATTTTTAATAAATTTGTTAATTTTTTATTAATATCCTTATCATTTTAATATTATTTCTATTCAAAATAATTTATTATCTTTTATTTATAAATACAATTAAAAAGACAACAATATAATTAATATAATCTTTAACTTTACAAACCTATATATATATATATATATATATATATATATATATATATTCATAAATAAGTTTTTTTCATCAAAGTATCATAGAGAAAATATTATATATTTCTTAATATATTATAACATTAAATTTTATTGTTTTTAATATATTTATTATTATTTTTCAGTAGTATGTTAGTCGAATACTCTCTATCTAAAATATTTCTAAGATTTTATTATCTTCTTTCTATAATAAATATAATTAAAAATTAAATCATTTTTCTAAAAATTCCACAATTAAAAAAAATCAGATACTAATGAATTCGTGCTTCTACGTAAAATTTAAAACCTAGGTTGTTATATGCAAAAAGGAGTCAAAGTTTCAGTCAATTAGTACTAACTTTCAAAGTAACAATGATTAATGTTAATGTTGTAGTATAATGTAGTGATAATTTATGCATCTACATTTGATGCTTTATTCAAATTAATTGTTCCTGTAAAAATGCTAGCCACTTTACATGATTGCCCTCACTTAAGAAAATAAACAGTTGCTGCTTGAAGGGTTTATTTGATTGAAGTTAGGGTTTGTTTGAAGGGTTACTAATTATAAAATAATTGAAAGAAAATGTTTTCTTCATTCAATAATATAATAAGTGATAAAAAAAATCACTTCTATTAAGTCTAACATGTTTTGATTATTATTTGTATATATAGATTTTTTTATAAAATACAGTATTTTCAAATATATTGTTTATTTTTAATTTAAGCATGACATTTTTTTAATTTATATATAAAGAAAAATTAAAATTATAGAAAAATAGTATTTATAAAATCAGTTTTTATTTTATTTCTTAAAAGTAAATACATAAATAGTTTGGTAATTATATAATAAATTAATATATATTTATTTATTATTTTTATAATAACAAATATTTTATTCTCGTGCTTCTTTTAAATGAATAAGTATATTTTTATTATATTTTATTTTACTTTTTGTTTCCATAAAATTTTTCTCTTGTAAATATTTTAATTAGTTTCCATAATTAGTTTGTGGAGAAAAAATATATTTTATTTTGTAAATTCTTTCCATAAAAAAAACGATTTTTTTTAAGAAATGGTTTTAAATTGCCCGACATACTTATTAATTTTTATTTAACTTTCCCCACTTGTTAAATGCAGAATACATATTATATTTTAAAATAATAAACATATAATAATAGTTTATTTAACCTTTTAAAACAAGGATACAGTTATAACAATGAATGAGCCATAAATAGAGCTTGCTTGCGTGGTGTTGTGTGGGTAATAAATCTCTCTTTACTGTTGCTTCTATTATTCTCTTTCTGCCTTCACTTTCTCCCATTTTTTTCTCTAACCCAACACTCAAAAGATTTACACGCTCATTTTGTGCTTCCTCACACTCAGATCCTTTTGCACTACTCTCCTAAAGGTCTGATTCGGTTTCTTACTTTATCTATCTATCTATCGCCGTTTTTTTTACTTCTATCAATGCAATTTCGCTGTTGTTTTCTGAAAAATGGGTTTGATTGTGCTGAATATTGGTCCATTGCGTTGTTTCGTTGATGTTGAGTGAATATAAGACAAACGGGTCTGGTTCATTCTTTAACTGTTTGGTTGGGTTTCGAGATGTTCTTTCTGGCGCTTTGATTTTACATTTCCTTTTTTTTTTCTTGGAACTAGGTTGGATAAATTATTCAAAAAGTTTATTTGAATGTACAGAATACGTTTCGAATTACTGTATTGTGTATATTATCGAATTTATGTAGAAATTAATTCTGTTAGTTTATGTTAAGAGCTTATTTCGTTGTTTAATTAAGTTTATCACTGTCATCTCATTAGTCTTGGTATAAACATTGCTCCGTTGTTGTTAGTTTGTGGAATTAATCCTTAGATTGGCTGTGTGGACATGAAGAATACTAGCAACGAACTCTCTTGGATACTCTTTCTTATACATTTTCTATCATTGGTTAAAATTTATTGAAAGGTGCAAAATCATTAGTGCGATTTGTTAAATAAGAAGTGAGACTCGTGATTTTTTGTGATTTTCAATAAGTTTCAACCAATAGTCGAGAGTTCGTCAATGGATATGGTGTTAGCATTTCTCTTGTTATGTGGATGGGGGGGTTGGTGTCATGTGGATGAAGTTGGGCAGGCAATTTAAGAGGATTGAGATGTTACAGTTGTGGTATGACTGCCATTTTTAAACTATCAAAAAATTTCTAGCTCATGTAGTTGAAGAAAGCTACCTTTGTGTTTTTTTTCAGTCTTTGAAGAGTAAAGATTTTAGCGTAGGATGTTTGACTTATATGAGTCTTTGTTATTAAAAATAAAAGAGAGAAAGAAATTGTGGTAGTGATATTATTATGTGATAAATTTCTTAAATTATGAAAAGTTGTTCTGTGGTGTATTATTCATCCAGAGAAGTTTTATTTTTCTTCCTTCTCCTTCACTTTAGTTTATAAGAATATAAATTCATTTTTTTTGTAGTTCTTTGCAGGCATGTATAAGAATAGGCTGCAAGAGTTGGCTCAAAGAAGCTGTTTTAATTTGCCAGCCTATTCATGCATTCGTGAAGGCCCAGATCATGCTCCTCGTTTTAAAGCGACTGTCAACTTTAATGGAGAGACTTTTGAAAGCCCTACTTTCTGCTCTACTCTTAGACAGGCAGAACATGCAGCGGCTGAAGTGGCTCTTAACACTCTAGCAAAAAGAGGTCCCTCCAGAGCTTTGGCTGCCAGAGTTCTGGTGAGCAATTGAGAATCTTTCTTCACCTCCTTTCCAATTTGTGTTTGTTTCTTTAAAATTGTAATCACTCTCCGACTCAATTGTCAATGACAGTTTGTAGTTTTATGTATAAGGATTTTGATCTTGAATACTGGATTTGGAAAAGTAATTTCTTCCTATAAAAATGTTCAATATCTTACTATCCTAAGAACTATTTATTGTATCAGAAAATAAAAAGAATCATTTTAGCGCCTGCTTCTCTTTAGGTATTCAGACACATTTAATTCCAAGTAACTTTGGTAAGCAATTTCAAGGCCAACTATAATTTTCTAAGTAATTTTGTGTTCATTTTTTTATCTAATATCTGAATATATATTTCTTGTTTGGATATTAACAGGATGAAACAGGAGTATACAAGAATTTACTCCAGGAAACTGCTCATAGAGCTGGACTGAATCTTCCTGTTTATACAACCATTCGTTCTGGAACAGGTCATGGTCCTAACTTCTCGTGTACAGTTGAGATTGCAGGAATGCATTTTACAGGAGACCCATCTAGGACCAAGAAACAGGCTCAAAAAAATGCTGCGATGGCTGCTTGGGCTGCATTGAAAAAATGTGAGCATTTTGCTTCTTTAACCCTATATTTCCTCTATGTACACATGGCTGCATATTTTAATTTGACCTTTTTCTCAGCATAACTCTTTTTTTTTTTTAATTCTTCTGCCTTTCCTTCCAACACTTAACTTATTGTTTTAAATTTCTTTTAGTGTCAGAGCATGGATTATCTTCAACTTCATCCTCATCTTCTCCTGAGGCTAGAGGGAACGAAGAACAAGATCAAGTCATCATTGCTCGGGTCCTTACAAATGGCTCAAAGAACTGTTCCAAAAGTGATAAGCAACTTGGATGGCAAAAATCCACGACAACCTCTTTGGTATCAACTCATCCTACTGCAGACATGTATCCTATGCAATGCCAGCATTGTGTAATCTCTAGTTTCTCGCCAGAGGTGGCTCTATATCAGATTTGGCAGCAAGAACAAGTTTTGCAGCAACAAAATCGTCTATTGGAACTAACCCTTCAGCCAATCATTCCATCTGCTCCACATATTTATCCATTAATGCAATCCATGTTCCAGCCAGACCACTGTCTTTATTTTCCAACTGAGGTAGCATCAGTTCCTGTAGGACCAAAATTATCAATGGCTACATCAAGTCCTTCATTTTGTTTTTCAAACCAAATTGGTCCAGAATTAAACACAGGCAGGTCAACACTAATCATCAGCGAGATACAAGAAGAAAAAACAGTAGATCCCCCAATTTGCACCTTTAGCAATGAAACTAGAGCTTTACCACCACGTCCAGATGATGAGAGTAAGAAACACGATAGCTCTGGAAGCAGAAGTAGAAATACTGAGCAGCGAGGAGATCAATGTGAGACATCTGAGTGGGATTCTCATTCGAGCATGGGATCTGTACACAGACCAGTTAAAACTGAGCTCCAAAAGCCATCCAGGATTGGCTCATCTGTTCTCAGATCACAATCACATGCAAGTTACAGCAGAAGTTTTAGACCATCAACCCCTTCATCTTCCATTGTGGGAACCATATGCCCTACTTCATCCGTTGGTTCAAGACCGCCACATGTTGCATCAAGGTTGAGAACGGGAATCCCACGATGTCAGGGCACATCTACTCCTGAAAGGCTTGGCATGATAAGAGCACCTACTCCTCTATTTATGGCACCAGCTGTGAGAATCAGATCAGTGGTTCCAGTCTGCTCAGCTCCTCCAAGGAGATCCATGGCCGCAGAAGAGGTGTCCAAGACCAAGGAAAAAGAAGATATAAAACCTGAAGAGAAAGAGGTATCAAGAACTAGCTGAGGTTGGCCATCTGAGAATATGAGTGAGTATACATACTAGAGATTAAGAAGTATATTAGTTCTTTCCAAATATCATGCGCTTTTACAGGCATTTACTGGAAAGAGTAAGCATCTCCTTGGTGATTTTATGTCATGCAATAAATTTGAAATACAAACTTATATGTAATATGTATAAATATGTTATTAGAATTTCTTGAGTGTATTAACACTCGCCCCAGAGGATGATCCATTAAGAAGGTTGGGCTACAGAGTTTACCGCCCCTTCTAGGAGAAGCAATTGAACTTGCAAACCTGTGTAAGGGAGAAATTAAAAAAGTATTATATGAATAACTATTGAGTAAAATGGTTTATGTACAATTGGAAGTAGATAATTGTATTATTAGAAGTAGAGAATTGCATTATAGAATAACTAATAAGCATAACATTTTAGTTTCAATAAATGGTTATGTTTGTCGTGGTAACGAGGATTGTGGCATGGTATTTGTATCAATTGGTTGGTATATGTAAAGTATCTTGGATTTGTAGATTATCTGCATGACTAAAACAATATATATTTTACGTGTGGGTTTCATGACATAATACTATTGTATTATTTTATTGGGTTTATGAGATTGGATTTATTGGGTTGGTGTTATGTGCCCCAAAGGACTGCGTTATGCTTTTGCATTTTAGAAAAAATGTGAGTCTTATTAAACCAGAGGATTTTTTATCATTTTTTTATTTGTAGATGTAATAAAGGATTACATGAATTGAATGATCTATAATGATTTTAATTTTAGTTCATATGGTCAATATAAAAAAAAAATATGAAAGAACTTTATATAGCTAACATTAAATGCATTATATATTGATGTACACTTCACAACAATAATATGATCATTCATTTATAAAGATTGCCTTCTTCCATCATTTTTAGATGTTTAATCCACACAAATAAATAAAGAAATAATATTTATTGAAACTTAAATATCCTTATTTAATATTAAATCTTTAATGTCAGTCAAATATTTTTAGTCAAAAGATAAAAATTGCATTCACTTAATGACACTTCAACTTTATTGAGGTTTAAAATATTTTTAATAAAATAAAAATTATCTCTTTTTTAGTTTTGAAATAGATATTCATTTTCTTTAGATTTTAATAAACTGGCATTCACTTTCTTTATTTTATTTTATTTAAAGTATTATATTAACTTAAAATTAAATAAAAACATCAAAATGTTTTCTTTATATTTTAATAAACTGACATTCACTTTCTTTATTCTATTTTATTTAAAGTATTATATTAACTTAAAATTAAATAAAAACATGAAAATTTAAAAGTAATGTTTTAAGACATAACAAGTAAAAACATTTCTTTGTTTAATTTTATATATTAAAAAGCCATAAAAATTATATTAATACGAATTACAAGTTGTTTTATATAAATACAAAAGGTTATATGTTTGAGAAAATATTAGTTTGACAAAAAAAAAACTATTAAATTTATTAACTTATTGTTATATTTATATATGATTTTAAAACAGATATAACTGTTACGTTCTTCTTTACATAAGTAAAATCAATAATAATTTTAAAATTATAATATGACTTCATTTCTTTTTTTCTATAATTTTATTTTTTTAATCCAGATCATATATTAATCTCACTTGTGATATTAAGGTTATTATTATTTGGACGAACCTGAATACTTATGTCTGGATCCACCAAAGATATTTAAAAAATATGTAAAAATTATTGATGACTATATTATATATATATATATATATATATATATATATATATAAAAGAAAAAGTTAACATTGTATTTATTTTTCTTTTTTTTAATTATTGTATTTTTATTCAATTTATAAATAAAGGTCTCACAATTATATAAAACTTTCTTAGGAATAGAGGTTAATTAATATTGGAAAATATTATACTATTAGTAGAGGAAGAAATAGTTGTCATAAAAAAATGTGACAAAAATTCAGTTGAATATTTGGTCAAAAAATTTCTTATATAAAATAAATTATGGTAATTTTTTTTTCAAAACTATAACTTAAAAAAAAAGGGGGCGAGAGTTGTAAAAGAAAAAAAAGTTAGTTAATAAAATAAGAAGTAATTAGACTTTGTTTCATATATTAATACTTAAAATCAAATTAATATATATTTATATTAAAATATTTATTTAAAAAATATTTAATAATATTATTAGTATATATAATAATATTATACTTAAATTTTGTTTTTGTTACATAATATATTTAATGATTAGCATTTTAAAGTGTTAATAAAAATGAAATATATAATTTATAAAAAAATATTTAATAAATTAATTCTTATTTAATAAATATAAAATAATAATTTTTAATTATTATTTTGTATCATTTTTTAAATATAACTATTTAATTAAAATAAAATTTAATATTTTATAAATATGAATAATAAAATCTATAAACTATGCACAGCAAAATCTAATAAAGTATAAATAAAATAATTCAAATGAAAAAAATAATATATATATATATATATATATATATATATATATATAATTTTGAATTTATTAAATTGGTTAAAGAGATTTTAAAAAAATTTAAGAAAATATAAAAAAAATAAAAGGTGAGAGAAAAATAATAATATAATGAATTGATTAAATAAAAATAAGGAATAAGTAGGAGAAAAAGGGAATAGGGTGAAAAAAAAATACAAATAATCTTATATGTTAAGAAAAATAAAATAAAATATTAATATTAAAATATAGAAGGGAATAAGTAGGAGAAAAAGGGAATAGGGTGAAAAAAAATATAAATAATCTTATATGTTAAGAAAAATAAAATAAAATATTAATATTAAAATATAGAAGGGAGACAAAGTTTATTGGAGACTGTGTTACTAGTATTTGTTCACATCTCCTATTTTTTAAATCAAGAATAATCCTCATTATTATTATTATTTAAAATTTAACTAAAAAAAATTAATAATTTTATCAATGTTTTTAAAAAGGATAAATGATGGCTTAACTATATCACAATAATTTAATGAAACAATATAAATTTGGTGACACTTTTGTATATTGATTGTTTAATAGTTCATAATATGAAGTTGTTAGTTTGGAGAACTTCTACAGGTAATAAATGCACTTTTAAGTTATCTTTGGATTATCAAAGGGACTATTTTTATTTTTATTTTCTTTCATGATCTTGTCCATTCTTATTTTCAAATTACTTTACTTTCTTTGTTTTCATACTTGTTTTTTTTTTTAATTAATCAAATTTTAAAAGTAGACGAACAACGATAAACTAAAATAAAATAAAATAAAAGTAATTTGAATAATATGTTAAGTTTTCACGATATATTATTCAATAGAAGCAACCGTTGTATAATACTTTTGGGAGAAGTGTTTAGATCTATTTACGAGTTTCCTTTAACAAAACAATAATTAGCACATGGATTAGCCCAGACATATGCACTCATTGGGATGTGCTACCACTCACTCACTTCCTCACTCCCATTCATTAAAAACACTGCAACCCAACTTGTAAACAACAATTTTTACTTTTCTTAAACAACACACCAAAATCCAATGTCCTCTACCTTCTCCTAACGCAATTAATAAAGTTACTAAAAATTTATAAATTAAGATTATCAATTACGGATTAATGGTCGTGCCTTAGGAGTTACGAAACATCCTCCTAAATACCCGTCAATTTAGGCACACACACATTACTACTACTATACTATTCTATACTATACGGTGGACTATGTATAGTATACGTATACATCTACGACTACAAAAACGGCTTCGTTTGTGTTTTGTTCGTTGGGTTTGTGATGTAGTAGAGGTGTAAGCTGTGTTTGTGTTTGGGATTTGACTGGAGAGAATGAGAATGGGAAGAAGATCTCATTCTCTTCTTGTCTGAGACCAAAAGTCCAAACAGTCCGTTACATCTCCAAACAAACACGCCCACACCACCACCAATTCTCTTCTCACTCACTTTTACTTCTCTTTTTATCACCCTAAGTTGGTAACGTCTTTGCACTTAGTAGCCTAAACTAATCTTTTTCTTTTTAATTTTTCCCCCCATATTCAGAGCGCCTTCATAGATTTTCATTTCGTTTTCCTTTTTCTACCAGATCACTGAATCTCGGTGGAACTCAGTAACGGTCGCGGTTTCTCTCTGTGCTCGAGAATCGTGAAAATCAGGTGTGCTTTTGATTTTGATTGAAATTTTGAGTTTGGATTATAAAATCTTGTTCTCTCGTGTACTGCAGCTTAGGTGCATTATCTCCTTTTCGGGTTTTTTGTTTCGATTGGGTTAATTGACGGGTTGATGTTTGGTTGTTTAGGTAATTAGGAATGCCGATGGATGGAGCTTAGATTTGAGGAATGGGGTGTGTGATTAGCAGGGAGGTGTCGAAGGGGATAATCTCTGAGGTGAAGGAGGAGAAGAGTTTGAGTGGTGAGAGTAAGAGGAAGGTTGATGGAGTGTCAGGGAGCAAGGGTGGGGTTGTGGTAGAGGTTCAGAATGGTGGGGAGAAGGAGAAGGAGAAGGAGAAGGAGAAGGGTGGTGGTGAAGGGGTACAACGGCCTCGAGGCGAAAGGAGGAGATCGAAGGCGAATCCGAGGCTGAGCAATCTGCCGAAGCAGTTGCGGGGGGAGCAGGTTGCTGCTGGATGGCCGCCGTGGCTCACTGCTGTGTGTGGGGAAGCACTCAGTGGCTGGATTCCGCGAAAGGCAGACACCTTTGAGAAAATTGATAAGGTGTGTGTGTGTATGTGTTTGTTTCTAATTTGGGTGTATGCATTGCGTTGTGTTTAATTTTAAATGGAAAAGCATTTTGTAATCATGGATCATGCCTTATCTGGATGTGCTGATGTGGTTTGTTTGAAGCTCATTGCTGCAGATTATTCAATATCTCCATTTTTGTCAAAAGTAAAACTCATGATTGACTGCTGATATGGTTGTAATTTTCTGGTGGTTGAATTAACTGGAATTGAATTTGTGCGTTGTTTGATAGGATGAGATGAACCTGTGTAGTGTGGAATCTTACATTTGCTTCTGACGATGTTTATTTTCTTCTCTCAATTTCCTTGTTTTGCTTTCGTTTTAGATCGGGCAAGGAACTTATAGTAATGTGTACAAAGCTAAAGACACAATGACGGGGAAAATCGTTGCCCTAAAGAAGGTTCGTTTTGACAATTTGGAACCTGAGAGTGTAAAATTCATGGCAAGAGAGATTCTTATTTTGCGAAGGTTGGACCATCCCAATGTTGTAAAGTTGCAAGGTTTAGTTACGTCAAGGATGTCCTGTAGTTTATATTTGGTGTTCGATTACATGGATCATGATTTGGCTGGACTTGCTGCAAGCCCAGGAATCAGGTTCACAGAGGCTCAGGTTAGACCAGGTTTGCCTTAAAAATTGAAGAATTGCTTGTATCATTTGGTAATTGGTACATTTTCTTTTCAAGGAGTAGGGTTTGATGCCTCCAAATACTGTACCTTCATTGCAGGTAAAATGTTACATGCATCAGCTGCTCTCAGGACTTGAGCACTGTCATAACCGTCATGTACTTCACCGTGATATTAAAGGGTCAAATCTTCTTATTGACAATGAAGGAACACTTAAGATTGCAGACTTTGGACTGGCTTCTATTTTTGATCCAAACCATAAACATCCTATGACTAGTCGTGTAGTAACCCTTTGGTATCGACCTCCTGAGTTGCTCCTTGGTGCGACGGATTATAGTGTGGGTGTAGACCTATGGAGTGCTGGATGTATTTTGGGAGAGTTATTGGCTGGGAAGCCAATCATGCCTGGTCGTACAGAGGTAACAACTCACCTATCTAATCTTGTTGGCTTATAGGATTTTTCTTCATTTCCATGATAATACGTAATTCTATCAATCTGTCTTATATAGTATGTAAGCATTTGTGAGGGTAGAGACTGGACAGGTGCTAGTGATTACAAGGACGTTAATAGTAATTTAGCTTCAATTATGCAATGTAGATCAGTTGCTACCAAATTGCCTTGTCTACAGTGTATAATAATACTCATATTCTGTTTATAGAAAGATGTCTTCTTTTAGTAGGTACCCTAGTAGTAAATTTTATGTTAGTTTTAATATCTCTTGCATGGTTTGGGACAATTTCAAATTTGCATAGTTTGGTAATAAGATATAGCAATTGCATTTATTTGATGGTTATAAGAAATCACAATTAGATGTTTTTTCTAATTCTTTACTTGAATAGGTGGAACAACTGCACAAGATATACAAACTATGTGGTTCACCTTCCGATGAGTATTGGAAGAAGTCAAAGTTGCCTAATGCTACCTTGTTTAAACCACGAGAGCCATACAAGAGGCGCATAAGAGAGACATTTAAAGATTTTTCACCTTCTGCTCTACCCCTCATTGATACACTTCTCGCAATTGATCCTGTAGAACGGGAAACTGCCTCAGATGCTTTGAGAAGTGAGGTGAGCTTTTCAATATTCAATATCTTCTTCTTGTCAAAATACTGGTATGTTGATGTTCCTCTCTAAAGCTGTATGTTTTTCTTAACCATAAGAATCCCATCTTGGAATAGATTCAACAATTTGTTTTATTCGGAATTAAAATTAAATTAAATTCATTCATGGAATGAATGACTTGTCTTAAATTTTCACAATAAAGAGTGTAAATGATCTTAAATTAACGTAATATAGTTATATCTGTGTAAGAATTGATAGAATGAACCTTGAATCTGATTTAGGTGTTATACCTGTTGTGTTTTGATAATCGTTTTAAACCAAACCCATATACATTTACCTTGCTTGTTTGCTCCTACATTTTGCAGTTCTTTACCACAGAACCTTATGCTTGCGATCCTTCTAGTCTTCCAAAATATCCCCCAAGCAAGGAAATGGATGCTAAACGAAGGGATGATGAAATGAGGAGGTATCTCTGCTCTTAAGTTTCCTTTCTGCAAACACCCACCCACCCCCCCTCCTTTACACACTCATGCATATATATATATATATATATATATATATATATATATATATAGAGAGAGAGAGAGAGAGAGAGAGATTGGAAGGAAAATAATGCCTGTGATGAGTCCTGATATTACCTATACAATTCTATTTTGTATTCTTTAGATTATTTATTGGCATATGTAACCTTATACTATTTAACAAAGACACACACAAAGTCATCCACAAAACATAAACTCCAGTCTACACACTGATATTTAGAGTTATCATAACAAAAATTTCCTTGTCTTTTTTGTTAATGTTTAGTAGTTATAATATAGCTATCCTACTGTATTTTATTATCCCTAAGGTACTTTGTCTATATGAATGTTCAGACTAAGAGCTACAGGCAAAGCTCAGGTTGATGGTCCAAAGAAGCATCGTACTCGTGATCGTGCTACAAAAGCTTTTCCTGCTCCTGAAGCCAATGCTGAGCTTCAATCGAATATTGATGTACGTTTAATAATCACAAGTGTACTAGAGATGCTTTGGTTTAGTTTATAAAACCACTGAATATTATGTGCTTTGAGATTATTATCTCTTTCAAGAATGCTTAGTAAAATGAAATGATTGAGTGTAAGTAGAAAGGACAATTAGGATTTGGCATCATAACTCTTTCTGTTTCAGGCTGACACAAAAAAAGTGGCAACAGTACCATTTTGAACTAGTAGATTATTAAGATTTAGGGTACAATTTTTATACCAGTAGTCTTGGCCTGACCCCTATAGTAAAGTATATTGTTGATTATTAATGTGTTGTTTTAAGGTATTTGAATTACAGTGAAGCATGTAGTTATCTTCTGCAACTTATCTCTTTTCCATCCTGGACATACTGCTTAGATATCAACATGTTTAGAAGCAGTATCTTTTTATTAGGTTCATGTTTTGATAATGACTTCAGCTTGGTATTCAACAAACGGTTTGCTTAGGATAACATAGAGGGATCAAAGATCCCTCCTTATGAATATTTTTATGTTGGCTTCTGTTTTTTGAACGTTGTTTAAGGATTTTATTTTATCCTCTATTTCTTTGTGTTGCTAGTTTCCTTCTAATAATGTCTGGCTTCAAAATATGAATGCTTATGCATCCTTAGTCAAAAGTATAATTGATTAAACTTGTCTTGTAACAGAGAAGACGACTAATTACTCATGCAAATGCCAAGAGCAAGAGTGAAAAGTTTCCTCCACCGCATCAAGATGGACAACTTGGTTTTCCTCTGGGTTCTTCACATCATATTGATCCAGATACTGTTCCCGCTGATGTCTCTTTTTCATCAACCTCTTATACCTATTCAAAGGAACCATTCCAAGCTTGGTCTGGTCCCATTGGTAATGCTGCTGACATTGGAATGCCAAAGCGGAAGAAACACACTGATGCTTTGGATTTATCAAAACCACAGAAGGATGCTCTCAAGGACAAGGTTAAAGGAAAGAAAATCATAGCTTAGATATTAATACATTCTTATAGAGACAATGAAGAATCTGCCTCTGCAACCTCATTTTTGGGTGCAAACCAAGTGCTGCGCAATGCGCTTTTAAAAATGTCATGCTACTTCCTCGTTCTTCGGTAAGTATAATAGCTTCTCAGTTCTCAGCGAGGGATACAATTCATTTCCTCCCATCTCTACACCCTTCATTTTCATTCCCAATTTTTTATTTCTTGGTTTTATTTTTATTTTTATTAAAATTTTCTTTTCTGTTCAATCTGTTAGTATTATGAGAGAATTACTACTTTGTACATCGTTATTTATTTTTTAAAGGAATCCGTGTTAATATCTGAATTGTCATTAGTTTTTTTAGAATTACGATATACATTTGAGTTATTTTGGTGTTCTCATTTATAGATATGTAAAGTCTATTGGGGGATGAAGGCTGCAATGTAACTTGTAATCCTTCTACTGCACATCAAAATTAAGCCTATGTTTGGTAGAGAGGAAATAAATAGTGAATGAGAAAATAAATAATATGTGTAAAAATTAATTAAAAAATATAAATAGTTTGAGGGAAGGAAAAAGTAGACATGAAATTTATTTATTTATTTGTTTTATCTATTGTTGTTGTTATTATTATTATTATTATTATTATTATTATTATTATTATTATTATTATTATTATTATTATACAAATATAAAATTGTAAAAAAAGAACTCTATTAATTATGCTACTGTCATAATTATAACTTTTAAAAACACGGGAAAACAAATAATATATTTGTGACATAATTTATTATATATAAACCAGCTTTCTCCTAATACCGTGGAAAGTTGTGTGGGAAACATTATTTTTCATTTTCAGACGGTCCTTTCATGGTTCCCTTATTGTCTCCTGTAACATAACATAAATCCATCTTATAATTTTGAATCTTATTCAGAATTCAACAGGGTTAGGTACAACTACACGAATAAAAGAAAAGAAAAAAACTGAATGATATGTATGTAGTATTAATTAAGAACGTGAAAACACGTAAGACGAGATATTCGTAGGAGTGCCATGCATACTCGGTTTTTATTTGTTGTCCTAAATTTCCTTATTTTATATGTTGTATGCTATGGGAGTTTCCTTATTTTCATAGACAATGGTTGTCAAATCTAGTTAATTTATTGTATTTAAAGTTCTTTAATTCACAACAACTCTCCATTGATATTATTGACATCATCAGAGATATTTTTATCCTTATATTTTCAGCAGCTTTTGTTTCATATTTGTGTTTAAAAGGGATGTCATGCAAAAATACTTTTTCTTCTTGCGTGGAATTGCCGAACGATCTATTTCTAAACAAGAATCATTGTGATGATTCATTGCCAGAGAAAAATATTTAATATAACATATTCCATCAACATGACGGTATTTAGATAAGTGCGTTTTGTTTTCTTTTATTTACCTTAAATACAAATTAGAACCAAAATTGTAATTTCAATTTTTTGAGAAATTTGAATAATTTAACTTAGAATAGTATAAGTAATCATATTAGATTAGAGTTCAAATAAAATGTCATTTGAAAATTATTTTAGTTATAATTTAACAGAGAGAAATGTATTTACAAAATGAATTAATAGGAAATTCATTTTAAATTAAATTAATTTAAATTCTAAAGTATTTCTAATGACATTAAATGGGAGTTTATTTATAAAATTAAATTACTATTATTTTTATGGAGAAAATAAAATTTCAAGGAATAAAATCACAATAAAATTAAATTTTATTTAACATAATATTTTATTTCATTTTAATGAACTAATACTTAGTTATAGAAATAATTTTTTATCATATTTATTTTGATAGATGAAAATACAATCATATTACTTATAATATATTTTTTTGGTGAAATCTAGGACAGGAGATAGTATAAAAATCCCCTGTCGGGAAGTAAATGTGTTACGCGCTAATAAACTTTTTTTTTTTTTTTTTTTTTTTAAGATAATCGTGAGTACATAGTAGGAGTATACACTAAAATGAAATTTAAAAAGTTGAATATATTTTTGTTTTTTTTATTTATTTTTAAATTAATTAAATAATCTTTCAATTAAAAAATAATTATTTTATTAATTTTATGACAACGAAATTAATGATGCTAGATTTAAATATAAAAAATATTAATTTTGGAGGTAATTTAATTATTTTATTAATTTTATGACAGAAAAAAAATTATTATTATTAAGTTTAGATGTAAAAAGAATTAAAACAGTTGGAAAATTGAATTGATACTCTAAAATATAAAACTTACAAATATATTTAAAAATATAATATATAATTATAAAATTATAATAAAAATACTTACTTTATTTTATAGTATTAATTATAATTTTTTTATATATAGAAAAATTAAAGTGGTCTCATATATTTATTTTGTGATTGTATATTTATATTTAAAAATATTAAAAAATTACAAATAAAATTATATAATAGAAAAAATGAAAAATAAATATATAAAGGACAACGGTTATACATATCAATTTTTTTATTAATAATATAAATTAACTCTTATAAATTTTTCAATTTTAATTATCATCAAAAGATAATAATTTGTCAGAAAAACATACATGTATTATATAAAAAGTAATCATATTATTGTTTCTGTAACAGGAATGTATAATTAAATCACTAATGTTTATTATTTTCAATATAATAAAATTAGTTTTAGATAAATGTATTTTTTCTCCTAAGAAAAAGTATATATTTATTCAATAATTGTTTTTTTATTTTATTTTTCATATCGAAATGTAATTTAGGAAAAAAATTTGATTTTGTATTTTAAAAAAATTATTTTAAGCTTATAATTTCGTTTTTTAATTTAAAAAAATGTAATTTGAATTATAAGTTAATGTAAAGATTAAATTTATATTTTATAATTTTAAAAATTAATTTATTAAATTTAAAAATAAATTCACGAAGAAAAAAATATATTTAACTCTATCATTTATCTTAATTACTTCTAGTAAGAAATTCACAGGATTTGAAATAAAGAAAAAGGCTTCATCAACTCATTAAAAAATAACAGTTCCCATTAAAGATAAAATCACAAAAAGAAGACTTGAGGAGAAAGAAAAAATAAAAATAAAAAAAGAATCGTGAAGATTCATGCTCACTCATTCAATTCAATCCCACGCATACAATAAAACCGAAGGACTGCGTGTGAGTGTGTGCGAATTGAATCCGAAAAACCCAACCAAGACTTTGGGTGGTAAGAAATAGCGAATCTCTCTCTGTCTCTGTTTCTCTCTCAAGTCTGAACAACATAAGGAGTGAAAGAAAAGAGTAGCAGTTGAAGTTAAGAATGGAAGATAGTGTTGGCAATAACAGCATGATTGCCAACAATGTGGCACAAGCTATACACACCGCCCTTGATTGGGCCTCCACCCCCGACGCTCGTCAAAACGCCGTCGCTTTTCTCGATTCCGTAAACTCTTTCTTTCCCTTCCTCGTTCGTTTTCTCCGTTTCGTAGGGCTATAACAAGTTTTACTTTTATGATTCCTCTCGTACATCGTATCACTCCTTGTTTTGTGAATTTTTGTATTTTCTGTTTGCATTTCTGCTTGTTTTTAGAAATAACTGCAATACTTTTTGCAAAAGCCCTAATGAGCATACAGCACACACCTCATCGATTTGTTAATGAACTTATCTATGTTTCTATGCACTTTTAGACACATTTATCTCAGTAATCGTCGTAGATTGATAGTGTATTGTCAATTTAAAGGAACTCGTTGGCTTTGACTATAGGTTTCTTTCATGCTGTCCTCAATTGTGCTGTGAAAGTTGCTGTTTCATTTGTAATTTTGAATAACTAATTAAATATCGTTTTTGCTTTCCAAAATATTACGAAGGATTGACCATGGTATATATAAAGGAAGCCATTGTTTGTCTCTGGATGTAGCTTGTGTAGTTACTGTTACAGGGATTATTGTTGTTTTATGATTGTTGCTACTTTATAGTGATTAACTGTCTTGCTTTAATATTGACACATGTTCGAGATGAATTAATCCATGCATGGGAATTGCTACTCTAGAGGATTCATTTTCTTGCTTTAGTATTTGAAACAGGCTGGACACTAATTAATTTATGTAAAATTTCTTCAGATCAAGACAGGTGATGTAAGGGTATTAGCAAACACATCATTCCTTTTGGTGAAAAAGAACTGGTCGTCTGAAATTCGGTTACATGCCTATAAAATGCTACAGGTTCAAGTTTGCATGCTTTTATTGCGCTTTTCAGTGATAAGTCTGCATAGGTGTTTATTCTTTCCCCTTATGTGAAAATGTATCTGTATATGCAGCATTTGGTGCGGTTCCGCTGGGAGGAATTAAGCCCTGCAGAGCACAAGAACTTTGCAAATCTTTCTATTGATTTGATGTCAGAGATTGCAGATCCTTGCGAAAATTGGGCTCTCAAAAGCCAGACAGCTGCCCTTGTTGCTGAGGTTTTCATCGCAAGGCACTTTATTTTCATTATTATTGTTTTTTACTCTGTCACAATTGCAGGTTTGCCTTACATAGAATATATTCTTTGGTGCTTCTGTCACAGGTTGTTAGAAGAGAGGGTCTTGGTTTATGGCAAGAAATGCTTCCATCTTTGATTTCTTTATCCAGCAAGGGTCCAATAGAAGTAAATTTCAAGTTTCTCCACTTCAATCATTTTGGTTCGATTTTATTCAATTTCATTATAGTTACTGAAATTTTTTTTATGATTCACGATTATGTTTTAGGCTGAGTTGGTTGCAATGATGCTGCGGTGGCTTCCTGAAGACATTACTGTTCACAATGAAGATTTAGAAGGTTTGATATAACTTGAGTTTTCTCGCATGGATTGTGAGTGTGGCTCATGTGCACAAACTGTGTAAAATAATTAAAATTTTCCAACTTTTTCTGTCTATATATATATATATATATATATATATATATATATATATATATATTAAAAATGGAGTTGCATGCAAATAAAAGTAAAAATACATGAAAAATGGAATAATTTTAACTCATTCAATTTGTGGACACTCATCAAAGATGAAAAGGATGCCGGAGCCATGATGTAGCCTCAACGTCTATAGCAGCTACAGTAGCACAAATCAAGTTGCGGTTGTGAATCCAAGGAATTCCCCGCAACAATAATGCCAATAACTACTATTTAACAACATTGCAAATAAGAGTGTCCCACAAATGAAATACAATGCATAAACCCAACACTCCTAAAATGCTGCCTTTGTTAACACTCATAAATGTTCTGTATTTGATATTGAGTGACTTTTCTTTATATGATATGTTGCATATTATTCTTACTTGTCATGTTGATGTATTCAGGTTGTCGGCGAAGGTTACTTCTGCGGGGGCTAACTGAATCGTTGGGTGAAATTTTGCCACTATTATACACTGTATATCACAGCTTTGAACCTTATTACATGCTTTTTTAGTCAATGTTAATAACTTCATTGTTGTAACTTGTGATACTTATGCAGTTACTAGAAAGGAACTTTACAGCTGCATTGAATGAAGCTAGTCGAAAACAGATGGATGTCGCCAAACAGCATGCTGCCACTGTAACAGCTACTCTAAATGCAGTGAATGCATATGCTGAGTGGGCGCCATTGTCAGATTTAGCTGAGCATGGCATCATTCATGGGTATGTTTTTTTCCTCTATTACCTTGTACCATGCAATATTCTTGTTACATTAATACCTATACTCTGATTTTCTCTTTCTGCTGACCATGTTTTTCTGTTAACTCCCTGCAGTTGTGGTGTACTATTATCTGCTCCAGATTTTCGTCTTCATGCTTCAGAGTTTTTCAAACTTGTCTCTCCAAGGTATGTGTCAGTGATGGTTTTATACATATGTCATTGATCAATAATACCATGGGTCACTCTGAATTTTGATTGTAGGAGGAGGCCTACTGAAACATATGTTCCTACATTTGACCAAGCTATGAGTAACATCTTTCAAACATTGATGAATGTATCTAGAGAATTTTTGTATAGATCTGGTTCAAGTCCTGGGTCCTTAGATGAGGGAGAATACGAATTTGCTGAATATATATGTGAGAGTATGGTGTCACTGGGTTCTTATAACTTGCAAAGTATTGCTGGTGATAGCACCATACTTCCACTTTACCTGGAACAGGTATGGACTATATAGTAATTTTGTAACATTAAGCAGCTTGGGGAAGGGAAAACTTTACTTAATATAATATATTAGTTATGATTTTGGTTTCTCTGCAGACAATTTGTCATATATTCTTGTTTTGTGTTCAACATCATGATTACAGATAAGAGTATCTTGTCTTGGTAATACATCATGCAAACTTGTGCTCATAACTTGGTTGTCTAATGCCTAGTTATTGTTGTTATTATTTTGTTCACACTAGTGCTGTGTAGTTACTATCTCATGATCGGCACTATTGTGCGGTTTTGCAGCCGGGTGGCCCTGCTCCTCTTTTGTCTATTGTTGTTGTGTCTATCCACCATGTCTGGAGTGGCATGATTTTCAATTGAGATACATTTCTCAAATTTCCCCGGACATGGAACTGTAGACTCTTTCGTTCTTGAATCAGTATTGTTATACTATTTGGGGGAGGAGAGACTTGTAGAATACCAGATTGTTAGACCCTAGTCATCTGGATCTTCCATTTCCGAGTTTCCTTTGTGCCTAGGTTGTAGTCTTGCTCCTGCCAAAATCTACAGACTTGTACTTCATTGTTGCACATCATGTGCCTCTATATTCTGTTCACATTCTTTGGGGTATGTTCAGAGGTTGTCTATCTGTTCACAATTGACTTTTCTGTTCTGCCTGTTTCATTCTTGATTTTTCTGCACATGAAAGTTTCTGTTTTTCAATTTTTATCATTTATTTCTTATTTTTAATTATGTTATATTTTGTTGTTTCAATACTGATACTCATTTTTAATCCTACTTACATTTTTTTTCTCAAAATTGTCATATTTTTTTAAACATATTTTCTAGTTCTAATTTTAATAATTATTTTTTAATTTATGTTTTAAATTCTATCATATTTTTATTGTTTTAAAATTCTCTTGCATTTTTAATTGGTGTTTTCTGATTCTGTTTGTCACTTTTGTTAATTTTTAGCATTTACTTTTTCTTTTTAATTATTCATTTTCTTACATGTATGTCTTGTTTCCTCTTTTGTTAACTGTTGTGTTCGAACAAGTAACTTATATTCTCCTTTCTTGTGGTCTTGTTTATTTTATGTTGTTATTAACTTCTGGGCTTAACCTAAAATTATGACTTAATTATTATCTATGAATATATGCCTTTAGTTATGAGTATCATTTTGTGTATTTACATATGTGATATATGTAGTATAAGCTATTTAATTTACATGTAGAAATTTCAAAATAGTGGTCATTCTGCTATAGTGGTTTTGGGATGAGCTGCTCCATGCCTCTGTCTAGGTTAACATGCATGTTTCCATGATGCATGAAGATAAATTTTTTGCCTTTCATTTTACTACTATAATGTAGGAGCATACATCTATCTTGTATTTTGGTTTATCCTTTCATTTTAATTTCTCTTGTTTCTCTCCAGATGCTGGGATTTTTCCAACATTTTAAGTTTGCGATTCATTTTCAATCCATGCACTTCTGGCTGGTATGTCAGCATACTGCACAAAAGTACTTTTTGATGGTGTTCCATGTGTATAGTGAATATTCAATACTGTGTTTCAAATGGTCATATCTCATTTCTTTCCTCAAATGTACCTGTAGGTTCTAATGAGGGATTTGATGTCAAAGCCAAAAATTTCCACACATTCAGCTGCTGACAGTTCGGCTGTTAGTAGCACAGGTTCGGGAGAGGTTGAAAATGTGAAGAAAAAGACTCTAAGCTTTGTGAGTGATGATTTTTGTGGTGCAATTTTGGATACATCTTTTCCTCGAATGCTAAAAAGAGAAAAAATTCTGCATGAGACTGCTATTTCTTTAGGGGTATTGGAGTTGTGGAGCGAAGATTTTGAGTGCAAGGGAACATTCAGCCTGTATCGTTCTAGATTGGTATGTCTCACATGCATATATGAAGTCAGAGAATGTGTCTTATCACATGAAATGTATTGTAAGAAAGTTATTACTTGTTATTTTACTGAAAAAAATTTCATCATGAAGTTCTAAGACAGTATTTGGAACTAATGGTTAAATTGCTTGCAATGTTTCCATTGACTGTACATAAAATCTCATTACTGCATGAGTTATGGCACACTTATTGTTTTGCAACATTCATTATAATTCAACTTTTGGAATCAAATATGTAAAAGATGCAGGGAAAGAAATTTGTGCAATGGAACATTGACTTTTTAATCCCAGACTAATTTGGCACAACTGAGAAAGGTTAAAAATTACAGAGAACGAGCATATTTTAGTCTAAATGTTTTTGCTTTTGAGCAAGACATATATAGTTCTTGTAGCAATATGCTCAAATATTCTGTATTGGTATTTTAATTGTTTATTTTTCTCTTGTTTCAAGTCTACATCTATTCCTCTTTAAGCTTTATGTCCAATTAACCCTTTCAAATCATTTTTAACTAATGAATGGTATTATTGAAACAGTTGGAATTAATTAGGTTTATTTCTTCTTACAAAACCCTGATGGCTGCTACTAAAGTATCTGAAAAAATTGATACAATCATTAAAGGTTTCTTGCTTTCTCCAGCACCAACTCAGGTATAAATACCTCCATTCCAATTTTAATATACTCTTAATATAGTGGATATTTTAATCTGTGTCAGGTGTGCTCCACTTTCATTTTTAGCTTATATGTTATTATCTGTTATGGGTTCTGCTTTTCTTACTGTAGGACTTAGCTGTGATGGAAAGCATGCAGTTGGCTTTAGAGAGTGTTGTAAATGCTGTTTTTGATGGATCCAATGATTTCGCCAAGGCAACTGCTGAAGTCCAGTTTACATTACGTAGAACATTTGAAGGTTATTTTAGTTAATCTTCCAAATTTGCTGTTTTAGAATTTCATACTTAGACTTCTGTAATAATTATGGTTACTGTGTCTTGTAGGTTTACTTCAATTATTAATTTCCTTAAAATGGACTGAGCCTGCACTTGTTGAAGTACTTGTTCACTATTTGGATGCTATGGGCCCCTTTCTGAAGTATTTCCCGGACGCAGTTGGCAGTGTTATTAATAAATTATTCGAACTGCTAACATCTCTGCCAACTATAATCAAGGTTCCCCCAACAATCCCTTTTTTATTGTTGTTTCAACCAATGAGAAATTTTGTGGTGTGTTTAATTCTATATGTTTCCTGATAGGATACGTCAATGCATAGTGCTCGGCATGCAAGGCTGCAGATCTGTACATCATTTATTCGGATAGCAAAAGCTGCTGACAAAAGCATCTTACCTCATATGAAGGTGAATTCTTTAAACACCAATTGATGGAAAATTATGAGTAGATGGTCGTGCCAAATAAGTCGGAACTGTCTCTTTTACATCAATGAGACAATTACATATAGAGGAATGCTCTTAAATATGAAATTTACAGGGAGGGGCTATGGAGGAGAAAGCTTGTTATGCAATTAAAGTAGCCTTAATCTATTTGTGAATTAATCTTATGAAAGTTGAGTCACGGCATAATAGGAATCAGATACTATAGAGTTCATACTGAACTAGCTAAGACTGGTTGAAACTTCCATTAGTATAGGGACCTATGTATTAGTCTGATATAATTTCTAAAACTCGATTTATTATGATCATGAGTTGACTTTTAATTGGACAAGAAAGTCAAGAGTCTGTTAATAATATCGTATTTTACATATTGGCTTTGCATAATTGTGCTTATGGTGAACATCTGCCTAAATTGGGGTTTAGCCGGACCTGCCTTAGCTGCGGCTTCTTTGGGCTGCCTTAATTGCAGCATTGAAGTGGGTGTATATAGTCCAATGTCAAACTTATGTATAGGTTTGGGACTTGGGGCGTTAAATTATTTGCTTAAACTCGTTTCATATGTAGCTAAAGACATGAGTGAAGTTAAGGTTTATCTGACAAAAGGTTTATATATTATTTATGTACAATACAGATAATGCTCAAAAATGTTACCAAGGTTTGGCTTATGGTGCTATACTTTTACTAAAATTTAGATTTTAGTATAAGCCCACACTGTTGCTATGTCAGGAGACATTGACAATGCATTAATTTTGATCTCTGTCTGAAGATGAACCATTATGTCTTCAAGTCGATATTCTTTCCAGATCCTTTAGTCATTATAATTTGGACACTTCTTCATATATGCTCTAGATAAAATTTTGCACAGTCCCTAAAGTGTGGTTTGAGGAGATGGCATTTATTTAATTTATCGATTTTCTATGTAGGGCATTGCTGATACAATGGCATGTTTGCAAAGGGAGGGGTGTTTGCTTCAGAGTGAGCATAATCTTTTAGGTGAAGCTTTTCTTGTTATGGCTTCTTCTGCTGGGTAAGGATCAAAAGGAGAGGCAATTCTTTTAATTCTTAAATTTGATACTTTATTAATGTTTGCAATTAACCTTTTCTTACTTGTTATTACTCTAAACATGGACTCAGAATTCAACAGCAACAAGAAGTTTTAAAATGGTTGCTAGAACCTTTGAGCCATCAGTGGACACAATCCGAGTGGCAGGATAAATATTTGTCAGGTCCACAGGGTTTGGTTCAGTTGTGCTCTGAACCGCCTGTTATGTGGTCAATTTTTCATACATTGACATTCTTTGAAAGGGCACTTAAGAGGAGTGGATTGAAGAAAGCCAATTGGAATTCAGAGAACAGCTCAACACCGAATTCAACTCCTTTAAATCCAATGGCCTCTCACATATCATGGATGGTGACTCCTCTCTTGAAAGTATGTATACTGCCATTAAGAGGCTGGCCACACTATATTTCCTGTAGTATTTTGCAACAAAATGATCACTATGCTTATAAAGTTGCTCTCTGACTACTTTATATTAATAAGTAAAGCACATTATTATTTTCCAGCTACTACGTTGTATACATTCCCTTTGGTCTCCATCTGTATGTCAAGCTTTACCGGGAGAGGTCAGAGCTGCAATGGTCATGATTGATGTTGAGAGGTCCAGTCTTGGAGAAGGGAACTCTAAATTGCCAAAGGGTTCATTGACTGTTACAGATGGATCTAAGGTAGACATTAATAAAGAAGGATATGCTGAACCAAATGAATCAGATATACGAAACTGGTTTAAAGGAATCAGAGACAGCGGGTATGTGTCCAAATCCTTTTTCTATTATAATTAATTATTAGTTGTGCCATGTATGGTTGGTCTCCCCCATCAATATTTGTTCTGCACCAAATCTCTAGAAAAGAGAAAAAATAAGTTCCTTGTAAGCAGAAAATTCTGTATATGAGACTTTTGCATCTTTATTGTTCTTTATTCACATCTCCAATTTTTTACTAAATCCTTTGTTTATATGAAGATATAATGTATTGGGCTTGTCAACAACCATTGGGGATTCGTTTTTCAAATATTTGGATGTGCACTCTGTTGTTGTTGCCCTGATGGAGAATATACAGTCGATGGAGTTCAGGCATATAAGACAGCTTGTTCATTCCACTTTGATTCCTTTGGTTAAAAATTGTCCTTTGGACATGTGGGAGCTTTGGCTGGAAAAGATTCTTCAGCCATTGTTTGTCCATGCTCAGCAAGCTCTTAGCTGTTCATGGTCTAGTCTTCTACAAGATGGTAGAGCAAAGGTTCCAGATGTTCTTAGCATTCTTAGTGGATCAGACTTGAAAGTGGAAGTGATGGAGGAAACGATTCTGAGGGATTTCACGCGTGAGATTTGTTCACTCCTCTCAGTCATTGCTTCTCCTCTCCTTAATAATGGAGTCCCTTCTTTGGAACAGTCTGGGCATGTTAGTCGATCAGACACGGCTACTCTAAAAAGCTTGGACACAGTTGCGTCATGCTCTATGGTTGGGTATGCTTTCTACCTGTTTGTAACATAAGTTCTTTCATATTTTGTAACTTCAGTTTGTGAGCTTTATTTGTCAATTCTTTTGTGACAGTTTCCTTCTAAAGCATGAAGGTCTGGCCCTTCCAACACTACGGCTATGTTTAGAAGCTTTTACATGGACGGATGGTGAATCTGTGACCAAAATTTCTTCATATTGCTGTGTGTTGGTAGTTCTGGCGATAGTAACAAATCATGCAGAACTCGTTGAATATGTTTGTAGAGATCTTTTTACATCCATTATTCAAGGTTTAACCCTTGAATCAAATGCAATAACCAGTGCTGATCTAGTTGCCATCTGTCGTGAAATATTTGTATATCTTTGTGATCGACACCCAGCTCCCAGGAAGGTTAGTATTTTGCTTTTCTTTGTGATCGCTTAGCTATTTTTTTCTCCTTTCACCTTTGGCATTTGAATTTCATTTGCAAAGAAGAGGATTCTAAAACTTTTTTCTATTGAGTGATGTATTTTGTTACTTCTTCTAGGTTTTGATGTCTCTCCCCAATATTACCCCTCACGATTTAGTTGCATTTGAGGAATCTTTAAAGAAAACATCCAGTCCAAAGGAACAAAAGCAGCATATGAAAAGCTTGCTTCAATTAGCTACCGGTAACAAACTGAAAGCACTTGCAGCACAGAAAAGTGTAAATATCATTACAAACGTTTCATGTAAGCAATGTCTTCTAATTATTTTTTCGCATTTTACTTCAACTTCTGGAAAATATAGTTTGGCATATGAACAGTCAGTTAATAGATCGATGTAATGCCATAAACTGTAGATCTTCTCCATGTTCGGTAGTAATTGTAATTGTGATAACATATGATTGTATTGCTATGCTTGTCATTATATGTTTTCTGCATATATCTATGTTGCTGGTAATATTATAAAATTTTTAACCTCTTATATTTAATAATGGTTTTCAGTGAGACAGCGCAGCTCAAATGCTCCCGAGTCCAAAGTTGATGATGGTGATGTGGGGTTGGCAGCCATCATGTGATATTGTTTTGGGCTCACGGAAGGTTTTGTGTACAGGAGTGAGCTCATTGAGAAGATTTTTAGGTTTTTATTAATTTACTAACAAAGGGTGCGAAAGCATTTCTTCCCCAGCAAGATTAACAAGGAAATCGGGTGAGTACGGGAGATTTTAGGCCCTTCATCATTACTCATAGCAACTTGTGAATCAGGTTACTGTATTCTCTCTTTCCTTCATCTGTAGCTTTCTTCGGCATAGCACAACCACACCTGGCAGTTCAGACTTGTGTATTTAATTGTTGCCATAATTCAAAGCTGGCGTTTGATTATTTTCATTATTTTTTATTCCTCACGTTTGAAGATAAACCGGGTAGAATTAGAAACAAACTTTTACCCTCTAAATGTTGACGTGTTTGATTATAGGGCTAAAACCCACTATCTGGGATTTATATGCAGTTTAGGAAATGTTTGGACAAGTTTCTTTAGAGAAAAAAGATAAAAAGAAAAAAAAAAGTCTTTCTATATATCAACTAAGAGAAGTTTAGTTCATTTTTATTTTTTATTATTTTTCTCAGAATTTTTTTTGGAGAAGTATGTTTGAGCAGGCCCCTAGTACTACTACTAATAATAATGATCTAGAAAATATGTGAAGTTTATGGTTGAATTAGTGAATAATTCGTTGCACCATTCGCAGTATTTAGAATTTACTAATTTGTGAAATAAGGTATGAATGGTTGGATTTATGGTTGTATTGTATTGAAATATACATTAATGATTTTAGGTAATATTCACATTTTTAGTTTCATATGGATGAATTGATTCAATTAAAGTAATTTAGTTTTATGTTAGATAAAGTAAATAAATTAAATAAACTGTTAGTTTTTAGAATAAAAACATCTGTATGTAAATTACATCAATTTAAATCAAAGTAGTCTCACATTCCAAATCATATTTGTATTTTAGATCATTCAATTTTAATCAAAATTAATCGAAGTGCTAGTGCTTAAAGTCATGTTTCCATCACGTTTGAGATAAACAAGAAGTGGTTGGGAATGTTGTAAGCCGTTGATTTATTTAATTGATTTATAAGAAGATAAAGGAAAATTTAATTATTTATTTGTAGTATTGGAACGTTTTTAATTTCTAATTATTGTAAATGTGTTTATGTATGTTTTTAGTCCCTTATAAATACGGTTAGGAATTGTTAAGGATTTAGAACTTAGAGATATTTTCATGGAGAATAAAAGTCGAGAGAACCACTAAAAGCTTACTTAAATTAATTAATTTATTTATAAAGTTTATTTTAATATGAAACTATTAATATACAAAAATAAAATTATTTAATTATATTTAGTTGTTTCACTTTTATAAGATACTTGAAAAATTGCATGTAATGAATGATTGGTTAAATAAAAATTTTAAGTTAAAAACGTGATATAAAAATGCATACGCCTATTGTCAGTGGATTTTTCTTATCAAAATTAATTGTGATATTCAAAATGAGGATACATGTATTCTTCTTTTTTTAAATGAAAAATTAATAGGAGCCTTTTGTCGCTTTGAAGACAATTTTGTTTTGTTGTTACCATAAAGAAAATTATTTTAAGACTATGTTGTTGGACAAAATCAACTCTAATAAGATCCTAGCCTAGTTTGTGTCTTAAGTTTTTCAGATTTAGATATTGTTAAGTGTGACTCAGCCCAAAATCTAGGGATAACTTGAAAGCAATTTTTTGAAAACACCCTTTATTCCAAGACATTTTAAAAAAACTACAAATCTAATTTTACATATCTTTCTAATACTCGTTTCCTTAAATAAAATATTTTTTTATTACTATTAAAAATAGCGATGGGAATGTATATAAAATTTAAATATTTTTCAAAAAAAAACTTTTACAATGCTTTCTTAATCATTGCCATTGCTGGACTTAAATTTAAAAATAGACTCATGAAATATAATTTCAAAATATATACACCAGATTTAAAAGAATTTTTAAAACGACTCGCGTTCTTTTAAACTAAATCTTTTAAGATAAAAGTCTCGCCTATTTAGTAAATATATGTGAGTTAACTCAGACTCTCGAAACTATTACTGCACTAAATGTATGTATTATAAGAGTTATTTAGCTAAATTACGTGAATTATGTATAAAAATATATATATTTTATGTGGCACATGTGATTTTGAATTGTTTAAAATTAAAAAAAAATGTTTCTAGAATCATTATGAACTGTTTAGTATTTGCATTAAATATAAAAGAGAACATGAAATATTGTAGATAGATAACTAAATCACCAGTCGCCAATTTTGATCTGTCAAATTTCTTTTTGAAATTCTAAAATCATAGTTACTGAGTAAACAACCTTTCACTCGAAGTATTTTCGACGAGAATGGCATGCAAGAAGCATAAACAGAAGCTGGTTTGAAAGTTAGGTTAAAATCAATTGGAAGATTAGTTGGGAGAAAGTGAACAGATATATATAGATGCTTCTAGGCTAAGTTTATTCATGTGCTGCTGTCCTATAAATTTTCAAGGAGCTCAATAGTCCTTTCTCAATTCCATTCCCAACTTCATATCTTCTTTTTCTTTCTTTCTTTCCAGGAACTTTAATACATTCTCAAAGAGAAAATCGTTGCTTAAAATGGGACCCGGTGGTCCAGGCCCAGGCCCAGGCCCAGGAGGCCCTCCCGGTTGGGGTCCACCAGGCCCAGGAGGCCCAGGCTTTTTCGGTGGGTTTTGCGATGTCATTAACTCTTGGTAAGTAAACATTGTGATCCAGTATTCAAGCTATTCCAGAAGGTTAACTCAGTACAATTCTTTAATTTCTATAAACCGATAATATGAATGCATGAAAGCCATAATGTGTTACGTTTTCGAAGTGTAAAAGTGGAGAAAAAAATGTTAAAGAAAGTAGAGCGAGTGGTTGAATAAAGAAGAAATAAACGAAAAAATATCTAAAGGACATACTCTGTTCTATCATTTATTAGTTATTTTAGAAAAAAAATAATAAAAAATAATTTACTTGTGGGTCTCACTACATTGCATATTCACACAAATGGTATATAATATAATGTATTTTTTTTTCTATTTAATTAGTACCATTTGTAAAGCTAATTTTGATTTTTGTTTTGTTTCTATTGAAACAGCTTGAGCTTTTTGTGCTGCTGCTGGTTGCTACGGGATTGTTTTGGTGGCCCACCGGGCCCACCTGGAGGAGGCCCATTCGGTCCACCTGGGCCTCCATGAGTTTCCAAGTTACCTTGATTACATTGTGTTTGTTTTGAGTTTCATAGAAACCAATAAATTATTTCACGCTCTATATGTTATGTATTTAATTATGAACAGAATTCTGCTTATTTGTGTTTGATGTAATAATACATTCCTAGCACGGTAGAAGGTTGAAGAATTTAATTCTTATAAGATCGAAATTTTCTTTTTCTTTTTTTAAGCTTTATAAATAAACTTTTTCGTAATCAGTTAATGATATGTGTATGTAAAATACACTGTAATTTTCAAGTTAAATGAGATATCATTAATGCAATAAATATGTAATAATATATATTTTGAAATCTTTGTCTATGTTAATAAATCCACATTTAATAAGTTGATCGAATATGATATTAATATTTTAATTAGTGTAATAAATCAAATATTTTTCTTAATAAAGAATTACGATGGATGATTTCTCACACAATTGAGTTTTCTTATTAAATGATTTTGTTATATGTACACTACAATCATTTTAATGGACTTTTTTTCATAAATAATACTGTTTTAAAAAATATTTACCCAAATAGCCTCTCTGCAACTTTATTTACATAACTAGACTGTTCATCGTTCACTTAATAAAATAATATTATTTCGCGTAATTGTTCACTGTTCACTATATTAAAATAATATTATTTCGCGGACTGAACTCTCGCTCAAGCGAAGAAAACCTTCGCTTGAGCGAGGAAACCTGTAACAAAGGGGTAGTCTGGGGTAAATTATCGCTCAAGCGAAGGTTTTCTCGCTTGAGCGAAAAGTATGATCGACTATTATCCCATTATAGTCGATCACTTTAACATATATGACTTTAGATAGCGGTTATTTGGCCAACCGCTATCTAAACTGCTGCATTAGATAGCGGTTATTTGCCCAACCGCTATGTAATATAGTAGTTTAGATAGCGGTTGGCCAAATAACCGCTATCTAAAGTGACTCAAGCGAAAATCACCCCCTTGTTTCCAGGTGTCCTCGCTCAAGCGGTGTGATTTTCGCTTGAGTCACTTTAGATAGCGGTTATTTGGCCAACCGCTATCTAAACTACTATATTAGATAGCGGTTGGGCAAATAACCGCTATCTAATGCAGCAGTTTAGATAGCGGTTGGCCAAATAACCGCTATCTAAAGTCATATATGTCAAAGTGATCGACTATAATGGGATAATAGTCGATCATACTTTTCGCTCAAGCGAGAAAACCTTCGCTTGAGCGAGAATTTACCCCAGACTACCCCTTTGTTACAGGTTTCCTCGCTCAAGCGAAGGTTTTCTTCGCTTGAGCGAGAGTTCAGTCCGCGAAATAATATTATTTTAATACAGTGAACAGTGAACAGTTGCGCGAAATAATATTATTTTATTAAGTGAACAGTAAACAGTGCTAGTTGTGTAAATAAAGTTACAGAGGGGCTATTTGGGTAAATATTTTTCAAAACAGTATTATTTATGAAAAAAAGTCTGACATATATTGTATTTTTTATATATTAATTCTATAACGATTTTTACATCAAAGAAATAATCAATCAAATAATAATAAAAAAAACAGCTAAACAAATATCATTAGATAATTTGGTTAATCTATATTGTGGACTTTTTGACAGAACAATATATAAAATCTACATACACCTAATACTTTCCATGAATCATTCCTTTGTTTGTTTATTTATTTATTTATTATTATTATTATTATTATTATTATTATGGTTTTTAACAATAAAAATGGTGAATAAATTTGTTAATGAAAAACAACACACTAGTTTACCTTCTTTTTTTTTAATTACACTTACATAACATTAAGAAAGGGCATGTAACATTATTAAATAAAAAAATATGTATTTATCAGTGTTTTTAAATTTTAGCAGATCATAAAATCTATGAAAATATTAATTAAGTTTCATATATCTCAATAATATTTTAATAAAAAACATGTAATGTAAGAATAAAAATATAAGCTATAACTTCATAATATATACTTCAATCTCAAAGTTTCAAGCTGATTACTATTTTTACATTACAAAAATACACACGGCAAATCTTAAAGTTTCACATAAAATATTATCTTTTCTCAAAACAAAATATGTTATGCAAATTTGCACTCTAAAAAAAGCTTATATTGGTCGTTATTTTCCTCTTTTTGTAGATATATTTATAAGTCTCAAAGTCTCATCGATTTTTTTTTTTTAACGTATAAAAATCCACAAAGGCAGTGAATTTGTCACAATGTTGAATACACCACCGGGTAAAATAATATACCTTCAAAAATATGTTGAAGTGTGTTATATAGTGTTTGTATGCAACAATCACAAATTTCACTTTTAAAGTTTAAATATTTAACTAAAAGTTTTTTTTTTTCATGAACTGGATTTTGATAAATTTTATTGACTCACCAATTTTTAAACCAGTTTTTAATTGAACTTCTAAGATCTAATTGAACCAAATATCATACTACTTTACCAATTTTTTATTTAACAGATTGATTTAATCTAACTATCAAAATATATGTATTTATCGCTTTATTAAAGTCATGAGATATATAATTGACGGTTTCCTTCAAGAGACAATATGAGTGTAATTTAAAAATATTTCTAAGGAAGTGAATATATTTTCTGTTGCTAACTTACTATGTCTGTTACCATTGCCATTTTCTTGGATTTCAATGAAAACACAATGCAAAAACAAATTAAACATGAAAATGAGAAAGGAACAAAATTAGAGTTATCGGAATGTTGTATAAACTTAAGGATCAATTAAAAAAATATAATGACTCAGTTTGATCTATATTTTAAAATGAGTCTAAATTTTTGTCTAATCTGACCTATATTAGGTTAATGAGTCATTTTTTACATAATTAAAAATAATTATATTTTTGTTTATTTTGTTTAAAAAAATATAATTGATTTATTTATTTAAAAATAACTCAAAATAAAATCAAATATATAAAATTAGAAAAAATGAATTGCGATAGTTATGTAGTCTTAAAAAGTTATAGTTGTCTATATATCACAAGTTAAACATATCTTATCATATATATTAGATAACATATCTCTTAGTTTTTTTCTTTTTAATTAAATACACGTTAATTGAAATATTTTTAGTAATTGATTTAAAATCATGATTTAAAACTTTATTTATCTTCCAAATTCCGTCGTGTTCAACATAGCTAAATTGAATATTATGCTTAACTTAATAATAATCTAACAAGTACATCTTGATAAAGTCTTATTATTCAACATAACTCTCGTATAATGATATTTTCACTACATCTAAGAACATATCATCTTAAATTATTAGTCAAATATGACGATAATAATAAAGAGAAAAAATGATAAAAACATATAAAAATTATGTTTAAAGTTTATTATTTTTCTAAATTATATATATATATATATATATATATATAATAAAATATATTATTAAATTAATTTATTATATTTATATATTTTTTAAAAATAATATTATTTTTAATTTATTGTTAAAATAATTATCATTTAAAAAAATATGCTGGCCTATAAATTTTTGACCTAGCTTAGCTTAAATTTATTTAGGCATATTTAGGGCTAAAATTTGTTTAATTCTTTTTAGGGCATAAATTTTTTATCTGATTTATTTTTTGAAATTTTTGGATTATTCATCTAGGTATATTTTGACACCCTTTAAAAGACAAACCCAGAGCATTAAATAACCCAAAGAAAGATAATCTAAGAGTATTTAATATAACCAATTTTGGTAGTCACGAAATATTGAAACTATTTTAGTCAAAAGTTTTTGGTTTTTGACTTTTAGTTGAGGGTTGGAGGTTGCAAAGAAGAAGGGTAGTTGAAGTTGAGATTAGAAACGCGTCTGCCACCAAATTTTTACTTACTGGTCTCACTTATGCTTCACTGACACAATTCTTATAAATGTTAAAAATTCTCACATACATATATATATATATATATATATATATATATATATATATATATATATATATATATATATGTGTGTGTGTGTGTGTGTGTGTGTTTGTGAGAATTGAAGTGAAGAAAGAAACAAAGGAGAGATGAATCCAGGTTGGGGTCCACCACCAGGGCCTTCCGGTGGTATCTGCGGCTGTATATGTAACATTCTATCTTCTTGGTGAGTTGTACTTTTTTTATACTTTCATTTTCTACTACCACTTGGTTAAACAAAAGTTTTTTTTTTATTCTTTTGTTCATTACTCTTCTCATGGAAACTTGTTTAGTCAAATTAATAAATAATTCAACAAAGGAACCCCTTCAGGTTGTTTTTGTTAAATTTCCAAACTACCTAAGCCCCCTTATTTTCTCAGATAGGGGGTTCTCAGAATTGCAGCAAATCATGGAGGACCATCTTAAGAATATTTGGGAGAAAAAAGTTAATTTTATTATTTCCGTTAATAGTTATAATTTAAAATATTATTGCTCCTTGAGAAAATGTTATGATGCTAATCCTTTTTACTGGATCAACATTGTGGTCATGAGGGTTTGTTGTGTGTTTTTGTAATGTATGTATGGTCTTTAATTTAGGTATCTTATTTTGATGGCAGTTTGTATTGTCTGTGTTGCTGCTGTCTGTTGGAGAGTTGTTGTGGCCCAATATTTGGTGGACCTCCTCCTGGGCCTTGGGGCCCAGGCCCTGGTTTCTGATGGAGAGTCTGTGTTATGGTTGTTCTTTGGGCTTGTGTCTGGGATCTGTTCTGTTGTTTCCGGCAGAATTCCATTTTGTTTGATTCTTCCGTGAACTTTAATCAGAACAAGCCCCCATGAGATGATGTGTGAAATAAAAGCAGAAAAATAATTATATTCTTATACTATTCCTCCTCTTCTTTATTTCAAATAAATCTAAACATGTGAGTATTCGTCCAATTTTAAATTGAACAGAAAAAAAAAAAAGTTTTCACTGAATTTTAAAGATTCCTAATTTATAGATGCAGTTCGAGAATGTAAACACTCATCTTATAGAGAGTTAGTTTACACCCACTAAAAAATTAAGTATATATTACTAGTTTGCACCTTTTCAATTAGACACAAATAATATTTTTACACCCACTCAAAATATGGGGAAGAGAACTAATTTAGTTCCTTCGTATATTTTTTTAGTTTAGTAAAAGTACTATTTTGTTTCTAAGATATTTTGTAAAGACTTGTTAACCAAACCTCGAAAGTCCAGGTTGCGAGTTCCTCAAAATCGTAACATTATACTGTTTAGATTAAAATCAAGTAATCAAGGCAAGATGATGTTTGTATCATTACGCTGAGATCCTGCACCTCTGGCACCAACACACTTGATTGTTTAATTTGGGAATCAAATAAAAATTTAATAGTTATACACTTTCAATATAATTTTTTTTATTATCAACTAATAAAAATATAGCTAAATTAATTATTTGATCCTTATATATTTTTAATTTAGTTTTATTAAAAAATTCAACTAAATTTGTTAATTTTTAAATTGAAATTAATTTGATTCTTTCGTGGATTGATACAAACGAAAGACCAATTGAATAAATTATAAATATACTGAAATTAAATAAGTAATATATACTCTTGTTTTTCACGAAAAATATAATTCTTCTTTATTTTTATTGTTTATTAAACTTACAAACCATGTTTATTAAACTTACCCAAATATTTTACTCATCCATTAGAGTCCACTTTTTAAATGAGTAAAAATTAAGAGATTTAACATGTATTAAGTTTAGTGACTTTACTTTGGTACAAAATATTATTTATTCAATCTTTATATATGGTCGTGTAACATATTTAGAGCCTTGAAGCAAATTTTAAAGACAAAAAAAAGGTAAATTTTGAAGATAAAATAACAAATAAAATAACTTTCTCTTTTTGCGACTTAAAATAAATAACAAATCATCAAATATATTAAGGTGCATTGTTATTACTTTATTAATAAGAATTAAAAGCTAAGTTGTTTCCTTTTACATTTTTTTTTTCTAGGATTCATTTAGACCCCGTAAAATATTATCTCCATCTCATATCAAGGTAACGATTATTTTAATAAACAATTAATTATATAATTACGTTTTCCATTCATGTATTATATAATTTATTCAACTTAGTTTTATACTTGTATAATATATTCAATTTGGTCCATATATTATTAAAAACTTCGGTGTTCAATTTTTAAACTAACACAATTTGTTTGTACCAATAAAAGAAAATCATTAAACCCTCAACTTAATGTGAAAATTGAAACTTCTAATAATATAAAAGTCAAATGGAATAAACTATATAAATATAACAAAAAAAAGTATTTAAATAATTGTAAGTAAATTGTTAAAAACAGTTATTATAAAAATCAACAAACTTATCATACTAATACCAAAAAGAAATACAAATTTTCATCACTTTGTTAGTGAATATGTTTTCTGTACAATTTTACCCTTTCTTTATTAACAATTTTTTATAACCTTTTTTATTAATGTTGTTGTAAGAACTGCTATTTTTATTTTGGTAAGTGAATAAAAGATAATCACAATGTTTGCACTAATAGATATAATGTAATTAAACGATAGTAAAATCAATTTATAATGACAAAATCTGATCAAAGAACGAAATTAATAGAATTTGTAACCAGAAAAGTACTCACTTAACGTTGAAAAACGAGTGGATGATTTTGGCGATAACGTAATTAATGATACCTAACACTTTCTATAACCTGTGCGAGTTTTTTTTTTTTTTCTAGTGAGGCCATATAGCCACATTATTAAATTCATATATGACCCAAAATTGGATTTTTTTCCTTTTTTTTTTTACATTTCACCTAAAACAATACTACAGTTCGCCTAAGCCAGAGTACAAGGAATCAAGATAATAATTTAAAAAGTTTCATCACTAAACCTGCTGCTGAGTGGGTAAAAATTAACAGGTAAGTGATCACACGAACACACTTGAAACTCTAGGGATACGATCTTGTATCGCTTTCATATTTCCTTAAGATTAATCCTCCACAGAATATGCAGAGAAATAAATATGTTAATAACTACCCATTTGAAAGGGTAGCCGAAAGCACCGAAGTCCCTCCTTTTAAGCTTCTGAGATGACAGCACCTTGCAAAATCCCTTATTCCTCGTCATCATCGTCTTCTTCGGGTGCCTCTTTTAGCCACTACAACAAGAAACGTTAAAAAGTAATGCACCACCTATAGGATAGTGAAAATGCAGGTAGCATAAACCTAGTTCTGTAAGTGTGAAAAAACAAACGAAGGTGCTTACTTGAATCAATTTTTGGGCCTGCTTAACAAAAACTTTATCTGCCTCATCAGCATCTTTTTTCTCATCTTCCCAACTCAAAATAGCATTTTCTTCTACAACATCGTCATTATACAATTGGTGCAAAATCTGGAAGCAAGTAAGTCACAACATCGAAGGAAAAGGCTTTAGTTAAAAATGACCAAATCTGAATTTCAGAAAAGTACTTTTAAGCTGCCAACAGAGACAGAAGAATGAGAGCATGAGAACATTCTAAAACCTTGAACGACAAAATTCATTTCTTAAAATTGTTAATTGACTTACTTTGGACAGAACAGCAATGTGAAAGTTATTATGATTGATATTAAAGTAGTTTCTACTTGTGCAAAAGAATATAACATTATTTGAAATTGAGTTCACCGTTTTAGTCTCCTATTCAGATCTACATTAAAACAACGTATATTAACAAGCCTAACTTGTTATGGAAGATATGTGCTACATTTATAGTTCTATACATCTTTCAGATGTTCACACAAACAGAATGAGACATCAATAAGCTTAACTTGCAGAAGATACGCATACCGTTGTGAACAATGGAGCAAACTCCTTAGCCGATTCCAAACACATTTCCTCAAATTTTAGTATTACTTCAATCTGCAGTAAAATTTCAAAACGGATGAACAGACGGCTGGTTAGCAAGTTAGGTGCCACACTGTATTGAGTTGAGTAAAATCCTACTATTAACAAAAACATTAGAGAATTCACAATAACGATTCAAAATGATAAAGATCTTCTATAACAACTCAAAGTTCATCAAACTAATTAAGCTACAGGTTTCACACAATCAAATATCTTTTTGCCTTTTCTTTTTCTTTACCTAATAAGTAATAGTTTTAAAGACCACCATAATCTATTAGATGAAATAACCAAGCTCAAAGATCGCTCAGCAATGAATCCATAAGAGATTATATTTGATACTGCCTGAAAATCCTAACTTTAGCAGAAGAAAAAACTAAGAGTATGTAGAGTCCAATGTATGTTAAAAATTACGTGAAGAACAAAAAGTGCCGTGCAAGCCAATGAAGATATTTAGTAGTATACAGCAAAAATGGAGTACTCCAGCCAACATGCATAAAAAAATGCAGAGAATTGTATGTTTAAGTTTGCAAATTTGCAAAAGAAATTCATATCTTGAAGCCTTACGGGACATTGAATGATGATGAAATCATGAGAATAAAAATATAAATTCTACATAATGTTGTAGTGAAGAAATTTTTTTTGACAAGATGATTAGTAAATCTTCTATGTATATAGCGAGGCATCATATGTCAAATTATTAAATATATATATATATATATATATTGGTAAACTGTCAAATAAAATTGCTATACAAGTGAAAATGAATATAGAAAACAAAGGAACAGAATTGACAGATACACCTGCTCATCTTTGTCATTCAGATAGGATGTCAAAGCCTTTTTCCACTTTGTAAATACAACCTGAACATTTTGAAGCAAACCATCTGAAAAATATTCATCGCAAGCAATAATAAAATCAGCAAGCAAGCATTAAAAAAAACATACAACTATACAAGAGTAAAATTAGATGAGTAACAAACTCCAGTGGAAGTCAGCTCCATGGATCAAATAACACCATCGAACTCAATGAAAACAATCTAGTGTAAATTGTTTTTCCCACTATTTTCTTAGGTCTTCCATTAACCCTTTTAAATACATAACTTCGGTTTGACTCACTTTTTAACTAGAGCCTCCTGCTAATTAATTTATCCAAATCATTCTGTATATTTTATTAACAAGTCTCTCTCACAAGGCCAAGATGCTATGTTTTCCAAGTGTGTTCAAATTCTAAAATAAATTCTACAAGATATTATAATTTAATTTAATAAGAAAGAAATGGCATATAAAGAAACAGATGGAAAAGATTGAAAAAATCATGTAACAATAGAAAAGAGGGCAAAGCTCACCAGCTGAACTATGGGGGATGTCTAAAGCACACTTCATCATGGCATAAAATAAAGCTCCGGCACAATCAGAAGTTAGTTTATTGTACGACAACCTACCACAAATAAATACAATGTTTCTACAAATTAATGCCCAGCTAATTCATATTTAAAGTGTAACCATATAATAAAATAATCAAACTTGCAGAACGAAAATAGTATAACACACAATGACAATATAATGCTTTCTAGACAAAACAAGATTGCAATTCTTTAACATATGTAAACAAGAGCAGTTTGAAGTCTATTGGTCTAGGGAAGACAAATTCTATCCGTTCTCCTGGACAATATATAACAAATAATGGTGTCATTTGATTCCTCCGCCCAACTTTTTACCCATAATTCAAGAAATTCTACCCTCCAATCACTGTCTGCCATCTTCATTTCCAGTTTTCCATTGAAGAACAGCACAAAAACAACATAAGCTTCATGACTAAGTTTATGTGATGTAAGCTCTCATGTCATGAACTTATTGAGCAAGTGTGAAAGTTGTTTACCCAAACACAACCTTAATGTCATCCATGAAGAGAGAGAAATAAATACAAATTTTTCACATGACAGAGACTTGAAATTTTGTTTGTATCCTGATGTCACTTTGGATATGAAATAAATCATGTTGGAAGGGAAATACCCACATCATGTGTGCTTAAGGTCTCCAATGGTATTATCATTACCTCCGACAATGAATAATTTTTTCCAATACCATGATTATAAAAAAGGGTAAAAGAAGGACTTGAAATTTTTTAACAAGAGAATCTATTCCTCTGTGTATGTGTTTGTGTGACAAAATCAGATGAAATGGTATGAATATAGATTCAATTTTTACTAATACATACAAGTTTATCACTTACTTCAAAGAATTGATTTCTAAGATCAAATGGCTTTCCTGTATGTTTTCATGCACAGCCCTGAGAAAAGTTGCTTCAACCTGCAAATGACGGAGTATTTTAAAAACTGATATCCACACAAAGCATCAGACAAAAGATTAGAGGCCAAATTCTAACCTCTTTCTCAAAGTAATAAGAGTCATCCCTAGAATCTTCATGATCATCATCATCTGAATCATTAGAATTAGGTATCAGCTCACCAGAAGGTGGGAGAAAACTATCATCATGAATAAACCCCAGATCATCTTCCATAGTTTTAATTGCCTCCATAATTTTATCTTTAGGAATAGGCGCCACTGAATGCCTCCACTCTTCTTCATGGCCACTTTCACATGTTGACCAAACATGACCCGCCCCACCCATACCAAGCTGATCAATAAAAAAAAGTGTAATGAGAAACAATAAATTCCCTAACCAAATCTTGGGGTTCACTTTGGTACTCCCTTTGAAAAATGGAATATGATATAGCATTTTTTATAATCAATATTAGCCATTTATTTTGTCATTGCAACTAGTGGAAAAGGATATATTAAAGTTGGTACGCAAGAAACAGAACAAAAGAAAATAAAATAAAGTGGGATAATTAACGGGAACACAATATTTAATCCAGGAGCATGTACCTTTGTAGTACTAATTATCCTCTAGCAATTACGACATCTGAAATGGTTCTACAAATTCTAGTCCTAATTATTAAGAGATAGACCTATTTCAGATGTATTAATTGCTAAAATTCGTTTATACCTTTACTTTATTGTAAAGTCTTTGTTAATGAGACCTTTACTCATTCCTCATGTAAATGAATGTATTTTGCCTTGAAAGTCTAGTTAATTGAAGTAGGCTTTTGCACTAGGGACAGTAATTGATACGAAATACTCATGAGTTGGAATAAGAGGTGATTAAATCTTGTCATTAAATACACAAGTCTTGTAATTTGGATTTCGACCATACTCAATCACACAGAACCAGTTTGTTTGTGAGGTCTTGTTGATGTTAAATAATAGTATTTGTTGACAATTTACAAATCAATCTAACTGTAATCTTCATGACATACAAAGGACAAGTTGATAAATACTGAGATAATGGTGAAAAACTCATAAATCTAAAAGGCTTTATGGGACTAACCTCCGACGCAGGAGTAAAATGTGTCTCCAATACTTTGGAAGTAATCTCATCTGATTTATCCACCTGGCTGCCCATGACTGCATACATGAAAATGGTAATGAAAGGTTTAGCATATGATTTTATTCTATCAATCAATACACAGTATTGAAGCAAAATAAATTTTCTTAAAATTTAACAAAATACAGAAGCTACGATAATGGGCTTAGAGCACAGCCCAATAGTTGAGTGAAGTATTCCTTCAGGACCAAAACTTTTTATGACAAACAAATTGTGAGATTTTTTTTATAAGCGAAGTAATTTTATTTTGACATAAACAGGTACAAATAAATTGCAGTCTTACCAACTAAGGGCCTGAACTTTATTAAAATATATTTTTATTGATAAACCGATGAAAAGACAGAATCATTATTCAATAGATGAAAATAATATGATGAACAAATGCATATAGCATGTATTTCCTATTACTTTCATTAAAGATGAGATCCTCAATTGTTTATTATCATAATAAAGTTATGGTCTTTCTACAATGTTCTTCTCACCAATAATTATAGATTATCAATAAAAATTAAGTGAACAATTAGAAAGGATATATAATTAGATCTAAATGGGGTCATTATTTGGTTTTCAACAAAGCACAATAGTGTCACTTGATCGATGTGACCGACCCAACCTAGTGAGAAAAGGTTTCAGGCCTTTCGTTCATTGTACTATCTAAATATATTGGCCTATCAAATCAAGTAAAATAATAAGAATTTAACCCCCACCTAACAGCAGTTCAATCCAAATAAACATATACAAAACCCACAACAAGAAATAAATCTTTAGGTAGACATAAAAGAAATACATTCCAATCCAAGTAATTATTTATATTAAACTTCCACTACCCTATGGTGCACCACAAGAATATTCTTCTAAAGATTATTGGAATCAAATAAGTCAACTCATATTTTTAACTATAGCTGCTAACAAGCTTAAATACCTGTTTGAATCATTAAATGAAACAAGTTTGTATTACGGTGTACAAAGTTATCAGTGGTTATAGATTTGCTTTTAGAACCTAAAAATTGTCACTGGGATTTGGTTAACTCCAGGCAATATTTAATATGCTATTAAAATCATATTTTGCAAAGGTAATAATAATAAAAGGAGAATAATATCAGCATATATCTCCAGGGCTCAGTTCAAAGTTTCACAAAAATTCAGCAATACCACTAGTACTATCAGCATATTCAAGCTCCTCGTCACTGTCCTCCTCAATTGGCTGCTGAAGTAGAGATACCTTTGAATATGGAGGAACAATAAACTCTGGCCCAACTACAACCTGGAGGCATAAAATTCCTGGATCCATCAAAAGCTGTACTTGCATCTCACAGTGATTATTGAAATAAATAAACAAGATGCGAAGTGAATTTCTTATTAGATAACAAACTCAGTCAAAGTAAATCATTAGATTCACATCTATAGAGCATAAGAAAAAAAAAACAATTCCACTCCTATAGCAAATTTACTTCTTTTATCTCTACATCTAAATTGAATTTCAATAGGATTTTTAAAAGAAATCATAATGTTATTCCAGGTTCCAGGTTCCAATAGGACAAGGACACAAACCTTAAAAGACAAAATAACACCAGGTTCCAGAACAGCCCCTGACTTTATAATCACCCCATCACATACAATTGCATGCTGGAGTTTACAGCCATCTTCTATGCTGATGTTATCCCATATATAGCATCCCTCTATGATAACATTTGATCCAATTTTACATCCTTCACCAATAACAGAATTTGAAATTTTAGTGTTATTCCCAATTTTGGTGCCAGATCCTATGACCGTGAAAGGGCCAATAACTGCAGACTGCGATTGTGATATTTCTGAAAGGAGAGAAAATTGTCAAAACAGAATACATGCGTTAAAATATATAAATTTGATAAAAAATCATTTTGACAATACAGCCTACAAGGAATGGCCATAATATGATAAATATTTGTCAATTAAATCAATCAAAAACTCAAGTTAGTAGGAAATGAATAAGCAATACCAAGCAAACAGACAAACATAATCATTGATTGAAAGTTGAAACTGAAACCAATACCATATTATCATGTAATATTAGGCACAATTCACCAGCACACCCAACAGACGCTAAAATTTTTATCCATACCCAAAGCACGGTACATTCCTTGTCGTTCAAGTTTAGTAGCTGTTTTGCCAAAATTCATTACATCTGGCACCAGTGGATATGTCCATCGATGAATTATATCCTTGCTGACAGTGTCATAACTTCGGAAATTATCAACCCTTGCAGCATAGTCTGAGTGAATTTCATGAACAAAAATTTTGTACCCCATTATCTGAAAAAAAATATGGTCAATTTGTACATGCAGTATAGAGAATGAAATAAAATATAAAGAATATTTGTAATAGTAGAATATATATAAGGAACACAAATTACAAGCTTGTATACCAAAAGGTTCGAACAGAGGAAATGCACAAGTTTACAAGACTAGTTAGTAGTTTATGCATCCCATGCGTACCATAAAAAAAAGGTTGGAATATTGTTGTAATATCGTAGTAGGATATTATTCAAGTTCCAACACAAGCAGACACATGACACCTCTGAAAGAATATAAAAGGTTCATAGGAGATAAAATTTACGTTTATTCATCTAGTCACATGATAACAAAATTATTGAAAGGAGAAATTTTGCCTTCCAAGAAGGACTTCAGAAAACTAATTAGAGAATCCATAGTACCAAAAACAAAAGGTATCTAAATTTAGCACATGGAAGAGAAATTACATCATCAACAAGCAATCCCTTAACAAAATGACGCCGGAGATGTTGGTAGTCAAAATTGTCTGTAAATAGGCTAAGTACTTCTGGCGAGCAGATGTCAATGTAACAATCCTGCAGATAAGATATTGCTAACCTAATGAGCTCAAGAAAGTTAATAAGGTTGTCGCAGGCCAGAGACATGACCCCAAAATATACTAGCAAATCAATAATTATGAACCAACAGAAAATCAACTTAGATGAGTAAAATGTTCAATTGAGAATCAATTGATTATTCCAGGGCACCCAATCATGTGATAAACATCAGTGGAACCAATTAATTGTTTCTAAACAGTAAATTTTTCATTGGATGAATTTAAAATAATAATTTGGTCCAGGAATTAGTAATAAACTAAATAAGTGCAAGCAATTGATTTCTTTTTTTGCAAGAAGTTGAAAACTAAGCAGAAATATCTACAGAGTTCAACCTGCTTATCATGATGCAGAGAGAGCGAAGGATTATCAACAAGCAATGACTTGTCAAGATGTAGTATCCCTCTTGATTGGTCTGCCCTATCCTCATAGTACACAAGTTGCTTGGTATCAGGATCAATAGCCATAAAAAGTTCATCAGTACCAAGTCGAGACTGATGGATAGCTGGATTAGGTTTTGACCGTTTGATGACCATAGTCATTACTGCATTACTATTTTTCTTCCTTCTTTCTTTATGCTCTAGAAGTGCCTGGGTAAGCGACATATTGCTTACAGTATCTCCACTGATAAGGACAAAGTCTCCATGTATCTTCAATAACAAATAATTTAAAAGTGTTACTATACAACACATAAAAGTCACTACTCAGACAGTAACAAGCATAGGGATGAGTTGGAAAGGGTAGTAAATATTTCTTAAAATCCAGTAAATCATTAATTAAACTATAGACTGGCAGTGGTTGACATGTAAGGCTCTAAATTTTCCTTTTAAAAAACCTATAAAAACAAGTATGCAGAAATTTTCATAGTAAAGCAATATTTCTTTAAATAAATTTAAATTAAAAAATAACAAGGTAATAATGGATTCTTATGCTTCAAAAATACAATCTCTTGTTTGTGATAAAAATGAACCAAATTGTAAGATAACAATAACCTTATCTATTGTGAACTACGAGCTAGTTAGCGGTCTTTACAAGGTACAAGATGCAAATTCTAAACGAGTTTAACATTTACGCACTATCGGTAACATATTAACACTACCAATTAATAAAAAAATCATGGTACATATGATTTTTAAGGTAAATATTGTATTGTAAACTTTAACGAAATCTTACTACATGTCAATTTATGATTAGACCACGACGTAAAAGCTATCAGTAAATGCACTATTTACTCTTGCTGAAAACCAATCCTAACTAAGAACAACCATAGTTTAACAACAATTCTAATATCAATTTTTTTTGAAGTCTCGTAACACATTGTTCCTACTGTATCAATACAAGAGCCTGCAAAAATTCAAACCAGAGTAGAATACAAGTCATACCACATTGCGCTCGTAGATTACGCGGAGCGCATCTCCGGCGCTGACAGAGTTCTGCGACTCTATAGTCGTCACCGTGAAATTCGGTTGAGATAGCCACTCAGATTTCTCGAGGTAGTTAATGACCTGCTTGGAGTGAGAACAGCAGAATACGAAAACCTCTTCAACGCCGGCGGATTCGAGCCAAGTAAGCGTGTAATTTATCATCGGAACATTCACAAGTGGAAGCAGCACCTTCAAAACCAGGAAAACCAAAAGCGAGTCAATAAAGAAACGGAAAATGCAGGTTACGGTGGAAGATTGAAGAGCGTAGTGGGATTACTTTGGGGCGTTCGAGCGTGATAGGTCTGAACTTGGTGGTGAAACTATCGGCCAAGAGAATGGCTTGCAAAGGAACACGCACCAGTTCATCGGGGTCCTCGGAAACCCTAGCGCCGCTTTTCTTCTGTGCGCCCATTTTATTCTGGTTCCGGTTTCGATTTCGATTCTGCTTAGCCTAATATTGGCACTGGCAATTCAGAAAAGTGATATCACGAGTTTTAGTGACTAACAGTGGAGTATGGCTATATCGTTTCATTTAATTTCACCATTTCATGTTCGATTCGATTCGATTATCTTCTTCTCTTCCGCCACACTACAATTCTCAGAATCACAACGACGTTTCGTTACGACATGAATTTGATCGGGCCGGAACTAGATTCTTTTTTCTGAGAAAGGGTCGAAAAAGCCTTTGTAGTTTTGGGCTCAACTATTGTTGCTATTCACACCGCTTATCTTTTTTTAAAATAATTTTAATAAAAAGGCTTAATTGAATTTTTATTTTTTAATATGCAAATTTAGTCGTTCAGGTTTTAATTATTTTGATTGAATCCCTAAGGTATAATTTTAATCCCTTACATCCTAAGGTAAAATGGGTTAGTGAAGAACAAAAGGGAAAATATAAATAACATGAGTCCAAAATATAAATAAAAAAACTAAGACAGTTTATCTTAAAATAAAATACCACAAAGATACATGTGTTAAAGGTGTTTTAAAATAATCTCTTAGCTTCAAGAGTGTAAAGCTCATAGATATAATTTACTTAATAAATTATTTTTTAAACATATATGATATATACCCTAACATGTATTATTTCCCACACCACAGGAATTGGACAAGACCCTAAGTCTTAAAGAGTAATGTATATATGATTTGTACACCAATGGCTTCTATTATGATTCGTGTTTTTTGTTTGTGTCTGTGATCCCCGCATTGCGCGCTTCTTTGTCTCTTTTTTTCTCAACGATTCTCATCTATCTTTCTCCGACTTTTTCTCTTCTGCTTCAATCAAACCAATATCTGCAACATTTTCTCAATTCATTATTAATTATTGTCTTTGTTTCCCTTCCTCGTTTCGTTTGCATCTTTGCATGCATATAGCTTAAGACTGAAAACTTCACATTCCCATTTGCTAGGAACTCGAACATCAGTTTGGTTCCTTGGATTACTCAACGTCCTCTCTTAGTTTCCACGTTAATTGTTTTTCAATTCATCAGCATCTTGCAGCCAAGCGTTTTGGTGAGAGTTCTACGTAATTTCATACATGCACGTATTTTGATTTCTTTGTTCCTGTTGCAGAGACTTTAATTTCTTCATGCAATATACAGGATCAAAAGATAATTAAGGAGGATTTTAAGATGTGTACATCTCCGAGGCATAATATATATTTGGGTTTGGTTTGTAAAGTGGCGTTGCACGTTGCATAATCTCAACAAAGAAAATCTGAATTTGGTTGCGGAAGGGTTCTGCGATTAGGATTGACAAAATGGGTACTGACTTAAGTTACGCGATTTCGAAGATGCAAATGCTATCTACTTCAGATTATGCCTCCGTTGTGTCCATGAACATTTTTGTGGCTCTGCTTTGTACTTGCATTGTCATTGGCCATCTTCTCGAGGAGAATCGTTGGGTGAATGAATCTATCACTGCCCTTCTGATAGTAAGTGATCATCACTTCATAATTAATTGATATACTATGAAGAATTTGTTTACATATACATACACATGTATATAAATGACTGTGTTAATTAAATACTATTTGCAGGGTATTAGCACTGGGGTAGTCATTTTGTTGGAAAGTCGCGGTAAAAGCTCGCATCTTCTAGTTTTCAGTGAAGATCTTTTCTTTATATACCTTCTGCCACCTATCATATTTAACGCCGGGTAAAGTTTTTAGCACCAACTTCTAGTTCTCTAATGATAATGATGATAAAGTGTTTTTCTGTATTTGTAATTGTCAAATTAATTGGAACTACAATGAAAATTGATCAGCATACATTTCAATGAGATAATCTGAATGAAACCGAAAGGCCTGAATTTTCTAATAAAATCTACTAGTTAATAACTGATGGTGTGCTCATGACACTCCTCTTAAGCTACTAATGGATATTGTCTTTGTGCTAAACTTTTTTGAGATTTCTTGGGGGATTTTTTTTGTTTTGTTTTCCTGATTTGTAGTTGTTCTTTTACTTCGAGAAAGGTATACGTAAGTGATGTAACATATTTATTCCAGGTTTCAGGTGAAAAAGAAACAGTTTTTTGTTAACTTCATGACCATCATCCTGTTTGGAGCTGTTGGTACATTAATAAACTGTAGCATCATAACTTTCGGTATGCATTTTCCCTTTACATGCATTTCTTATGTTGTTCTCTAAAATTTAACTTAAAGACAAAAAAATGGGCTTATCTGACTTAAATTTTCGAAGCATTGTTTCAGGTGTCATACAAATTTTTAAGAGAATGGGTTTTGGTAATTCACTGGAGATAGGAGACTATCTAGGTATAATAATATTATTAAATCTTATCTATTTGCAACTTGTCAATTGACAATCTGTTCGTGACTGACTCAATATTTAATAAAATTCTTCAGCAATTGGGGCAATATTTGCTGCAACAGATTCTGTGTGCACATTGCAGGTTTGGAACAATATATACCTTTTTCACAATGTTAGAGCAACAACCAAGGTGCCATTGCCGAGTATTGAACTTAAAAATTATGTTGTTGTAGGTGCTAAACCAGGATGAGACACCTTTACTGTACAGTCTTGTATTTGGCGAGGGTGTTGTGAATGATGCTACATCTGTTGTGCTTTTCAATGCAATCAAAAGTTTTGACCTCGACAAAATAGACCACAGAATTGGTTTACATTTTTTTGGCAATTTCTTCTACCTGTTTACCGCAAGCACCGTGCTTGGGGTCTTGGTAACTGCCTTGCTCCCTCTAACTCTCTAGTGTAAACATCACATACTGACAAGATTTAAATCATCAGTTATCACTTAGTACATACTGATACTTTCGTTTACTTAATATATTGCTATCCTTGGATGTTTCACTCGTACATTTTTGTGAAGTATATAATCCTTTATAAGAAGTTACGAGAAACTAATATAGCTATATATGAGACATAAAAACATTGACCCTTAATGAACCAAAAAAATAGAATTTGACCTCTTCATGTCTGATCTCATGAGAGTCAGAAGATTACATTATTTCTATATGTAGAAATAGGAAGCAATTATGATGAGATCAGTTTATAACTGTCACTTCGTTTTTAGTAATGTCGACTAATCATGTTCTGAATTTGGATTTACAGAATCGTAATTATATATTTTCTGATTTTATGAACTTTAATACATATTTAGATATGTACTTTATACGTGTCGTGTCCTATATATTTTTAGAATATTTGTATCATCTGTGCATCATTGGGCCTAATACGTCGATATCACCTTGCAGGCCGGTCTACTTAGCGCTTACATTATTAAAACGCTATATATTGGCAGGTATCATGTTGAGAGAATTGTTTTTACCATCATTATTGTCTTTCAGCAGTTAATATGATAGTATATTAGTATTCCATTGTTTTATATTCTGTATGCAGTTCATATGATGTTTTTTTTAAGTAAGGAAAATACATTACCTTAGTAGACTACAGGGGAATCTCTTATTTACTTGGGGTCCTTGTATGTTTGATCTTGATCACCAGTTTTCTAAACCTACCATAAAAAAATTGTAACTATTGTTTAGATGTTCAACAAATTGCTCACTCAATATTACAGGCACTCTACAGATCGCGAGGTTGCTCTTATGATGTTAATGGCATACCTTTCCTACATTCTGGCAGAAGTAAGTTTTGAAGAACATACAAACTGCATTATGAAGTTTGTCCTTTATGAGCTCTATATCTATCTATTCTTGTGGTTGACATTAATCATTAGAGGGTTCTGATGTATTTAAATGTGCTGCAGTTATGGTATCTGAGTGGCATTCTCACTGTATTTTTCTGTGGGATTGTCATGTCACATTATACTTGGCATAATGTGACTGAGAGCTCGAGAATCACTACCAAGTATATCCTCAAACAGATTTCTGCAAACTATGTATGGATCTATTGGGGGTTGTTACACTGTCTAATTTGTGTTGTCTTGCTGTTACAGACATGCTTTTGCAACTCTTTCATTTGTCCTTGAAACCTTTATCTTCCTTTATGTTGGTATGGATGCGTTGGACATTGAAAAGTGGAGGTTTGTGAGCGATAGGTATGTCCTGTATTCTGTCAGAGCAAAGACTAGTGAAAATAATAATTAACACCTTGCCCTCTTTACTTACGCAAGATTGTTAAATCATGTATCTCGTAGTGAACTAATGTTTTCCTCAAAAGTTCCTTTTAATTACCATAAAAAACAATTCGTGTACCTCACTCAATTTCTTCTGTAGGCCAAAAACATCTGTTGCTGTTAGTTCAGTATTATTGGGTCTAGTACTTGCTGGAAGAGCAGCATTTGTTTTCCCCCTGTCCTTCTTAGCGAACCTCACCAAAAAGTCTCAAAGTGAAAAAATAAGTTTCAGGGAGCAGGTACGGCCAGATTTCTGTCAGAATATTATCTTTCAGGATTTCTTGGGCTGTTAAAAAGTTTCCATTATTCCTTGTTTTAGGTGATCATTTGGTGGGCTGGTCTTATGAGAGGTGCTGTTTCAATGGCACTTGCCTATAATCAGGTAAGATCATGTTTCTCATTTGGAGATATTGTTTTTGCAAAATTAGAGTTGGTTAGCTAACTAAGCCAAAGAAAACATAATAGCAGTTATTGTACATAGGATCAATTTTAAATTGCTGTTGCATTTACCTCGGATATGATTTTACAGTTTGATGTTGCTGAGAAATGATACTCTTGTAAAATGCAGTTCACCTTGTCGGGTCACACTGAACTGCGAACTAATGCCATCATGATCACCAGCACCATCACTGTTGTGCTTGTCAGCACAATGGTAAGACGCCTGCTTGTCATAAATTTTTTACATCATATGTCGGTGTTCACATAAAGAGATTTTGCTTTCTGCTTCGCTGATAATTACTCTTAGATTAACCATTTGATAATTGAGATAGCTAACATGATGGGAAATGTAAAATCCACCTCAATAATATGCTTAAATGTAAATTACCTTAAATATAGCTGCCTCAATTGTGGGAGATTTGGGATCTGTAAAATACAATACCTCGGTTTCGAAAGAAAATTCTCTACAGATGAGGCTGACACAATTTAAATACAACTTGTCAGGTGTTTGGTTTGATGACTAAGCCACTCATAAGGTTTTTGTTGCCTGTTAATCCCCCTCCTAAACGCAAAAATAGCATGGCAAATATGGAATCATCCAGTAATTCCCCCAAATCAATCACTGTGCCCTTTCTTGGAGGCTCTCATGATTCTGAAAGCGAACTTTATGGCACTGAAGATCATCGTCCAAGCATTATTCGTGCCTTACTAAGTACTCCAACACATAATGTCCATCGCTTATGGCGTACGTTTGATAATTCAGTTATGCGTCCAGTTTTTGGTGGTAGGGGATTTGTTCCAGTGGCTCCTACCTCGCCAACTGAGGGCAACGGTAGCATTCAACAGTGGCATTAAGAAGACTGTTCAGAAATGTAATATCATTGTAAACGGAAAGTTTTGAGATCAAGCAACGCTTGTATAAAAACCGCGTTATGTTTGGTCGTGTTGCTTTGCGTAGTGATAGAGTATTCTGCCATGGGTATATTTCATTGCGACTATCACTACTACGGTTGATTCCCTGTGAAACTAATGCCACTAGTGTGAGAATTGTAAATGTCAGCTATGAACTCATCTTTATTTTTACAGCTAAGATTATTGAGAATTACTCATTACTTACTATTTAACAACCACCGTCTTCGTATGCAGCTAAAAGCGACTTATTAAAAGAAATGATTGATTCGATAGGAGAGAATGAATCACTTTGCAATTCATTCTAACTTATACTTTTCCTAATTGCCCAATTCAATTCCATTGTTCTGATTCATTTCATTATCTTAAATATCAATTCAAACATTTGCCAAATTCATCAGTGAAAACCTCATTACTCACTCTAGTATCATGCTGCAAACGCTATCTGATGCAAGAAAATACATTGATAAGCACTTCAGGCAAAAACCATCAAATTATGCTTTTTCAAGTGTCGACATATAACTCTCATACGATACAAGTAAAACACAGAATTCAGCAGTCCAGATCGGACCTAACCAAACGGGTTTAAAAGGACGATTCTTTATTCGACAATCCTAAAGCTTCGTCGTACGCACGTTTTGAACTTCATGTGACTAGTTTATCCTTGCAGACCAATGATACCTACACCAACAAACGGCGAAAAGAGGATATCAGTACAGTAAACATATGCGAATAACAAGATCTCAACAGTGGAGGAACTGAAAGGGAACCTTTGAAACAGTAAAGAATAATTGATTGAGACAGTGGAGATTTTGGCAAAGGCTGTCAAATTATATAGATTGGATGATAGATAGGTCTCTAAAGATCTATGTATGCCCGATTATTGGTTTCACAACAACGACGACAAATGATATTCCATACTCTGCATTTAAGATGACAGTCTAAACTTACCACAGGCTACTCTGCCACCAGCATTTCCGGTAGACTTGCTAAGCTCATGACCACCTACACAAGAGAAGGTAGATCTATAACATGCAGTAAGCCGAAAGACAATAAATGCTCTTATGTTAGCAGAGAAAACGAACACGAGGAAGGCAATTTAATTCAATGGACCAACACTAAATGATGGTGAGATTTACTATAACTTTTCTTCTTAGATGGCAAAATCATGTTCCCTTCTGACATGAAAGGATACAAATCCAACACAATTAAGACGGAACAAGTGAGACTAATGACTCAGATACGGAAGATAGCAAGGAATAGAACATATAGTGAATACCTTTCCCAAGATCATCAGGATCAGCATGCACAACAACAGCTCTCCCAATGATGGAGTTTGGTCCAGTGAGAGGAATCTGTGCACATACAGTATAACTTATTAAAAGCTCAAACTTACTAGTCTAGGTGTCAGCTGTCAAATTAGAAGAATTAATCAGAGAATTTGAATAGGAAATGAATAACTTACATGACTGTCAGTAATAGTGAAGCTGACGGTACCTGGGTTACACATGAGAGGAAACCATTTTAAAAATATTGACCAAACAAGTATGTGGTATGTGATAGGCAAAACACGACAAGCTGTTTCAGAAATGAACTTGTTACCAGCCATTTTTTCAAAAAATGGTAAAGTTTATTGTAAAACCGCCAGATTATCTGTTAACATTACTTCGTTGTAATGCTTAAAATATTACTCTTATTAAATATTGGGATTATAAAAAAAATCAGAAATTTAAAATTTGGAATCAGAATGACTGGAATCAGCACAAATCAAATAAATAAATAAATAAAAAAAAAAAAAAAAATTCTCCATCAGAGTCATACCGTCATCACCAACATTTACATTCCCTAGATCACCAGCATGACGATTCTCATCCTCAGGGGCACCATGCTCCTTGTTATTAGGATTGAAATGTGGTCCTGTAAGAATGGGGGAAAAAGTCAGAATTGAGCCTCATAACATACTACTAAATGATAAGATTTTGTTATCCAAATCCAGTTGCTTTGTAACATATTTTATTGCTTCAAACTTTCAAGAATCTCCTCCAAATGTTAATTGATTTCCATTTGAGCAAAGTGAGAGTTTACAATTTGATTCAGCTCATTAATATCCCGTAGTATAAAAAATTATTTGGGTTATTGTCAAAGACTATACCAGTTGACAGGCATCCATTGGTAGTGTCCCCCAAGGCATGGACATGAAAGCCATGGAGACCAGGCTTAAGACCAGCAAGAGAGCCAGTTACAGTGGTTGGACCTGAACAATTGACAATATATGTTATTTGATTAGGCTCAGTAGTCAGTAAAGCACAAGAACACAAAATCATGTCCATGTCTGGATATGTCTCTCAGTAATCACTTATACCATGAAAGAAATTATGTCATCTTATGCACATCATATATCTCATTCAACTTCTCCTAGAGAAGATCCATTCATTTTATTTTCTTACTTTCTCTCCTGTAATTGTAAAGTTTATCAATGAAGAGGGTCATACTCACTGTTCAGACTTACCATTTCCCTCCTGACTGAAGTAAACAGTTCCAGTGACACCCTCGCTGCTGCCAAGAACTACCACAGCCTTCACCATTGCTCACTGTGATCTGAACACAAAGCGGAGATCTCAGACAAAACAAACAAGATATACACAAGCGCATTAGAAGACATAGTTTCTTGGATGCTATGGTGAATAAGTTGATATCTTCTCCATCGAGAACTAGAAAATTACCCTAAAATAAGAGTAATAGATATAAAACACTAAATCATATTCAAATTGTATATTTGAATGGTCAGAATCAAAAGTAATGTGACCACACAAAAATTATCTTTCTAACTCTTCAAAATTTTCAATCCAGATAAAACTATGTTCAATTACTAAGATTTCCATGTAATTACAAAAAGAGAAGGAAAATATTAAGTTAATTGCACAAAATAGACAATCAAGCTACCTATCTACAAGATCTGACTAATAACACTAAACAAAACTTATAAACCAACAACTAATTCAAATCGTTTTGAAATCCACAGTCACAGAATGAGGTCAAACAAAATAAATAAACAATAAAAAAATTACTAAAACTAATTTCATCTCCAAATATTGAATCCAAAGCTACTGAGTTTTGCAGAGACAGATAGCTTTCCAAAAATATCAGTTTTCTTCTTCTGATTTTCTCTTCATTTATATATACACTATTCAACCCTTCTCTATTAGAGATTTACCAAATAAATTTAAAAATAAATAAAACAACTATGCGTTCTCCGTCTCTATCATGAAACAAAAAAACATAAGGGATCTGTGCACGATTGAAAGCAAAAACGAAAAAGGTGAGATAGAGATTTTTGGAGGAAAAATAGACAGGAAACGAAATCCAGAATAGTTGAGGAGTAAATTGAAGCAGTGTTAAAGAGAATTAATTGAAAACAAATTGATACAAAGAGTTGAAAAAAGATGAGAGGAGTTTAACATGCATACCTCAGGACACCCCTAAAGAAGAAGAGAGGAAGAGTCTAGAAGGAGTAGATGGAGATAGAAGAATGGAGAAGGAGTGAGGTTTTTCTGTTTTTATATACAGTGAGGCGTGTTAGCACTTAGCACGAGGTCCTCCACTACGTAACCATTCAATTACTCACCTACCCATTCTACCCATTTGCCACCTCATGGGTTATCTAAATAAAATTTAGACTCTGTCAATAATGTAAATCTTGTTTTATCTTAATAATTCCACTATATTATGTTAATTAAGTTTTGTTTAAAAAAAAATGGAGGAGTATTGAGTTGTTTTAATAATTTCATTATATTATGTTATTTAAGTTTTGTTCAAAAAATATATATATATATATATATATATATATATATATATATATATATGGAGAAGGATTGGGTTGTTTTGGAGCTGCGGTTGCTGATTTCTTTTCCCAGATAGAACTCATGTCAGGGGTTAATCAATCAGGTTTTTTAAAACAAAAATTATACATTTTATATATATTTTTAATTTGATTATATAAATTATTTATATAACTTTATTATTAATTAATATTTTTATCAAGTAATAAACTTACATATAGTAATTGTTTCAATTATAATTTATAATTAAAGTTTAATTTATTTAAATTATAATATTATTGTATATTTATATAATTAAATAATATAATATAAAAATTTTAATTTTCATATATATGTAGAGAGATAGATATATTAAAAGAAAAAATTGCATACCAACTCATCTTGTCTTGACGGGGTTTAATGAGATGGAACAAATTCAGTTCACCAGTCAGAATCGATACTTGTATGATATAAATTGTTTTGTTGTTTTGGTTTTTAAGATATGTTTATAAAATTTATTGTATATTAATTTAATAAATCTTACTTTACTTAAATAATTTACTATATCATATTATTTTTAATATATTAATAAATTGTATAAAAAACTTGAATTTTTATTTTGATTTATTATAATTTTGATAAATAATTTGATTATTTTAAAAATATTTTAAGATATTTTTTTTCAATATTCGATAGTTTTATAAATATTTCACATGATTAATTTCATTTTAAGTATTTTTGTGATACATAATTTTTATAAATTATATATGAGAAGATGCTTAAAATTATTTTTTATGAAAAATTGAATTATTTTATAATAAAATATATTATTTAAATAGAAAAATATTAAACAAAATAATTATCTACAAAATTTAATATGATATAATTATTTAAAATTCTAAATTTTATTAAAAAATTTAATTTGAAGTTTTATTAGTTTAAGTTACTAATTTTTTCCATTAACATTGATTTTTTTCTAATATTTGCAACATTGTTATTTTATCAATGTTATTAGTATTTTTTTAAAAGTTGAATTTTTTTAATATTGATTATGATAGTTTTCTATTAATTTTTATTATGATGATTTCAACAATGAGCTCAAGGAATATTTTAGCCCACATTGATTTAGTAAAAAATAAATTCAAAACAAATGACAGAAATATTGATAAATATTATCCAAGATAATTGTAGAAAATTCAGTTAAAAATAATATTGAATGATATTAACAAAATCTATTAATTTTAGATGAAAATAATCTTTAACCTCTAATAAAAATATTACTAAAGAATATTTTTAATTAATAATATTATTTTATATTCGAAATTTTATTTTATGGTCATTACAACATTTTATTTAAAAAAATCAATAAATTTAAATTATTTGATTAAAAAACATTTAAAAACAAATCAATTTGAATTCAAATTAATTGAAATTAAATATATTTTTTTGTCTAAAATTATAAATTTGTTATCTCAACACATGTTTAAGTAACTACTAGTTGGGGTCTAATATTTTTTTGTCTTATAAAATCCATATGTTTTATATTTTTTATTTATTTATACTTTTTTATTATAACCTGAAAAATTAATTTAATTAGATGTTTAAATATTATTTATTTTGATATTCATGATCTTATACACACATGGGATACCTTGAACTTAAAACCCTCACCATCTTATATTAACATGCCTCAAATCAAATCACTTATAATAATTTAAAATAAAAACATTTGTATGGTAGATTTCTGATAAGTTTTGTTCTAATGAATCTTTTCATAAAATCAATAATTTTAATAATTATTTTATATTGTAATATTTTAGATTAAAAATTAATTTATTATTATAATTACAAATATTTTAGTATTAATACTATGGAAACAAACTATTGATATTATAAAATATTTTGTATTCAATGTTACCATATATGTTATTAGAATTAAAAATAAATAAATGTTTAGATTTTGACAGCAATGATATCCAACCCACAACCAACTTATGTCACTTTCTAACATTCCCTTGCCATTGAACCAATCCTTTACCCCCATATTATCTTTTTTATTGGTAACTATAACATAATATATTTTAGAATTATTTATTATAATAGGGTCCAGGATTTTATAATCATTAATCAGAAGGATCCAAAATTTTATAAATGATAAGAAATTTAAATTTTAATATAAATTATTTTAAAATTTGATGAAAATTTATAAAAAAATTATTGGTTGAAAAAACCATACTATATTTTTAACTTTTTTATAAATTTATTATCGCCTTTGGTCTATAAGTTAAAGTAATGTGTAATAATGAAAATAAATTATCTTATATATTCCATGTAACTAATATTTTTATCGTCATTTTCATCTTTATATTAAGATGATGGAGATTAATAAAAAAAATACAATAAATCCTACATGTTGTGTTAAAGTTAGTATTTGATTTTTAGTTTTATTCTATTTTATTTTCAATTTATCTATTGTAATTTATAACTTTTGCTTCATTGTAGTTATTATTATGTTTATGAACTTAATTAATTTGTATATCTAAGATAAGAGTATTAATTACTCTTTATTTTATTAATTTAAAAATTCAGTCTTTATTATTATTATTTCTTATAATTTTCTCCTATTCATAATTACAAATATTAAAAAGAAAATCAAACAAATAATAATGCAGTTTAAACAAAATATTATAAAAAATATAAGTACATAGAAAAAACAAAATGAAATTATTGACACTCAAAAAAACAAGAAATATAAAATAAAATTGAAGATTATTTTAGAATAGTATTATTAAAACATGTTAAAATCATATTGTTATCAATTATTGTAAAAAAGATAATAAAAAACTATTATTATTTTTTTACAAACTTATAAAACATATAGAGAGAATATTAAAAATAAAAAAATACAAGAAAAAAATGAAAAAAGTAAAAAAATTATATTTATTATTTTATATTTTTTCATGTGTAAATAAAAATATTCAATTTTTATTAATTAATTTATTATTATTTTTTCTTTAATTATTTATTAATTTTTAATTCACTATTTATGGGATATATATTTTACAACTTCTATTTAATAATATAATAATAAATATAAAAATTATTTTTTAATATTATATTAATATATAGAGTTATCGGATGAATATATTTTCCATACATATTTTCCTAACTTGAATCATTCTTTCTCTTATACATAAGAAAGTAAAACTTAGTGAACGATGCATTTACTCCAGTTCTTCCTTTTGACAATGAAGTTTTAATGTGATTGATTCTAAAATTTAATTATGAAAAATAATAATAAATTAATAATATCATTCCAATACAACTGACATCGACTAATGTAAACAAAATTCTTTTATTTATTTTCGGTTCAAACCTTGCGTATTCCCAATATACATTATTTGGTTATACCCTCCATCTTCTCCCATCCAAATAGTAAGGTGAGAAAAAAATGAAAAAAAATACTAAAGAGTTTTTAAAAATAAATGAAAATATTTATAGAAATAATTTTGGCTACATATTATATATATATATATATATATATATATATATATATATATATATATATACTTTCAGTTTTATAAAAATGATTAAAAGAAGTAGCAAATAAAATTCTATATAACTTAAGACAACGATACATATTTATAAGTAAAATAGAAAATATCTCCATCAATATACTAATTAATTATGTTATTCCTTTGTGGCTTTATGAAGAACTTATTAGAACATAACATTTGTCGAATACTATTAATATTACCAACTATCTAAGTGTAAACAACTACTTTAAGTTCTTTGGATTCAGGTTCCAAAGTTTGAAGAGTCCACCTTTCTCTGTTACTGTGAGATTCTATCAGTAAAAATATCATTATATGTCAATTATTTATAATAATAATAATAATAATAATAATTAAAAAAACACCCCAAATATTTCCAATATTTTAGTAATATGTTAAAATAAATTACAATTTATATGTATTATTAAAACCTGAAATTTTTACAAAATACTGAGAATGTTTACCATGCACAAACAAAAAACCACAAGAAAATATAAATTCAATTATTATAATATTATTATTTTTTACATTATCATAACAATTGATAACATTGTTTTATAAAATATGATACAGTGAAAAAATAAAGCCTATTTTACTCCAACTCTTGAGTAACTAAATTACAAAAATCCATTTAAAAAAAATATGAAAAGAATATAATTTGTAATCTAATTTTGTTATATTAAAAGCCTGAACGACCGGGCAAGTTGGAATTGTCGGTTTGATGCTCCAGTTCTTTGCGTGTTTCATCCCATAGTTGCGTTTCAATATCCAACCTTTTGATTTCCATAAGTCCACGTTCAACTGCGAAAAGGGATAAAGCACTAAAGATCATGTTCGAACTAGGAGCATTATAACAAATATACTTGCAAGAGAAGGTTATCAATTCACTAACTACATACGAACAAAAAATAGAATGATAATTTTGAATCATTTAGCTGCTGTAGCCCATGATATTCCGAACTAGAACCACCAAAGTTAGCAAAATAAATACTAGATACTTTTATAGTGATATCTTCTGCTACTATTTTTTCACATTAAGGGTGGTTTAAAAGGACGTATACATCATAAATTAATCTATTTGTTTCTCTCTTGATACGTAAAATAAACCATTGAGAAGCGACAACATAGGGCAAAACTATAATAGCAAAAGCTTAATTTTGACGCAAAAAATTAATATGGTGGAACCTATGTTGTATTGCAGGTAAATTACAATAGATGGAAGGAAAGGGGTGAACAATACCATCCACGGCATCTTGCGAGGTAGGATTCTTTGAGTTATACTTGATCCAAAACTGCAAACGCTCATATGCTATGTCAGGCTCTATTTCATGCTTTTTTGCCCTCCTCCAAATGTAAGCAAGCCAAGCCTAAATGAACATGATAAACAAAAATCCATAGATGATCAAAACGCAAATGAATTGAACAGTTTGGAAAAGAAATTATATAAAAACCATATGGTAAAATCTGAACTTTTCTTGATGCAACCTTAAAAAAAAGATAGAAAATAATGTTAAAAGGAAAGTGACAAATTTTAAATCAGAATCTAAAAAATAAAAAATGGACAATATTTTCTTAAATAAAACTCTTCCTCAATTTCGAAATATTCTCTTTAGTTTTTCTTTTGCAATTAATTAGTTGGAAACAAATTAATATGTATATGTAATAAGTTTTAAGATACTTCTCATTGCTTGTTTTCTTCCATATTTTCCCCACGCCCCCAATCTCATTAAAAATGACTCTATCCTTACATTCAAAGTCTTGTTTCTATTTTTAACCCCTTCGAAACAAAATGAAGGAAGTTTTCTGGCTGCATATATGGTTATGTTAAATTAAACTTTCAAAATGAAAAGCCTAACTATATGTCCACAAATATATATTTTTTCTTTTTCCAAAAAATAACAAGGAGGAGAACGAATTAACTAAGGAAGATAATATCAAAAAAGTTAAAACAGCGAAAAAAGAAGAAGAAAATATTACTACATATACCTGTTTAAAAGATACATCTTCAGCCTCCTCCTGGCTCAAGTCTGAAAATAAAAGACTTGTTTGGAATGGATTACGTAATATCAATCCAATTAATTTTTTTTTTAAAATGCAAGGTTGCACGTGAGTGTCAATGTGAATAAAGATACAAACAAGCAAGTCGTGAGGACGATAAGGTAGACAAAACACGTAACGTAAGATTGAATGGTCAAGATTTGGTATGCCTCTTACCTCTTTCATTCTCACCTAAAAGACTCCATATATATTTTAAAAAAATTATAATAAACTAAATTAAGTCGCAAAGCAAAGCTCAATTACCACCTTATAATATTGTAACTCCACTAGCAGCATTTAATCTCAAAGTTTTAACACAAATGATTAATAAAATGGCAACTGTGACCCAAAAAACTTACCAAATGTATCACACTGTCCTTCAATTGGTAGTTTTAGGTCATCTACACCAAAATCAAAACAAGAGTCAGACCTACATATAAAAACCTTTGAGGGCATGAATATATCGATATAAATAACCGTTAATATGATTCTACGGATTCTCTGCCATCTTTTATTTATTATTTAGCAAACAATACCCTACCCTAGGCATGCATCAATTTACACAAAGAGAAACAAAATTTATATATTAAATACGTTTTTAGTCTCTTTATATTTTATAATCTTAGTCTCTATTAAAATTTGGTTACTAATTTAACCCTTAATGATGTTTTTTTAGTCTTGATAAAACTCTAAATTTATGATATAAAACCCTCTTATATATATTAAAAGAAATTTATATTTATTTTAGCTCATTTTATTTAATATCAAGCACGTTTTTCAATGAATTGTTGTCATGTAAAGCATTGAATATTGATAGGAATCGAAATTGTAAAATAATTTATAGGAAAAAAACATAATAAAATATTTACAGAAACTAAAAATGAAATATCACGTAAAGTAAAAATTTATTGACAACAGTATTCTACTACCCACTTTGAATTTGAAAAACTAACTTTGAATCATTCATTAAAAAAATATATTATTTTAAACTGCATTCATGCGCAAAATTAATAACAGAAAATAATTAAATAAAATATGACAAAAGCATTTGTAGAAGAAAACAAGTTTTTCTCTACAAGAACATCATCGGAATAAATTTTGATGTTCTTTTGATTTTTATGAAATGCTTTGACACGAGAAGATATAAAAAAGATAAAAGTTGAATGAATAAAAGAGAAAAATGCATGGAATATCAAATATCAGTAATTACTAAAAATCTATACAATTAGCGTGAATAGTATTGAATCTGGCACCTGAAAAGCCAAATTTCAATAAATTTGGTCGCCTATGTTGAGCCAATGCAACCGCCAATGCTTCCTCTACCTTTGAAACAATCATGGACAAGAAATCCAGTCATAGATTGAATAATTATTTTTGGTAGTCAAAATAAGATTTTAACAAATAGATTAAATATGTAATAAAATGCAATGTTGTTAACAAAATTAGTCATTAGATTTTTCACTTAATAACATCATTTCAGTACCAATTACAAAAACAAAATAAACATATTGCCAACATTCCTTTTCTACATTCCTTTGAAGGGTATGCTTCTAGATCTTACATTCCTTTGAGAACCGATGGCCATACTGGATCCTATCAAATTTCAGTTTTTGAATAAGTTAATAGATTATACGTTGCTCTAGACTCATCTCTGATCCCCCATTAAAAGCCTAATGAGCTCATATTTTCTATTCAATAAAGACGAAAATACTGAAAACCGTGCAAACCCACTTTTGTGTCAACACGAGTAAAAGTGGATGCTTGAAAAATTTTACATCTAGGCATGCTAAACTAGTAAGTATATTCTACCTGTATCTATAAATACCAATTCATTTGATGAACTTGAATGGTTTTTTTTATACTAGTGACGACGAGATTAAAATTAGGACCTCGTACCAATTGCTCAAACTCATTATAACCCGACGACCTTAGTAGATTCTCATTATTAATGAGTTAACGTGGGACGAAGAAATTTTTCTGAAGAAAGGTAATATACGTTAAATTCACAATATTACCTACGAAAAACATATTTCGGTATCTACTACATCTGAAGCAATAATTAAGGATATAATAGAAACCTTTAATGAAGCCAATTGCCGCAAACCTTGCTCGACAAAAAGCATGTTCTCAATATTTCCCTCTCCAGAAAGTTCCTTCAGGTCACGTTGATTTTCTGTATCCTCTACATCGAGGTCTACATGTAGAACAAAAATTAAGGATACAGTCAATCACCCCATATTATTTTGAAGAGCTAAGTAAGTAACCAACGAGGAAAAAACTTAAAAAGAGAACAACCAAACAACTAAAACAAGAAATTCAAAAGTAATTAAAGTTATTACCTGCTTCCTCTTTGGCTTTCTCTCCTGCGGCTAATACAACTTCAACCGGATTCGGGGCGAGCGTAGACCAGTACTTGTACTTTGCTTCAGCAATATCAGCATGAATACCTGTCATATATTTCAGGGCCATCAAATGTACTGAGATTTTCCTTCCCCCTTTTTTTTTTTTCCTTTACATAAAAGCATAATACCTAAGCAAGTCCATTGAGATGAAATTGCATGTTATTCTGTATACAAAATACATAACTTTAATTGTCCAACATCGGGTGGAATTAAAATAGTTTTGTTTTATATTCTTTTTATCTTGCATTGATTTTTGTTTTGTAAAGTTAACTTCAAAATGGAACTGTATAATATTTAAATTTAGATTAGAATTTTAATCTTGTTAATTATTGATTTTGAACTGAATAACTACTTTATTTGTCTTTGAGTGTCCGTATTTAGAAGCTTTTTGAATGGGGAAATCATGCGATGACAACCCATACATCCGACTAACAATTATATATATTAAATAATAAAATGTATTATTATACTAATTTTTTTTAAGTGATGATATTTTGACAATCAGAAATCATACAACTCTTTAAACAACTCACTTTTATTAATATAATAATCTATAAAATGATTGAATAAAAATAAAAATAAAACAAAACTATTATTATAATATTAAAAGAGAGTTGTTTATAGCAGTTGTATGGATTTGGGTTGTCAAAGTATCATTTTCCTTTTTTTTAAAGATTCTATTAGTTGTCAAAATATTAATACTTTTTTAAATATTAGGTCCTTCAACCTATTAATTTAGAAAATAAATTTTAATTGAATATATTTATTATTTTAATTAAAACACAAATATTAATTACTTTAAAATTCTACTTATAGATATATATTATCTACTAAATAAGTGATTTTAGGAGTTGTTGTCGTTTATTTCTCAAATAATCTCTTAACAATCTAATAAAAAATAATTATTTATCAAACTATATTAAGCCAAATATGAATTAAAATGAAAAAAAGTTTTAACTCACGTATTTTCAAATTATTTATAAAATAATTAATAAAATATTAAAAATTTAAATGCAATACAAATAAAATTTAATTATATTAGCTTTAATTATAAAAACTAGTTTAATTTATAGTTAAATACAAAATAATAGTATGTACTAATAATATAAACAGTTTTTATACAATCATCTAGTCATTACTTCCCAAAAGTAGTTTTTTTTTATTAATTTACAATTTTTAATATTTTTTAATGAATATTTAAAATTTATACCTCCTATGACTTTTGTTTAAAAGTGTAAAACTTTTTAACATTGATAATGTATAAAAAATAAATGAAAAATACATATATTTCATTTGTATAGGTAGGATAATTTGTTTTTTATTTACAAAATTAGCAATTTAAAAAATTATTTATGTATGTTTTTAATGTTGATATACAAAAAATATGGAAATTTTCTAATCTGATGTTAATTTTGCATATTAAATAGTTTCTTATTCTAAAGACATTTAAATAAAAAAAAGGAGAGAAATAGGATAAATGAATATAAAATTAAAATAAAAAACTAAAAAGATATTTCATAGAAAATAAATAAAAAAAGAAAACAGAGATGAAAGTAAATAAATGAAGAATAGACTAAAAAAATTTGGGTAGAACTCATTTTTTAAAATTATTTTCCCTTTATTTTTTGACTCAGACACACATATATAACTCATTAATTTTAAAATGTTCATTCTAACAGTACACAGAAGTAAACTATACAAATATTGTTTATTTGAATGAATAGTAAGATACTTTACCGTGTTGAACGCATAAACCCCAATAGCGAGATAGCCAACACCTCTTCAAAACAACCTCTTCCTGCCAAACAAAGTAGAAAGCCACACACATAACTACGCAGAAGACTATTAAAATTAAAATGAAACAAATTATGGTTAGCGTTTAAACCTACCATTTCTTCCGGCGAAAGTATCATTCGTTGTGTCATAAGCCGTAGCTTCACCAAAGCAGACATCGCCTCAATCTAATGCCAAATAGGAGAAATTTAAATTGAATTTTATAAACAAAATTTTTCCATGCATTCAGATACCAGAATTTGAAAACAGAAATATGAAACGTACAAGGTAAATTGCTGGATACCTCGGCATCCGTCTGTAACACTGCTTGAAAACCTCCATGATTCTTTGATGCATTTCTCAGAGCAGCCTGAAAATGGAAATGATATTCACATTCGACTTCCAATCTTACTTTAATGAGAAATTCGAGTGACAATAACATCAATTTCCGCATGCACGTCATCCCTGCCATGTTTCCATAGCTATACACACGTTAAACACAATAAACTGTCCAGTATATTGATTTCCCACGCCAAAGAAGTTGGCTCGGATTCACACAGTAAATTAATCTAAAAAGAATCTGGAAGTTAAAACGGTTGAAGATATTTTATTCTCTAAAGTTAATTACAAAAGCATTCCAATGAAAGAAAAAAAACATTCTTAAACTTACTGATCGGCTTTATAGATAGGATCATATGCAATTTCATTATTAGAATAGTTTTTAACAATTTTTTTATTATTATTAAAATGCTGTCTGTATGTAAGAAACTCACTGTTAACAAGTTATAAGAATTGTGAGAATTATAAAACTAATTTAAGTTCTTAAGGATAATTAAAGAAAAAATTAATTCATGTTTTTAAATCTCAGTCGACATTATATATAGGATAAAAAACAAACAAACAAGTAAAGCAATTTTAACTATGATTTCTCCGTTGGAAATTCTTTACTGAGTTAAATCCGTTTCTAAAATTTCACGTTTTGAGCACAGCATTAAGTTCAGCAATTAATACCTCAGAATTAGTATGAGTAATAAACTGAAAAATGCCCAAATAATTGCTATTTAAGACACCGTTATTCATGATAGATATATACTGTTACTTTCATGAATTAGTACGCCCACTCACAAATACGAGGAATACAATCGTTCTAGTCCAAGTGGTATCGTTATAAAAATAGGTTTAATTCGAATAATCACATAAAGATTGGAGAAATAGATTATTTAACTAAATTTATTTAGGTCATGAATTAAGATAATTAGTAGATTTATCGACAACCAGATTAATAATTATTTTTTAAATAAAAATAATATAATTTTATTAGTATATATATAATAAAATAATTTAAAAAATTTACTTATTTTAAAAATAAATATTAAAATACATTTTTAATAATAATTTATTTTAAAATTTAATAATTAAGATGAATTATTATTTTAAAATAATAATTTATTAAAAATAAATCATAATAATAAAAAATAAATTTTTATTTTTTATTTTGATATTAAATTTAGGTTTTTTTATAATTTATATATTAAATCATTATATTTTAAATAAAAATTAATTTCATTAATAAAATTTAAAATTTTAAAATATATTTTTATTTTTTATTTAAATATTTTTTAATTATTTAATTTTGTATAAATATATAATATTTTATTTTTTTAATTCAATTAAGTCAAAATTATGCGCAAGTATGATGATTTAACGCAATACTAATCTAGACTAAAATTTTGGTTATTTTAAAATTTACGTTAGAACTATCAAAATCTTTTTTACTTGAGCACCTGAACATTTTGACTGTTCAATTATATAATACTCAAAAAAAAAGTGGAAGAGAATTTAGCTATAGATAGGAAAAGAAGATAAACCTCTTTTTGATGGAGTGCTGCCTCTTTCCTGAAGAACAAAACAATACATGTCAGAATACAGAAAGGTTTATGGATGAAAGACAACTCGCCCAATCACTTAAGGTTGCATAAGTTTACTGCAGTTAATGAAATTCAAATTCGATAACATCTTTGTTTTATCATCATCTACTTGTTTATACATGTTTACAAGATTTTTGGAAAAATATACAAAAACTTATCTACATTGTTAGTGCCAATGTTAGAATTGTAGTTTATCTTTATGTATCAATTTCTTTTTCAAAGCTTTTGAGTCTTTATTAGTAAATATACAAATTGTTTAAAAACGCAAATAAGACAATTTGATTGATCAATTATACTTCATTTAGTATGTTTTGTCAATCAGCAGATAGGAAAATAAGATCCATCATTATTTGAGTAGGGTCCATCAATTTTGCTTAATTCTCTTTTTCTATATTAACCTGACATTATCATGGTAATGGCTATCATGAGAGATCCAAAATTGTATCCAACTGTATAATTTGGAAGGACAGAATTTATTAGTTAGTACCGAATCACTAAATATTTATGGTTCTACTAAGCCAAAATACCATTTACCTGGTTGAAAGGCGAGCTTCCAAAGTTACACCTTCTCCAAGAGTAGCAACCTATACGAAATTAAGCATATGAAAAATTATGGATAATTAGTTGTCTTGGATCCTCTCTGATCAGTTGAGCTATACAACGATACTGACAGAGGAACATTAGATAATGTCAATGTGAGAGAGCCTTTCCTTACTAATGGTAATGTATCACACCATGCAATTCAAAATTGTGGAATGGTATGCAGGCCTCGAGTGTATTAAATGTTCACAGAAAATTCCACGAATCATGTATTTAAATTAAATTAAAAAAAAAAAAAAAAATATATATATATATATATATATATATATATATATATATATATATATATATATATATTACCAATATAATTTATCCAAATATCAAACACCAGAAGTGCCACGCCTGGGATTCTGATAACATTATAATTTTACATCCAAAAAGTAATAATTATCCATAGAAATTGGCAACATCTTACAAATTTAATTTTTCTTCGTTCTTTTCTTCGACAAATAACAGTAATTGTAACAAATTTTGTTCCGCGACCTTTGATTACGTTCCCCTGACCGATATGAACATCCTATGTATGCTTGTGCACTAGATCCATTTTTTCATTGTGTACCAAATAATGGTACTACTTTAAACCTATACGCACGCCTAAATTATTATATTAGCACGTTCCTAATGGTTTACTTCTGCGCAAGAGCAATAAAGAAGCAAACATTGCCGGAGAAAGATGGACACACCCTCAAAAGTATTACCTGTTGTTCTAGTTGCCTGACTTTTGATTCAGCTTCCTCAAACCTTTCTTCTGCCAGTCGAACCTGTGGAGGATATATACACGTATATATGTCAAAATTGTGTCGATTAATGAAAGTTTATATTAAAACAAAACAAGTTTTCTTAAATGAAGAAAATAATGTTATCTGCCTTCAGTCAAATTAAAAATATTCGGATGACAGTGCTAAGTTAGTTACATCTAATCTAAAAGCCCAAAATTTTTTTTAATCTAAAAAATAAATTATTTTATGAATATAACAATAGATGAAATGAAGGAAAAAGAGGTAAGACGCGTTCTTTCTTCTACAAGTTACAAGCACAGTTAGAATCTCAAAACTTGAATGCTTACGAAAAGCATACTCAAACTAATACCTTTTCAACCAAATTGTCGTTTTCTTCTTGTAACATATCAAGCTGCATTAAAATTCACATTGCATTAGTATATTCCTGAAAAGAGACAGCAGTCATGCAGACCGAGGCAGTTGAAGATTAAGAAATGCAAGGGAGTAAAGTTAAAAAGGGAGATGAAAGCGAGGAAGGAACAAGTAAAAAGACAGAGAGTGTGGCTTGATTAGTGACACTTGAACGAATCATCTACGAAAAAAGGACATCAAAGGCAGGCATGAACATAATAATTAGATCGAGTGTCCAACATGGATCCGTGTACTACCTCGTCTTCAAGCTCACTAGCAGGACGCTGTTGCTGCTGATTGGCGTTTTCTCTTACTTTCATACTTCCCAGATCAAGAGACAATCTACACAGACATAAAAAACATATGGCATTACATATATATTTCCACTGATTAGAATTTCTAATCAGAGGTTAAAATTGTGAACAAAATTAAACATATATATATATAACAAATTTGCAATTAATTAAATTTCAAACACTTTTCATTAATGATTATTATTTACTTTGTCTTTCAAATTTTTATCTTTGGGAAATAAAATCCCAGTTGTAAAAAGGAGAGTGCAAGCAGTGGTCTACATTTCTCCTATATATTAATTGTAAATGATGCATAGTAAATAAGAAATTATTGAGGAAGCACAACTCTCTCTAGTATTGGACTTCTACTACTGGACAACTCGAGTACGAGACCCTACACATCCCATGTGTCTCTCTCTTATATGGGAGCTGTACAGTGGAGAACATCAATTTCATGACTCTGTAGCGTCTGATCATTTATTGTTAAGTGTAAAAGTAAAGAAAGAACAAGAGCAGCAGCGTACCTTCTGTCTTTTCTAACATCCAGAAGAGGCTCAGAGGGCGGAACACCAGCAGAGGAGGCTGGTCTGAGGGTGATAGGTACACTAGCGGGAACCATGGGAACCATGGGAACCACCTTAGAAAGTCCACTGGGACGGCCCGAGGTTGAGCGAGCAGAGGGAGGTTGATCACTGCTCGCGTTACTGGGTTGAGTTGACCGCGTCGTTATCATAGTGCGAGTGGACGGAGAAAAGTCCATGGCTCGGTTTCCTGGCGTTGAACGAGCAGAAGGTGGTTGTTGTTCTGTGTTATTCGCTACCACCGAGGGTGTTCGAGCTGGAGGTTGCTCAGCAGGAGGAGCATTTACAGGGGCAGATGATCGAACACTCGATACGCCTCTCACAGACTGCGGCTGATCTTGAACAGCGCGAACTGGCTAGTACAAATTAACAAAATCAAAGTTCCATCAACTTTATCAAATTAATAATCATTCGAAAATAAAAAAATTAGTCCCTCCGTTAACCTAATTCAAATAACATTTCGACTACACTCTTTAGAAAAATCAATTAAAAACTATTATTGATAATTTATATTTATATTTCGAAATTACTTTTATATCATTTTAAAAATTAAAATAGTTGAATGAGATTTAATATTAATGAAGTGAGTACTTATATTCTCAAATGAAATTGAAAAAAAAAACTTTATATAATTTATTTTAAATATTTATTAAACTTTTAGTAAAGAATGTTAGTTAATTACAAATATTGTTAACAAAAGTAATAATAAATACATAATTCAATAACAAAAAAAGAATTATAGAACGAGTCATCAAATATTAAAAAAATAAATCAAATAAATTTAAACATGAATATAAAATTTATGCGATTTGGTAAATAAATTGAAAACTCTCTCATTTTCTTGTTTAAATTCATTCAACTTTTACTACTTAACAACGTAATTCCTAAACTTTGTTGATTAAAAAATAATTAACAAGATAACTATTAAACTTTGTAGATTAAAAATTAATTACCAAACTAGGTTAGGCTCTTTTTTGTACTCTAAAAACTCTTTAAATCCTTACCTTTTATTTTAAATATTTGAAACTGTAAACGTGTCTTTCACACTAATATTTAATTGATGAGTGATGCTAATAATCTATACTCTTCTAATAATTTTTTTTATTGATTTTAAACTTGAGATTTCTTAATAATTATAAGATGTAAGTAAAATTCATAATATAAAGAGTAAATTCAAATAATTTTAAAATTTTTAGCAAAATTCAGCAAATAGTAGAGATTATGTCCAACTATTTCCCCTAAAAATGGTAGGCATGATAAAGAAGCGAAATACCGCTGGGGAACGAGATCTAGCAGATGGCGTAAGTTCTTGCGTCGGGCGAACTGACTAATAGAAACAAAATCAAAAGTGTTCATCAGCTTGTTATTCCAACTAAGCAGCCTTCGACACGAATCTACACATAATTTTGCAACGAAAAATTCTAGTTACCGCGGGGGAACGTGATCTCGCAGATGCAGGTTGATCAAGAACAGAGCGAACTGGCTAAAAGAAACAAAACAATTAACACGGAAACTAAGCCGGAGAAAATTTTCAAATAAAGCAATGCGATCTAATGATTCAAAGACCGTGAAGCGTAATTACCATAGGTGACCGCGACCTTGCAGACGCAGCTGGATCCTGAACGCTCCGAACTGCCTAATGGAACATCAACAACAACATCAAATTCGAAGCACGTTCAATTAAAAAAGGAGAAAACATAAGCAATCGAAGCGTGAAGGAAGTTAATTAAGTTACAATAGGAGAGCGATTTGGCATCGGTCTTCCACCGCCGAGGCCAATGCCTCCGGAACCGGTGATCGATGAATAGTCGAGAGGAACGTCGTCGTCCTCTTCTTCATCGTCGTCAGTGTGCGACATGACCTGTGCGAGTCTCTGTGCGGCGGCTTTAGTGGCATTGTTCTGCGCTCTCCGAGCGCCAATCATAGCGGGGCCGGCGGAACCTGCACGTGAGTGGCGGAGCACCGGCAATGCATTGTTCGTCGGCGACGACGGCGTCTTCGGAGTCCCGGAGCTGTTCTGCCTTTCGTACACCCTTCGACGATCCATCTAGAGTCCAATAAAAGTAAAAATAAATAAATAAACACAATAAAAAAAAGTTATCACAATTTTATACACGGATTATAATTTTTTGGTGAAACTTGCTTTGCTTTGTGTCTGGAAACAGGAAGTTATTTCAAAATAGGAAGAATATGGAAAAATTGGTGTCCGAATTCATGGATCTGTTTGGCGTGACCTAAAATATTTCGCATTTTGTATTAGAAGAAAAGGGAGACAGAAGAAAATGAAATGAGGAGTGGAAGGATCATGAAGTGGAATCCTGCTATTGTGGAGGGACATGAGGATCCATTCGCAAAGAGAAACACGTTATAGGTTGGGAACTTGGGAGTTGGGTATGATGTGGATGCATCCATGAATGCTTCCATTTTGTAACGGTTTCCGAACTTCTCGTAACCAAAGTTTGTGCTGGTAAAAGGAATACTCCTCAGTTAAATTTGAAGTTTCAATATTATAGAATACATTTAATAAAATAAAAATGATCAATGTTAAACTTCAACTTTATTTTAAAAAATACTAGCAGTATTCTTTATTTATTTGAACAGAATTTTTACTCTAAAAGAAAAAAAATGTAAGAAAATATAACTGCCACGAGGAAGATACAAACAAAAATTATATATCTTTTAAAGATCATCCTAAAATATACAGAATGTGTTTAATATATGGTTTGGCATTAGTTAGCGGGACCAAGAGGAACATCAACTAGAATTGTTTCTTATTTTTATCAATAAGTAATTGGATTAATTGAAAAAAAGTTAAAATTTTTAAATAATATATGATTTTTAAGTTTTATGCAATCACATATAATTAATAAGAAAATTATCAGTAAAAATAATCGGCCAATTTTCTTAACATAAGATAATCATCAAAGAGATAATTTGGTGTACAACTTTGATGATTCATAAATAAATAAATAAATAAATAAATATATATATATATATATATATATATATATATATATATATATATATATATATATATATATATATATATATTTGGTATACACAATTTTAACCGTTTTTTTTATTCTGAAAAATCACTGGCATCCATTGTTATAATATAATTTAGCGTTGATATTTCCCTATCTTTGGTTTTTAAAAGTACTTGCTTCTAAATTTCAAAATATTTTTTGTGGAAAATTTATTTTTTCATTTTATTATTAAGATAATTATGGTAAAATTTAATAACATTGTATTTATAGTTAGATGATAATAATATAACTTATTTTACTATATAATTAAATTTATCTTTTTAAAATTTCCTTCACTCTCTAATTGATATACTACATAATTTTATACTTAATTATTTTTTTCTGCTATAGTTTAATTATCCAATCTAATATATGAAAGATGTGAATCGAAAGTCGTACTAATTATATCCAACTCAAAAAAGAAAAAATAAATAAACCCAAAATATTTATTCTCTATTAATATGAATAAATATAAGATGATGTACACAAACAAAAGTATATTCTAATTAAGATTTTTAATTACTTTCCAATTACTTCTAGATTTATTGGATATATTTCATGATTTTATAAAATAAAGACAAAATAGATAATTTTTTATCATTAGACACGTAAATAAATTGATTATTACAATTCAATCAATAGTCTTAAAATTTAGTTTTTACTTAATTATATATATATATATATATATATATATTAAATATTCTGAAAAAGTCATCAATTATAATACTTTTATTTAATTGTAATAAGATTGTCTCAAATACAAAAATTATTAGTGGTTAAAAAAATTGTTATACAAAATACAAGAAATAATTTTGTAGACGCAATAAATTAATTATGCAAAATATTACTTCATGTATTATTTTTATATGAATTCTAGTGGATTTATCAATAATAATATATAAAAATATAAATTTAATATTCGTTTTCACACTTAATATTTTATTTATCTTAATATTTTATTTTTTATATAATTATAAGTGTCAATTATTTTTTAATTAATATTATAAATAATATGTTTTAAATAAAAAATTATTTAAATAAGTTTTTTATCATTTTATTTATTTTATTAGTCTTATTTATTATTTATATATAAAATATAAAATATTTATTTTAAAATATTTGTTTAATAAATAATTTTTTAAAATTACTTAATCTTAATCATTTAACTTAATTATTATAATTAAATTATTAAATAAAAAATTAAATTCAACTCATAAATATTTAATATTTTAAATTAATTAAATAATTAATTATTTTGATAATATTTAAAAAAAAATTATTTACTGTTATTATAAATAAAACTATTTATTGTTATCATATATTTTAAATTATAAATTAATATTTTTAATTTTAATAATATTTTTAAAACTTATTTAATATATTTTTATTAAATTTTAATTATAATAATAAGTGGGAGAGAAAAAATAATAACAAAAAGATGAGATAGAAAAGAAAAAAATATAAAGAATGAAAGAGAGAAGAAAAAAAGAAAAAAAATATGAATAATAAATGTTTAATTGGATAAATAATTTTAAAAAAAATATTTGAATAAATTTTATTTTTAAATATATTATTTTATAAAATAGTTTTTTTTTTCAGTATAATTAATAAAAATGTTTTTTTTTCCATCCAATTACACTTTCTATGTCATTTTTCTCATTTCAATACTTTTAATTATACATTTTTTTAATATATCATCTTAAAATATAAATAAACATACTATTTTATAATAATGATAATACAAATTCCCACCAATTCTATTGAAAAAATATAATTTGTGGGAATTTAAACACTATATAAATTGTATTGAAAAAACCCTATTTTATAAACATACTCTCTAACTTCTGAAGTTAGAGAGTGGACCACACAACAAATTGAAGGAGAAGCTCCATTTATATGTCTAAATCAGAAAATTAGGGTTTTCTTCTCCACTGCAATTTCCCTTTCAGAGAGGATGGTTCCACAGTCAGTGATTCCGCAAGTCTCCGATTCACGTGGCGTGTTATCAGAAGGTTCCTCCCACGGGTTTTACGATTGGCTATTCGAATGTCACGGTTTCTGGCACAATGTCATTCTCATCATTCCCTCCTTCCTATTCGTCCTGTACCTGGCACTTCAAACCAAACACAGTCTCCACAAACTCTCCCTTGCTCGCTCATACATCATCTTCTCGTACAACGCTTCGCTCTGGATCGTTACTCTTCTCAATCTCGCTTGGTGCTTTCTCCAGGTTCGTATGTATAATAATTGTTCGGTTCAGATATCAATTACGAAGTTCTATGCCATTTGTCATCAAACTTTTTTTTATTATTTCACTTAGGGTTGGTGAAATAAGCTTTAAAATTAGTTTATGGATATACCAAATGTTGTTGGTGTTATTTGAGTTTCTTAACTAAGGATTGAAGTTTGACTGTACTACTTAACTTATATGAGTGCCTTCAGTAGGGATAATTTATTTATTTTTACCAAAACAAAAGTTAATATACATTAAAGTTAAACTTTTGGAGAAGCTACTTAACTTTAATTTATAATTAAGCTTATTTTAATTTAATTTGATTCGTTTTAACTTTTTTTCTTTAGATTGACTTTAAAAAAGTTTGATTTCTTAAAAAGTTGTGTTTTCCTTCTTCTTCTTTTCTTTTCAAGGTTACATTTAAGTAGCGCCAATTGATTAAAGTTGCTTCAAAAATAAAGAAAAACAAAGTAAAAATTTGGGTATTTTTATTCCCCAATTTTAATTTCTAATAAAAAAACAAAAATAGGAGTAGTTAGTATATTATTTTTACGTACAAAACAAGTACTGATTTATTCTATAATAGTCTAAAAAATGAACCATTTATTTTTCAGCCTTTATCAATTATTTGTTGGTTCGTTGATTCAATTTTCAGTTATCCTAGTGTGAATCTTTTAATTTTTCTGAGAAAATTATTGTTTTTTCCTTTTATTTCTCGAGGGGCTATAAATTACAATGGCTTTGCATGGAGCTGGGTTGATTCCCTATATTTGTTGCATTTTTTTTGTTTCTTACACCTATAAACTAAATTGCTTTAGTTACAATATGGAAATTGGCGATATGAAACTGTAAAATATTCTAACGGTTATTAAACCATTACAAATTACACACACACACACACAATTCGTGGTTATTTTATATTGTCTGAAAATTTATAAGATTCCTCGTCAATTTTTGTTTTGTAATAACTTTGCGTAATCAAATTGGACGCCTGACAACGAGAACTAAAATGATGCCAAAATGTGTTTAGAGTAAAAAGTATAGTTTCTAAACCAAAAATAGTGAAAATATAGAAACAGAGAGAAATTAAACCTCGAAAATTCATTCAAACAGGGCATAATTCCTATGTGCATTGGATTTTGATTTTTATAATGCTCGTTTCTGGTTTGCTAGGATTTTCAGTACCTTCACTTGAGTCTAGATGGTGGGTTAATATATGCTTTATTTGATGTTTGGTGACTCAGGCATGGGAGTGCACATCTAGAAGAGAGTTGGCGTGGAACTTGTTATCCTTGTTTACTACTTCCGGAATGCTATTTTTAGAAGTGAGCTTGGTAGCCTTTTTACTTCAAGGAAATAATGCAGGTGGCCTAGAAGCAATGAGACGGACTTTTGGTATCTCAACGCTCGTTGTTGGCTTGGATATTCTGTTGAAGGTATTTCTTTGTTTGTTTTGAAAATACAAGTCTTGTACTTGGTTAAATTATGTTAACATAACGTGATCTTGGTGGAGAGAAGAAAACACATTATTGTTTTCTCACTAGTCAAATCAACGTGTTAATAAAAAGGAGAAGCAGTGATTTATGTTGAACATTGATTGTGATACATTCAAATAATATATTATTAATAAATAATAAATAAATATTAAAAGATAAAAGAATATAAAAAAATAATGAGATAAATTTGTAAATATATATATATATATAATAATTATTTGAGGATAAAAATTATAATAATCATTATATTTTGAAGATAAAAATCATAAATGTTAATAAAGTTATGAAATTCTGGGGAGTTATGACTCCACTACCTCCACTGATGAAAAAGCATATTGCAGGTTTCAATTTTTCTCATTGGAATTTGTCCCTTACTTTGACTGTGCATCGTCTACTCGATGAAAAGTTGCACATTTTTTTCTTGTTAGGCTGCATATCTATTCATATTTGAGATCCGATTATTCGTCGACAGTAATGAGCATGCGAATCAAGTAAAGTGGAATGTTTTGGCTGTCCACAAGCTATTGCTCACTGCTGTTTATGGCTTCATAATGTTTATGTACCATTCCGGATGGAGAGAAGCGTTGCCTGGTGAGTTTTCTTTAGCATGTGTTGTTTTTTCAACTGTTTGTGACTGATTACCTAATTTCCTCTCCTTTCGTGCAGCAAAAATTGCCTTTTACAAGTATGTTGCTGTCATGCTTATTTTTAATGTGATTGCGACATTTGCTTGTGGCCTTAGTGGAAACCGTGTTGCATTTGGTTTCTGGTTAGACCCTAATTTAATTGAGAAGAAAACATCCGTTCTGAGCTGTTCTTCTTTGGCATCTTTCACTGAAGCCTTGTTAACATTTTGTTCACAGGTTGTATGGTGTCGCGGTTGTCTTTTACCATGCATTTTACCTTCCTTTTTTGTTTACAACATTCCAAGCAGACTTTTTTCAGGTTAGTACCGTTTATTTTCGAACATCTTTTCTATTTTGTTTAAATTCAACTTTCCTGTAATAATCTTGTTTTTGTGTCGGAATTTCAGGAGGAAAATTTTCATTTGGAAAATGTGTATTATTCCGAGATGAAAGATGCGGGTTTCTTCGACACAGATTGGGAGTGATTTCATCAGCTGTTAAATTGACGTTGCCTCAGTATCAGGACTATGTAAATGAAGTAAATGTGGCAACATGGCGCAATATCATGATGTTGAGAGATGTTTTATCTGTTAGAACCTTAGTGTTCTGCTATTTAATGAACATGACTTTAAACGTATATGGCATAATTTTAGCAATAGCTTAATTATCTTAATTATCCAGGAAGATATGAGAACTAAATAAAATTGACATATAATGTCATTGACATAAGTCACCTATCTCCGGTAAAATTAACATATCACCGACACAAACCAAATTAATTCAAAAAGTCGACTTAATATAACTAACTTCCAGAACAAAAGGTAGGACTGGTTTTTCTTCTAGACTTTTTAATCACGCAACAACAGAGTTCACAACATAAAACACTCGACACTCAAAATTGCCCCACACCAGACATGTTGACCGGTACGAAGACTATGAGTTCATGTTTACACAATCCTTCAGCTACATGTTTTATCTATCTCTTCTTTTCAATGATATCTTCGATAAGATCTGCTGCTTGCTGAACTGTAGTGATGGTCTGTGCGCTCTCCTCTTCAATGGCGATACCAAATTCTTCCTCAAGGGCCATTACGATCTCAACCTACAAGCCATGATATTTAAACGAAATCCACAATCATTCAACTGTAGAAACAGGAAATGGAAATTAATCGGTAACATGTATTTGTTGGCATGGTGTTTCTCACTACCGTGTCAAGGGAGTCAGCTCCAAGTTTTTGAAACGTTGATGCGGCGGTCACGGTGCCACCATCAGCCACGGCCAACTGTTTTTTTACTATTTCGCACACCTTTTCTACAGTCTCTGGTTTAGCCTGCTCCAAGGTGTTTACATGAGTGTTAAGTCTATAGAGAGAGAGATACAGAGACAAAGAGGGAAGGGAGGTCCTAGTCTTTCATAAATGATTGTTTTCACCGCTGTATTTACATTGCAGGAGACGGAATAGTACAAAATATTCTTCCATTTGTGAGCATCAAATGGTTTAATATGGACTAATTTATCGCGTGCACACAATAGCCAAGCATACAGTTCCCTTATAAAACCCTTTAGAAGCTTAATAAAACACAAGATTCAATAGACCGGAACATTATCTAATTTACATTTTCAAATTGTCAGCAATATTCACATAAAAGCTAAAAATAGTGGTTATAGAAGTTCTTATTCTTGTTAGTTATAATTAGTGTTTCTTCATTTAAAACCATCTCTTACAAAGCATGAAATTTATAAATGCCAATATGAATGCCAGTATGTTGTGCAGAACACTAAGGGTTAATTGAGACCAGGGGGTAATTAATTAAAATAAGGATGTGTGATCAAATGTTATAAAGTACGCATACTATTTCACCTTTCACATCGCAATTTTTGTCAATCATTTTTCATACTCTCTGCTTCATACAGAGAATTCATGAAGACAATACCATCGAGAAAATACATTTGTATACACGGCAGCAACAGCTAATCACGAAAATATAAAAAACACACTGCAGTAGCTACTTACAGCACAGGAAATTTGAAGGCGAAGTTGACGCGGCTGCAAGTTAAAAGAAACATTCTTTCTCCCAAAGCTGGAAATCAAAGCAGATCTCCGGCTAGAAGGTGAGGCGAAGGCCTGTTCAGCAAATCCATCCATGCAAAGCTCATTAAATAATTAATTAATGAAGAAAAAACAAAACAAAATTCAATTGTAAGGTATCAAAGTGTTTTTTTTTTCATGTGAGAAATTTTAATGACCACTATTGATGTCTGCAGAATGTAAGACATGCGATTGTCCAAAATTTTAATTTTTGTCTAATTTCGATCACTAACAAACTTGTAGCGTTTTTTAACCAGGAATTAAACAAAAAAAAAAACAAAATTTATGCAAATGCTTGTTATGTGACATGTGAAACCCCAAATTCATTTTTCCCCCAAAAGCCTTAAGCAGTTAAAACCGACAGATATTATAATGAAAAAAGAAAAAAAAAAAAAGAGTGGAATTAGCTTTAGTGATTGTAATAGTGAAAAAAATAAGAAGAGAGAGATAAACAACGAACTTAAGATTTAGAAGTGTCGGTAGCAAATCGTATCCTAGAAAGCAAAAAACAAAGCATATAAAGGGACGATCGAGGACTTTCCCGTGAGGAATGAACAGATCAAGAAGGGGAACGAAGCGCGGAGCAGCGTTTACGATTGATAAGGAAGAGGAAGGGAGAAACGATACCTGCGTTTGAGGACTGAGAGATCGCATGGAGAGTGATGTCCCCGCGAGTGCATTGGTGGCCATGGTGGTGTGCTGTGAAGGTGCAAAGGAGCAGAAGAAAAATGGTGAGAAGAGGGAGAAGGTGGCGGAGAACGCGAAGAGTGTGATGAGAGAAGGTATATATAGCAGTACCCGTGGTTGTTGGCTGCAGGAAGAGTCCTCTCTTTGGATTCGAAACCTCGGATATGGGTCCTTTTATTGGGCTTCATTGGGCTTTACATATTGATTAAATTCCTTTTCTTTTCACACTCCCACATTTTTTAGCATTTTTAAATACCAAATCTACCCCGTCCATTTCCACACTATTATTCTATTCCCATTTCTCGAACTATATACCTCATTTTTTAGGCCCTATTGAAGGTCGAAATAAAGTGGATAAAAATAAGTATTAAATAAAATTAAAATAAAATATGCTTAATAAAATTAAAAATAATACATAAATATAATCGAAATAAATAAAAAATAATACAATTATTATTACTTTTTAAATTATTTTTACCGTATTTTCTCTTTTCCAAACTCTCAAATTTATTTTGATGCACCTTTCATCTCATCCATCAAACACGTTTCACTTTCAAATTTTTTTTTTACCGCGTTCATCAATTTGGGGAACGCTCCCCTTCATTTTTTTTTTTTTTGGATTTTTGTTTAAATTAAATAGTTTTTAAAAATTAGTTTTTACATTGCAAAACTTATTTTTCATAGTATATTATAAGATTTATTTATCATAATAAGTTATTTCTTACACATTACAAAAAAAATACTTCCGGAAATATTTTACAACATTTTAACTATCAAACATGTAAATTAACTTATATGAAAAAGATTCATAAGTACTAAGGATGTAATTACACTAAATATTATTTAGAAATAAGATATACATATCATATCAGTAAAAAATGTTTCAATTTTATAAAAATATATGTTCAGGAAGTTAATTAAAAAATAGTTTTTTTTTAAATTACAAAAATGAATAAAAAGTTCAATTTTTTCATATTATATATAATATACCAATAGAAATATATACGTAAAAAGCGTCAGTGTATCTATATTTTTTATATAATTAATTTTTTAAAGTAATTCTTTTTTAATATATATACATATATCCCAATTTTTTTTATAAATGTTTGTTTTTACTATTTTTATATATTTATTTTCTATCTTTTTTAAAATATATAAATATTTTATTATTATTTTGTTTTCTTCTTATTATCCTATATATTTTTTTATTATATATGATATTTTTTTCCATTTGATGAAACCAAAAGATTATAAAAAATAATCATCTTCATATATAATTTAAATTTTAGAATTATCGTTTCAGTTAAAATTCAGATTATAGAATTTTTATTCTCATTCCTCTTTTTTTCGGAATATTTTTAAAAAGGAGAATGCAAAAGCTCTGTAATACTTTAGACATATATAAATTTTTTTAAAGTTTTTTATGTTTTTGTTGTGGGTGTGGAAAAATATTAATGGCGGTGCAGGAAGAACCATATCATCTTGATCATGGACCATAGGCCCAAGTAAATTAAATAGTGAAGCCCATTTATGTGCAGTAATGTCAATTCAGATGCATTGGTGTGGATCGAGGTGAGGCAAGGAAAGCAAGCACGGGCAGGACTAATCAGATTCAGAGTGTATAGTGATTCCGATTCTTTCATTTTTCGTCGTTAGCGAGTGTGTGTCTGTGTGTGAGAGCGAGAATGGTTCGCGAAGTATCAGAGAGTTGCGTTGATAGCTTATTGACGGAGATGGTGTCGTGTTATTGCAATCGATTCTACGTCAACAAGCCTGAACTCGCTGCACGCAGGATCGAGGCCATTGGATATCAGGTCGGTCACCAGCTCTCTGAAAGGTTGTTTCCAGTCCCTAATATCATCATCAAATTCCTATTTTACATTTCCATATTTCGATCGTTGTCCCTTCATTTGGATTCAATTTCTTTACGGAGATCTGTGCTGAAAAAAAAAAAAAAACACCATAATACCCAAACTAAATTAAATTTCTAAGATAATTTGGAGTAGGTTAACTTTGTAATGTTTCTATATGTAATTTAATAATTCTGCGTTGTGGATTTCGGACGGAATTATCATGAATTTTGAGTGAATTAGTGAAAATTTGGTTTGTTGGTAGGTATACCATGGAGCGGCCCCGATTCACGGATCATCTGGAAGCAATCAAGTTCATCTGCAAGGATTTTTGGTCTGAGCTATTTAAGAAGCAGATAGACAACTTGAAGACAAACCATAGGGTGAGTTCAGAATTGAATCCTATGAGGGTGTATCTTTATTATTGTATGGTTTTTGATTGGGATGTATTTTGTTCTGTTGCAGGGTACATTTGTATTGCAAGATAATAAATTTCGCTGGCTTGCGCGCATGTCAGTTGATCCATCCACTGATAAAGTTAGTTCGGTTGAAGATAATACTTCACCTACAGCTGAAAACAAGGCGGCACAATCAATGAGCATGCATCTTTATTTCCCATGCGGGATCATTAGAGGAGCTCTTTCCAACTTGGGAATTCCTTGTGCAGTTTCCGCGGATATATCAAATCTTCCTGCATGTGTGTATCTCTCTGCTCTTTTTCTCTCTAGGGATAGAGAAGAGTCCATTTTCATTATGAATGTTTTTAGATGTACAAGTTATTTATCTTTCTAAGTCTGGTAAAAATTATCCATAGTTCTTAATTGTGTGTAACTACGACGCAATATTCATCGAGCGTTGTGTTCTTGCATCTGGCTTCTATATTTTTCAAATTGCATAGAGTTTTCCATTATCAGAAGTCACACACATGGCCTATAACTACGGGTTAAAAATCCTTTTTCTTCCTTTTGCTGCATTGTCTAATGTGTGCTTAGGGGGAAATCTCACTAATTTGACCCCTTTTCATGCCCACTGTTTGGACAAAACCCGTTCTACTCACGGTTGTTTCCATAGTATCCAGCCAAGCAGTGGCGGATCTTCTTGGGAACTGAGGGGGGCCGTGGGCCCCCCAAAGTTTTGTAACTCCCATGTAATTAATGATTTTGGCCCCCCAAAACATAATGAGTATTTAATATATTTACTTGTAGATTTACAATTTTATCCTTCAGTCCTGTAACTTTCATATAATTTATTATTTTGTTTCCCTCAAACTTAATGATAATTTAATATATTTAAGTATATATCTACAATTTTATCTTTTCAACCTTTTATATTCTTTTTTTCTTTTATATTTATTTATTATTTATTAATAATATATTATTTGGTCCCCCAAATTAATGGTCAAGATCCGTCACTGCAGATAAGTCAGACTTTTTCTGACCTTGTCTTTGTTTTTCTGACCATTCTCTATTCTAGTCTCTCTGTAGACTGTTTTTTTTGTTGTCTTTTGATTGGGGATTTTAGATTATCCGGTTAGTTTCCGGCTGTAGTTTTCTTGATCAAATTATGTTGGGTGAAGTTGTGTGAGTGTGTATGTATATTTGTTTTAAATTCATTGTAATTTGTATGCTTTTACAAATATATCATATACAAACCCTTCATCATTGACTGATTAGCTGCAGAAAAACTTGCATAATTATTACAAATTTTAAAACTCATCTTTAAATTAAGAAATAAGCTTTTTTCTTCGAAACAGCTCAAACAAAGGGACCCTATATGTACCTGGTCTTACCCTCGTGAGTGGGGACTTGAGAGGTTCATGAACTTGCTTCTATGATTAGAACCTGCTATTCACTTGATCATAAGACTATAGCTTTACTGTGGTACCAAGTTTCACCTTCCAGCAACAGAAGAAACCAGATCTGAATTTTGTTTAACGTTATAGTTTTAAAGGTCCTGATTGATGATAATCTTGTGTTTACTTTCAATTTATTGTGATCTGTACTTTCTAAACCCTAATGCTATGGAAGACAATTATTATATGGTGCTGATGATAAAGTGGAATACTGCAATTCTAATAGCCTGCAATTATTGCCTCAGTTTAAGAAGTTTAATTTGTGCATTGTTTATAGAAAATTTATGTTAATTTCTAATTTTCTTAACCATTGTTTGTTAATTTAGGTCAATTTAAAAAGATTGTTTGCCTTCCCATACATGTAGAATATAAACGTTTCACGGTTAATTGGATTTTGCTTCCATGTTTGTATCTATTAAGCATGTCACTACCGGCTGTGTATTCATACCCTGAATATCACTGTTGCAGGCGTACTTATCTTAGGGTAATAATATCAGGATTTAGCTTCATCTGTTATTTCAGCATTTTCTTGTTATCAATCTTAATGTGGGTTAAATGATGCCTTCATAGTCTGATTAGCTTCTTGTGCTCTATTTTATTATGGCAAACTATAAGTGTTGCTGCACTCTGCAAAAAGAAAAAACTATCAACAATGCAGCACGTAAATTCCTTTTTTGGAGTAAAAAATCAGATATAACAATCTTTCTGTTTGTTTGAAGTGTAGTTGTGAACTAATGAACATTATTTGTTGGGAATAATGATACTTAAGGTGCTTAGAAAGTAGTATATTCTTGTATCACAATATAAAATGCATTTACTACTCTTGGTAACAGTCTCGATGAACACTCAATTAATATCAGCCTAAGAAATAGTCTCTACCAAGTCTATTTAGAACCTATATATAACACCTTATCTTCAATTAAAAAGTGCATTCCCGTTCTCATTCTTATTTAACTTCGATTCTATCTCGTATTTCCCTCTAATTTCAACGACAAGTATGTTTGTATTAAAAATTTGGGAAAATGGTGGGTTTACAACCGATTGTTTAAATCGGCGTACAGTCCATTTTATTATATAATAATAAAATGAACTGTCAATGGGTTATATCCTAAATAACTGGGTGTCAACAAATTGGTACCCAAAATTTGGTCTTCTCAGCATGAATTGCTCTGATCAATCTCCTTTTGTACATCATTGAGCAGGTTCATTTGTGGTCCGAATAAAAGCTGGATGATATCATAGTTGTATTACTGATGGGAGGGGAAGCATTAACATTGTTCAAATGTTGCTTTGAAGTCTGCAAGCGTTTCTGTCACGAAACGATCGTCTGGGGAATTTTTATTTACCAAATTGAACTATATCAAATGTTATCAACTTGTTTGTGTAGGAAGGGCTACTGAGATAGTTTTTTGATAAACGAAGGTTTCGTTTTTTTCAGATGCAAATTCTATGGAGAGTACGATAATATCGAATTATTGTGCTGTGTGGAAAGACATCGAGAATTTCACTATTGTAACGTTGTTACTCTTGTATGGAATAGATGTTAACCTTGTAATTTTAAAACTTGTATTTCTTTGTTTTTGTTGATAATTTATACAAGCGTGACTTTTTTGTCAGTATGTCTTAAATTGATCCTTTAGAAATATTTCATTATGATGCATTTAACTTAAATTTTGTGTAACAATCATAAAGTTAAGGAAGGGAATTATCCTTCAAAAGCCAGCTCATGAAGTTGGATAATTTCTTATCTTATAAGGTCTTTCTGGTAAGAAGATTTTTCTCGATGTGGGACTTGATACAACACCACTCCCTTCGAAAGCTAGTGTCTTCGATGGTTGTTGTACTCACTGGTATTTTACTTGGCTTTTTTATCTTTACCGGTCAGAACCCTCTGGTGGTCAGAACCCTCTGTGGGTAGTCCTTCTTGAGTTGTCTGGTTCTCAATTAAAACACCAATGTAAGGTCAGAACCCTCTGTGGGTGGTCAGAATCCTCTGTGGGTAGCCTTTCTCGAGTTGGCTGACTCTCAATTAAAACATCAATATAAGGTCAGAACCCTCTGTGGGTAGCCTTTCTCGAGTTGGTTGACTCTCAATTAAAACACCAATGTAAGGTCAGAATCCTCCGTAGGTAGTCCTTCTCAAATTATTTTGCTGTGTGGAAAGACAGAAAATTTCACTATTGTAACGATGTTACTCTTGTATGGAATGGATGTTAACCGTGTAATTTTAAAACTTGTATCCCTTTGTTTTTGTTGATAATTTACACAAGTATGACTTCTTTGTTAGTCTATCTTAAATTGATCCATTAGAAATATTTCATTACGATGCATTTAACGTAAATTTTGTATAACATATAAAACTAAGGAGGGAAACCATCTCTTAAAATTCGGCTCAAGAGGTTGTAGAACTTCCCACCTTATAAGGCCTCCCTGTTAAGAAGACCTCCTCGATGTGGGACTTGTTACAATACCACTCCCTTCGAAAGTCAGCATCCTCGATGGTTGTTGCACTCACCAGTACTTCACTCGATCTTTTTACCGGTCAGAACCCTCCGGTGGTCAGATCCCTCTGTGGTAACTTTTTTCGAGTTAGCTGGCTCAATGAAAACACCAATATAACAATCACCGATACTTCACTCACCGGTATTTCACTCGACCTTTTTACCGGTCAGAACCCTCCAGTGATCAGAACCCTCCATGGGTAGTCCTTCTCGAGTTTGGTGACTCTTAATAAAAACATCAATGTAACAATTATAAAGCTAATGAGGGGAACCATCCCTCAAAAGTCGACTCAAGAGGTTAGAGAATCTCCCATCTTATAAGGTCTTCCTCATAAGGAGACCTCCCCAATGTGAACTTGTTTTGCGATGTTCTATAACATACTATACCCAGTTCAATAAATATAAAATAATATTTAATCTAAGTCAACCAAATAAATATCATTTAAATAGATTGATTTTAGTTAGGTCTTATCAATATTCTATTAATATATATTCTATTAATATATATATATATATATATATATATATAATATAATTTTAACAAAATGAGTATCTAATACCTTTAAAATATTAAGATTCCATTTTGGTAGAAAAAAAATATAAAAAATAAAAATTATTCAAATATTTTTAAATAAAAAATATTTGAATCGAACTATTAATTTTACAAAAGGTAAATGGTATATTTATAATTTAAAATAAATTAACTATATAAATAAAATATAATCTTGTTAAATAGCATTTTACATAATATATATATATATATATATATATATCATAATTTTATTTTTTTCTTATATTATTTATATTTATAATTATTGTGACACATAAACGTAAATTATATTATTTATTAAAATATGTATTTTTTATAATCTAAAAATAGTTATATAAGTACAATAAATTTATATAATTTAATTAAATTTTATTTTTATAATGTCCATAAATTATAAAGAAATAAAAATTATTATTTAAAAAATAATTAAATGTTAACTAAAATTTTAATTTATCATATTTTTATTTGATGATATCTTATTTTTCTTACATTATTATAACTAAATTATCGTAATTAACATTATTTATATTATTAAGTGGGTAAAACTTAATAACACTGTTAAAACGGATTGTAAGGTCCGATACAGTCCCAGTCTATCTTGTTTTTAGGTACAAATTAAAAATATATTGTTTTTAGAGACTAATTAAAAAAATGGATGATCTTCATCTATATTTTTAATTAGACCATAAATTTTTACTTAGCTTATCCTGTTAGATAAAGATACTAATACGCCAATTTTGACATCATTAAAAATAAAATAAATATATTATTAATATATTTATATTAAAATAATTAATTAAAAAGTTAAATAAAAATTAAAAATAAAAAACTTAAAATATCAAAAATTTTAGGATATTAGATGCTTATTTTTATATTTATTCTTAAAATAAATAAATTTTTTATTAAATTAATTTAATATATATATGTATATATATATATATGTATATATATATACGTAATAAAATAATATTATTTTTATTTATAAATAATTATTATTTTATAAAATAAATTCATTCAAAATCTCACACTAGACTATGGCTTAAACTTAAACGGGTTAGAGAAAAATAGAATTGACTCAAGTGATAATTTTTTTTAACGATTTGACTTATTTTTCTAATCTTTCATATTTACATATTAGATAAGCCTTCTTATCAAATATTTACTATTCAAAGTAGGAAAATAATTAATAACATACAAAATGGTTAATAAGAAAAATATATTTTAATAATTTATTTTCCTCAAACAACTTTTTAATAACTCTATTTAATAATATAATATTAACTTTAAATAATTTTATTTGAAATAATTTTTTTATGATTATAATAATAACAAATTGAGTTATTGAATGCTTTATATTATATTCCTAATTAATAAGAGAATATTGCCGCTTATGGAGGATTCAGAGTTAATAATAGTTAATTAATAGTGTGTATTATCTAGCATTGTTAGAGCCGTGTCAGCTTGGGACAACTACTCACCTACCGCAGAAACTTGTTATATATTTTGCTTCTTAGTCTTCTGGACAATTTTGAATTGGTAGAGTTCATCAAATCAAATGGATAGTGCTAACCAAGTGTGGAATGTTTGTGCTCCAATTACAACACAAGGACGTTCTGTATCTGTTGAGAAGATTGTGAATGGCATGAAACATGCAAAGGCAGAAGGTGCTGATACAGTGGAGGTTAGGCTCGATTGCATCACCAACTTCCACCCTCTCCATGACCTCAAAATCATCCTCCAAAATAAGCCCCTACCCGTACTTATTGCTTACAGGTAATTCATTTCATGCCTTTTCATTTCTTTTAATTATGTATATATTTTGTCTTGGTATGATAGGACTATTTTATAGGTGATAAAACTGGTTATGTCTAACATTTAAATTTGAGACAAGTTCAAACAATATCAATGGCATGTTCAAAATTAAAACATGAGACTAATTACTCATTAAGTGGAAACAATCTCACGTTAGATTACTTCACAACAAACTTATCCTGCTATTAAATCTTTACTCTTTGTTTAAAAGGTCATTATCTGTATTCTTTCTTTACTTTCGCTTGCTTAATCATTTGCATTCAATGTATTTGTTTTATTGACTTGTTTAAAGGCCAAAATGGGAAGGTGGTTTATACGAAGGCGATGAGAGCATGGGGTTGGAAGCATTGCAATTAGCTGTGGAATTGGGGGCTGATTTCATAGAGGTTGAGCTGAAGGTATAAATTTTAGCATTGAGAATTGGTTTCTAGGGGAAATTGAAGAAGTTTTATGAACGTGATGGATGCTGTTTGAGATTGATAACCACTGAATGATGCATTTTTATATTGGCCATTGCATGCAACACTTGGTTGCTTATCTTTGACAGATAACTGTATACATATATTTTCTCCTTTAGTTACAATGTATGGTTGTTCAGGCAGCTTCTTGGTTTGCTTCCTTGGTGGAACATAAGAGAAATCATAATAGCTATGGAAAAATAATTGTTTCCTGCTATGTGGATGACATCACCCTTCCGGGAGAAGAACTCCAACTTGTTGCACGCTTGCAAGCTACTGGAGCAGATATCATCAAACTTGTCACGCATGCAGCTGATATAACAGAAGTTATAAGAATATTTAGCTGGTTTCCTTATTGTCAGGCATGAGGTTTTTTTCATTCTTCTTTCAAGCTTTCATCTCCTGAATAATAATTAGTCAATATAAATTGTACTAGCAATAGTAACTCCCGCACTAGTAATAGCCACGAGGAGAAATATTGTTCTCTTGGTTTTTATAAAGAAGGATGTTTCTAATGCAAAAAGATGGAAACCTGGCAGTCTCTTTTCTTCCGATCAGACTTTTCAATATTTTGTGTTATTAAAATTAATTTTCTCATTCTTTTTTCACTATAGCTGTTTCTACTTTCTAATGTTTGCCTGCTCTTGTAAGAATTGCAGGTGCCATTGATTGCTTATTCTTCTGGAGAAAGAGGACTTATAAGCCAGCTTCTAAGTCCAAAATTTGGTGGCTTCTTTGTCTATGGAACATTGGCAGGAAATTCAATCCCTGGTATACCTTCTCTTGAAAGTCTCAAGGAAGCCTATAAATTGGAGCGTGTAAATGAAGATACTAAAGTTTTTGGGCTCATCTCAAAACCAGTTAGCCACAGCAAAGGCCCTATATTGCATAATCCTTCCTTTATACATGTAAACTACAATGGAATCTATGTCCCCATGTTTGTTGATGATCTTAAAAAGTTCTTTAGCACCTATCCAAGCCCTTATTTTAGTGGTTTTAGGTATGTCACGTGCTGCTATTAATCCACTTACAAGTTGGAATCTTATATTCCACATTGAGGTCCTCATCCTGACTTGATACAGTTTAAATTTTGCATGAATGACTGTGTTTAATAGTTTTGTTATCACATCAACCATTTAAGTATTTGTATTTCTTTCCTATTTTGAAAATTCTCTTATGCTTTTGTATTGCAGTGTTGGGATTCCATATAAGGAAGAAGTTCTGAAGTTTTGCGATGAAGTCCATCCACTTGCTCAGGTTGGCTTAATCTTCCATGCGAAACATATGGAAAAGTGTTCCATAGAGATTTTCTTTCACCAACATCATGGCTGAACATGTATTTTCATAGTAGTTCCTCTCTCTGCGAAGATATAAATTGAAAAACTTTGCCTCAAGGCTCTTACTGTTCTTGGTCCATGGTCGACATGGTCCACCAGTGTCCCAAGGTTTCGCTTCAAATTAATTTGGCTTGCTGGGAAACGTGGTTGCATGTAGAGCTTGTTTTCTGCACTGTATATACCATCATGCTTGTTCTTGCTTACCCGACACTTCAGTTTATGATGCACTCATCTCATGGACAATCTATATGAAGCTTGCATTCTGTGAATGAAGCTGATTAAACAATTTGATCTACTTTTATAATGTCAACATAAAATTTTTAGATGGAATTAATGCATTGTTTCTACTAAACGTTATTCTACGAGCATATGTTTTGGTGGCGAATATAAATATAATTCAATTATGTCTTTCCATGTTTCTCTCTAAGAGTTGAAAATTAGTTCTGAGGATTAGTCTGTTTAAAATTAGTTAAAGGAAAATTATTGTAGTAAGGCATGCTGTTAGTTGAAGTTAATGATTCTCTATTAAATGGCTTAAGATGCGGTTGCTCTTTCATGTAATGAATTTTTAGTAATGCATAATGAATTTGTTTCAATTCATGTTCCATCAGTCTATTGGAGCTGTTAATACCATAATAAGGAGACCAGGAGATGGGAAGCTTGTTGGTTATAATACAGATTGTGAGGCTGCAATTACTGCAATCGAGGATGCACTCATTGGTAATTCTCCTCCACTGTTATGCTGTTGTTGATTTGAGAATCTTTTTGACACGGATATAAATAGCTTGATCTAAGTTTTCTGACTTTTTTTCAATTTTTCTTTGATTGAGCTCAATTTCTTCCTCCTGGGCAATCTCAGATTAAAATTGGTGTCATTTTTACTAATACTACTTTACTGATTCCCATGAATGAAAACTGTCAGAACATGATTGCAATGATGGTGGAGCAACTTTAGGTTCACCCCTCGCTGGTCGATTGTTTGTGCTAGTTGGTGCGGGAGGTGCAGGGAAAGCACTGGCATTTGGTGCTAAAAGCAGAGGAGCTCGTCTAGTAATCTTTGACAATGATTTTGGTATAAAAGAAGAAATAGATTTCTATAATGAAGTTTAATACCTTGATGTTGCATATAATGATTTTGCACTAATTTAACCTTTCCCTGCATTAGATCTAGGGGCAATGTTTGTTATTGTTGGTGATCCTTTAGGGTCTAGGGTAAAAGATAAATCTAAACTTGATAACGAACTAACAAAACAATAATGACACAAGACATCTCAAACATTGTATTACAAAATTGCTTATTGAGGATTACAACAATGTTATATTCAAAATTTTTAGAATATAATGTATAAACTTCTAATAAAGAAAATTAGACTTTATGATTTGATCAAATTTATGGGTCAATATATAATTATATATAATTTTCATTATTTTTTTATACCTTTCACAAGTTGGAGGTTCAAAGATATCGATGAGCTCCAACTTGGATAGATTGACTTTAAATAGTGCTGGATATAGGATTTTGGTGAAGATGCCATCCAATTGATTAGTTTGCTCATGAAAAACTTGATTAGGAATGAGTGTTAGGATTGAGTTGAATAGGATGTAGTTGAGGTGATGTAACTGACAATTTAGTGGACTTACCAACAAGAGGTCTATTAGAAAAATCTTCAAATTGAATATTTGAAAAAGAACTTTCTACATGGTTTGCTTTACCTTGAAAAGGAAAATTAGATTCACAAAAAATCACATGTTTAAAAATAAACATCTATTTTGTATCTAAGTTTAGAACAATGTAACATTTTGTACAATTTTGAAAACCTAAGAAAAATCCATGGATTGTGGGTCAAATTTATTTGCAATATTTGTTGATGTATAAATTAAACAACAAAAGGAACTTTCGTTCCAATTGATTGGTGATGGAACCTAATTAATTAAGTAAACAACATGTTTAATGACATAAGACCATAAACAACTAGGAATATGATATTGAAACATGAGGGCTATTGTCACATTAAATGTGTATTGATTATTTCTTTCAACCTTACCATGTTGTTTACGGAGGGGTCTCGATATAACTTATTTGACGTAAAATGTCTTTTGATGCAAAAAAATCTCTTAAAATTGGTTCATTGCCAAAACGAATATTTTTAATCTTTGATTCAAACTAATTTTCAACAAAATATATAAAAATTTTCATAAGCAACTTGACTTCTCCCTTTGATTTTTAACAAAACAATCCATGGCTAATAATTATAATCATCAAGAATAGTTAGAAAATATTTGTGACCATGTATGAAAGCTTTAGAAAATAGTCCCACAAATATCCATATGAACAAGCTCAAAAATTTCAATGCTTACTAATACTTGATGAATAAGGCAACCTTCTTTGTTTAGCTAAATGTCAAACATCACAAGTTTCATTAACAAACTTAGAAATAAATAAAAAATTGTTGGTGTAAAACATTCAATCTATTTCTAGACAAGTGATCGGTAGATATGTTGTTCATGTATATTTTAGTATTCTTTTTCAATGTTCCTTAGACTAAGGTTCAGGGTTTGGGTTGAGGCTCATATCTTCTCTGTTGTACCCCTTTTTTCTATAAATACAATGTATCAATGTCTTTGGTCACTGTATCAAACCCTAAATAAGTTTTCTCAAGTTGGTATCAGAGCGGGTAAGATCCTGCATTGATTTTTTGGTTGTCGTTGTCAGCTTTGGTTGTCGTTAGCCGCCTTCCAGTGGCCGGAATCAAGGTTGACCATTTTCGTTCGACTCGATGACATCCTTCGAGTCCAATGGTACCCTTAGTTTTCTGGTTTGAAAACTGTGTGAAAACTCCTATGGGTAACCTTATTTGTTGGCTTTATTCATCTTTTCTGGTTTAGATGGCCTCATCCTCTAGCTTCCCCTTTTCTGCTACTCCCACCATAACTAGTGTCAGGCTCAACTGGAAAAATTACTTATCCTGGTCTGCTTCAGTTGAGTTGTGGTTTCTCGGTCAAGGGCATCACGACAATTTGGAGAAGGATGCATACTTTATTTCCGCTGCAAAAAGGTCTCAGTGGGACAAAATAAACTTCCAACTTTGTGCAATCTTATGGAAGTTTGTGGAACCGGATGTTCTTGAGCTTCTCAGGTCATTCAAAACATGTTCTTCTTTTTGGAAAAATGCTCAAGACATTTTTGCTAATGATATTCAACGTCTCTTTAATGCAACTCAAAGAATGACATCACTTAAGTAGATCAATCACAACATGATGGCTCACATCGCAAAAGTTAGGGCTGTTGTGGAAGAATTAAAAATGTTTCTTGTTGCAAATACCTTAGAGGAGGTAAACATCAAACTCGATAAGTTATATATGATTCTAATTTTGAAAAGTATGCATTATGACTTTGATCACGTGCGTGATCAAATCCTAGTTGGTGATCATGTTCCATCAATGAATAAACTTGTCACTAGGTTGATTTGGTTCCTAATCTTGTGGTTGATGAGAATCAGGTGGAGACTGTTAAAATTTTATTATGGTTGTCCCTCGAGGTCAAGGGGGAGGATGCAATAATCGAGGTGAATGTGGTAGTTCGAAAGTTCGTCCTCAATGCACCTATTGTAATAGGATGGGACACACGCAGGAAAATTGTTATTCCTTGCATGACTTTCCTGATAAGACTGCCCATGCATCTAACTTGGAGAAGCCAGATATGAAGATTTATGATGAGGAGTATCAGGAGTTTTTGAAGTTCAAATCTAGAAGTTTAATAGTCAGGGTCAATCCTCTTTAATGCTTGTTTCAATTGCATGCATTTCTCAATCTGTGAAAGGTCAGAACCCATGAATTCTTGATTCAGGTATCTCTGATCATATATGTGGTAATAGTTCATCGTTTTCCTTCATATCTTATCCTAAAATTTCTCACTTAATCACTGTAGCTAATGGATCCAAAGTGAAATCTCAAGGTGTTGACCAAGTTCCTTTAACCCCATCTCTAAATTTAAATTTTGTTCTTTTCATTCCTAATTGCCCTTATAACTTGATTTCTCTAAGTCAACTTACTCGTTATTTGAATTGTTATGTAACCTTTATTTCCAATTCTTTTGTTATTCAAGAACATGGTATGTGTCGTCTAATTGGAGAAGGACATGAGTCACGTGGTTTATACTATCTAAAATCAAGTCCTTCAGTGTCTTGTCTGGTTTCTCCTGTCCTTAAACTTTTGAATGGTCGTCTGGGTCACCCAAGTCTATCTAAGTTGAAAGTGATGACTCCTAATCTTCAACATTTTCGGGTTTTAGAGTGTGAATCTTGTCAATTAGGAAAACATGTTAGGTATACTTTTCCTAAATAGTTTGAAACTCGATGTAATTTTCCTTTTTCAAATATTCATTTTGATGTTTAGGGACCAAGTCGTGTTTCCTCTTTTGGCTTTCAGTATTTTATGACATTTATTGATGAATTTTCTAGATGTACTTGAGTTTATTTGATAAAAGACAGATCTGAACTTATGTTCATTTTTATGTTCTTTTTCAATGAAATTAAAAATCAATTTGGGAAGATAATTAAAGTTCTCAGAAGTGATAATGTCAAAGAATATTTCTCTGCCTCCTTTTCTTCTTTCTTATCTTCCCAAGGAATTTTACATCAATAAATTTTTCCTCACACCCCACAACAAAATGACATGCAGAAAGGAAAAATAGACACTTTATTAAGGCTGCATGATCTATAATGTTGAATGTTATTGTCCTTATTCATTGGGGAGATACAGTTCTCACTGCTTATTTTTTTATTAATCGAATGTCATCTTCCTCTCTTAAAAATCAAATTTCACATTCTCTTATCTTCCCAGATGATCTTCTTTTCTATGTATCTCCTTGTGTATTTGGTTGTACTTGTTTTGTTCACAATGTATCTCTAGGTCTTGATAAACTAAGTGTTAAGGCCATTAAATGTGTTTTCTTGAGGTTCTCTCGCCTTCAGAAAGGGTATAAATGTTATTCTCTATCTTCTAAAATGTATTATATGTTTGTTGATGTCTCCTTTTTGGAGGAAACACCCTTATTTTCTTCCCTAATAGAAGATGGTTCAACAATTCAACAAGTTTTGTGTATAATTGTTTCTTTCCCAATTCAGTCTACAGGTCATAATGATTCACCTCCTACACCTTTACCTATTTCTACAAATAATTATGATTCAAATTCGTCTCCATCAGTTTCTCATACCATGGATCCTTCAACCTTACCTCTGACTTCTGATTTTGGCTTGCCTATCGCACTTAGAAAAGGTATTTGTTTCACTCGCAATCTCTTTCCTATTTATAATGTTTTAAGTTACCATCGTCAGTCTCTTTCATATTCTTATTTTGTTGTTACTTTGGCTGATACGTCTATTCCTAATAATAATGTTTATGAGGCACTTGATTACCCTGGATGGCGACAAGCCATAATTGATAAAATGCAGACACTTGAGCACAATGGCACTTGGGAGCTTGTTCCTATTCCTCCTAACAAAAAGGTTGTGGGTTATAGGTGGGTCTATGTAGTTAAAGTTGATAATAATGGTAAAGTGGATCGTCTTAAAACTCGTTTAGTAGTTAAAGGCTACACTCAAATTTATGGTCTCGACTACTATGATACCTTCTCTCCAGTAACTAAGATTTCCACCATTTGTCTTTTGCTTGTTATGGTTACGATTCATCATTGGCCCCTTCACCAACTGGATATTAAAAATGTTTTTCTTCATGGTGACCTTGAGGAAGAGATTTATATGGAGTAACTTCCTGACTTTGTTGCTCAAGGAGAATCTAATTTAGTGTGCAAGTTACACCAATCTCTTTATGGCTTGAAGCAGTCACCCCGAGTTTGGTTTGAAAAATTCAGTCATATTGTGTAGTTGTTTGACATGAAAAGGAGTGAAGCAGACCACTCAATATTTTATTGTCATTCCTCTTCAAGAAAGTGTATGTATCTTATGGTTTATGTTGATAATGTTGTTATTACAGACAATTATTATACTAAAATCAGTCAACTGAAGAATCATCTGTTTGCTCACTTCCAAACCAAAGATCTTGGTCAAATGAAATTTTCTTGGTATTAAAGTGACCCAGTCAAAGGAAGGTGTGATCATCTCTCAAAGGAAGTATGCTCTTGATATTTTGAAGGAGACTGGTCTAACAAATTGTAAGTCCATTGATACCCCAATGGACCCTAACCAAAAATTGATGAAGGATGAAGGAGAAAAGTTGTCAAATCTAGAAAGATATAGGAGGTTGGTTGGTTAACTCATTTATCTTACTATTATCAAACCATATCTTTCTTATGCAGTTGGAGTAGTTAGCCAATTCATGCAAAATCCTTGTGTTAATCACTGGGATACCTTGATTCGCATTATGAGATATATTAAAGGGGCCCCAAGACAAGGGTTGTTATATGAAGATAAAGGTAATACTCAAATTCTTGGTTATTGTGATGTAGACTGGGCTGGTTGTCTAATTGATAGAAGATCGACTACTAGGTATTGTATCTTTATTGGAGGAAATTTGATTTCTTGGAAGAGTAGAAAACAAAATTTTGTTGCTCGATCTAGTGCAAAAACTGAGTATAGATCTATGACACTTGTTACATGTGAACTTGTGTGTATCAAACAGCTCCTTCAAGATTTAAAATTTTGTGACATTGGGCAAATAAAGTTATTGTGTGATAATCAAACAACTCTCTATATTGTCTCCAACCCAGTCTTTCATGAAAGAACAAAACATATTGAGATTGATTGTCATTTTGTTAGAGAGAAGTTGTTGTTTAAGGAACTTATAACTAAATTTGTAAGCTCTAATAAGCAACTGACAAATATTTTAACTAAATCCTTAAGAGGATCTAGGATTCAATTCATTTGTTCCAAGCTTGGTACATACAATTTGTATGCTCTAGCTTGAGGGAAAGTGTTGAAATCTGTTTTTTATGCATCTTTTAGTATTATTTTTCAATGTTCCTTAGACTAGGGTTAAGAGTTTGGGTTGAGGTTCATATCCTCTCTATTGTATCCATTTTTCTATAAATACAATGTATCAGTGCCTTTGGTCACTGCATCAAAACCTAGATAAGTTTTCTCAAGTTTCTCATTTCTATCCAATGTGGGACTTCAACTCACACTTGAATTCTCAACAATCTCCCTTTCAAATGTGATTTCCTTTCACATTGGTACACCTCCTCCTTGAACGAAAGCATTTAGCGACCTTACTTGTATTGTCGTTTAACTCAACGGGACTCGCTTACCTGAAGCCCTTGTCAAGAAGACTTTTGATACAAAGACTTATCACCTACTCATACTCAACTGACTCGGTCATCAAACGAACCATCAACTTTGATATCACTGTTAGAGGTATTTTCAAGGGGGCTAATAATAGGGAGATTATCACAAATAGATCATAAGTCAACCACATAAGAGTTATCTATAATGTCAAATATTTGAGATAGTGATTGTAGAGAAGGTATTGTTCATAAGGAGAGACTTAGTTTTTAGAGATGAGGTATATTCGCTAGTGTTAAGATGGTAAAGGTCATCTTCCCCAAACCAATCATCTTCAATGAGTTTGTATTTTGAATTTTACAAGAATCATTAGAAAAAATAAGGGTCAGGGTAAGCTAGAAATTAATTTAGAAGTAGAAAGAAGGTTAAAATTAAAATGTGGTAAATAAAGGACATCATGAATAATAGAGTTTGGAGAAAAATAAATAGTTTTTGAAATACAAGATGTAACAAAATTCTCATTTGGTAATTTGATATGAATGAGTTTTATTTTAAAATGAGTTTAAAAATTATCTAAAAATAAAATAATATGATCAATGACTCATGAATCAATTATTCAAGGAGTGAAACTACTGCTACCGAACTTTAGACTGGGAGGAATATTTAAGTCAATTTGTGAAACATTTAAGACATTGACATGATTTGTGTGAGACTTGTCATCTAGGTCTGAGCTTCTTGAGTTAACAAGTTGATCATTGAGGACAATTAACTTTTAATGTTAGACTGGAGTTAAATAAAATTTTGTCTTAATACTATTCACTAAAACATAGACTCAATTATGAAAACGAGTCCTCCCAGGGTACCACGAATGACCGAGAGGATATCCATACTTCTCATTATACTCATTGGTATGTGCCCAGGATGACCATAATATAAGCACATTTTGTTGATTTTCCAAGCATTAGATGATGAGATATTTTGGTTACCTTCATAAGAGGTGTCACATTTCTTGGCAAAGAAAGTGTTACTCTTGTTCACTTCATTTGCAAAGCTATTTTGGTCTTCGATGATAGTTGGACTCTGTTGCCTCTCATGTTGAATCACCATAAATAAAATTCGATCGACATATGGTAGTGGATCCATGAGAAGCACTTGAGAACGAACAATTAAAATTTTTTCATCAAGACCTTTGAGAAACCTATTGATGAGTACTCTGGCCAAATAACTGCAATGTACTATGGGTTTGTAATTATCAAGTTCCTTCCAAAGGGTTTTGAGCTTAGTGAAGTAATTCATGAGTGATTGGGTATCTTGCTTGAGGGCATAAATCTCCTCTTACAACTCAGTAGTGCGTAACAAGTCACCTTGGGAGAAACCATTCTTTCAAATAATTTCATACATTGGTAGCAAGATCAAAGGAAATTATGCTTTGTGCAATTGACTGAGATAGAGTTCAACAACCACGACATTAGTAGAGTGTTGTAGCATTCCCAAGCAACAAATAGAGGATCACTAGAATCTAGTTTAGAAATCGTAACTAAAAGGAAACTCATCTTATTTTTTGAAATAAGAGTCATACGAAAGGATTTAGACTATGTTTGGTAGTTATTTTGAATGAAAACTGGTGTTACAATAGTTAAGGATGAACTTTCACTTGGGTGGATGTAGTGGAGACTTGATGGTGTTAGCAGAAAAGGAGGCTAGAACAAGAATAGAGAGAGAAGAGTATCGAGAGAGATAGACACTAAAACAATGTAAACTGTATATATGTATATGTTTATATACAATTGATTTATTTATAGAATACTATAAAGACAAGTATTCAAGTGTAATTGTAGTTAGTTAGGCTAACTAAGTTAACTGTCAACTAATCATTACATCATAATTGTTAAATTATCATTTAATAGACCAAAGTATTATCAAAATTTTAAATGGAGTTTTGATATTTAAGATAAAAAATAAATCTAAATTTGAGAACAAACTAACAAAACAATAATAAAATAAGACTTTTCAAATACAAAACTGCTTATTTAGGATTATAACAAAAAAAAAAATATATATATATATATATATATATATATATATATATATATATATATATATATATATGACCTAGAGAACTCGGTAATATAATGAATTGCAACAAGACCAGTTGGGTGAAAAAATATTTTGAGAGTTTTTGCAGTTCTACGGTGGTAGACCATCATGCTTTTCAGCGAGGATTTAATATGAACTATGCTCCTTAGCATATCTCTCTTATGTGTTTCTCCTATGTTCCAGTGGGTCTTTTTTTTTTTTTTTTAAGACTTTTTTTAAGTTAATCTATATGTTCATATTTGTCTCTTTTATCTCTGCTGCACATTACTCGCTATGTTGCATTGAACAATGTTGTTTTATTCTCTATTTTTGTTCTCTTTATGTTTCATTGAGAAATGTTGTTTTATTCTCTATTTTTTGTTTTAAAAGATAGAGCAAAATCTCTTGCGTGTGCTGTATCTGGTGAGGTTCAGCCTTACAAAGAGTTGATCAACTTTCAGCCAGAGAAAGGGGCGATTCTCGCAAATGCAACACCTGTAGGAATGCATCCAAACACTGACAGAATTTCGGTGGCAGAGGTTCTATATTCTCTTTATTCAAATAAATTACTACAAAACTTAGATGCAGATTTTGTGTTATTTTCTATTCAGAACTGAAACTACATTTCATTAATCTTCATGATAAAAGTTCTCATTAAAAATTAACATAATCTATAAAAGTGAAACTTCAATACTATTAAAGAAATTTACTACAAGCATTTAAGGGATGCAATCTTAGTTTTATCCTTAAAAATTGTTTGATATTAGTTTAATTATTCATGCTGGTTTCTTTTTCAAGGCAACCTTGGGAGATTACTGGTTAGTCTTTGATGCTGTCTATACACCAAGAAGAACAAAATTATTGAAGGAAGCAGATGCTGCAGGAGCAATAACTGTGAGTGGAATAGAAATGTTCCTAAGACAGGCTATTGGTCAGTTCAATCTTTTCACGGGCCTAGAAGGTACAATCTTCATTTTCTCCTTCTTTCAGGTTTGCACGTATATTTTTTAATTAAATTATTTTCTTTAATTATTGTTTTAGTTTTTGAAATTCAAAATTCTTACTTTTTGTTTATTTGAGTAAATGTAAAAGCTAATGTATCATGTGAAAAGATAGATAAATTACTATTCAGGTAATGTTATATTTACCTTCCTCCGTCTTAACTTAAAAGAGAGGACCATGTTTCTTAGTTTGTGCTTAAGAAAATCATATAAAAGTGAGATACTCATAATTTAGTTTGAAGAAATTATATATCAATAATTTTAGGTATAAAAATGTATTTAAACAAAAAATTTAGTATAAAAATTACATTAAACATGCATGTATAGATGGTGTGACAACTTTATGTTAAAATCTAAAATTCTTTTGGAATCCTTCCATTCATGGATCCAATTTTAATAATACATCTAAGGGTCCTTATGTTTAACTGCAATAGGTTTTTATGCCAAAACTAAAAGTTATAAGCAAATAAATACACTAACATTCTTTCTAAGTACTGGTTACCCTGCAGCAATTCAATTAGGAGCATTAATTCAGTTTAAAATATAAATTAGGTGTAAAGTTCTTTTTTAAGTAATCTCATTTATTCTCTATACAGCCCCTGAAGAATTTATGCGGGAAATTGTTTTATCCAAGTTCTGAAGACAATTGGTTTCGGATTCTTCGACTTGGTGGAGGCTATCATTTATTCATTTACAGAAGATTCAAAATTTTAATGGTTTATGAGATCATTTGTGTTTATTTTTATTATTATATTAGAAATAATAAGTGGATTATCAATTCTATGATTAAAATATATATATATGCTGAGAAATACAACATCGTACTGAACTGAAATATACTAATTCTTTTGAAGTTTTTCAAGTTCTAGTGGAACAATTTTTTTTTTTTAATTATTTCATCTAGATGGATATTACTAGTTTATTCATTATGGGACCATATATAATTTCTAAGTACAGTGGATTCGAAGTTAAAATTTTCAATTTTTTCAAATGATGTTCTTTTTGTTCTTCCTCACACCATATGGGGTATTAAAAGTCTTGTTTTATTTTTTTTCTAAAAATAATTTTTTTCTTTTTGTTCTAAGTATGAGATTATTTATGTTATTATTGAAGTTAATTATTTTTGTTATTTTATTTTTTTCTTTTTCTTTACTCCTCCAATAAAATCAAGCATGTAAATTTATCAACACCTATCTTAGTTAGTAAAATAATATTGATTAATTTTCTATTGAATTTAGCATCACACAAGTATTTTAATCTTTATCTAAGAAAATATTTATTTGATAATTAAAAAATATTTAATTTAATATTTTTTTTGAAATATTATAATATTTTTGTTATCACCGTAAATATAACTATTATTCTATAAGTTAAATTTAGTGTTTGTGTCGTGTGAGAACCTAATTAATCAATTCTGTTTAATGTGTTAAAAATACAATATTTTAAAAAAATAATTTAAATGAACTAACTAGGAAGAGTTGGAAATAGATAAAAATAGATTAATGTGCAAATTTGGATAAAAGATTGGTAGTGATCACTTTAAAAGTTAAGATTGTATCTCATCATGATCAGATTTGTACAGTCAAATTCTGAGTCGGAAGGAAGAAGAAGAGAATGGCAACAAACAATTATAAAGGATATTAATATAGGGGAAGCCATATTAAAATTTATTTCTAAGAGATACGAAGTAAGGATGATCTATAAATAAATAACTTAAATTATAAATTAGTGAAATGTTAATTAAGTTGATAATAAAAAAAATAAATAATAATATTTTTCATATTTAAAATAAAATATTTTAAGAGAAAGTTGGAATTAAAGGCAGATGATAATATTTATTGTAGTAGATATTTATTTATATAAAAAAATAACTTTATTTATATTTTAAAACAATTGTAATTTTTTTTAAATTGACTCTGTATTAAAGTTTATGTACAATCAAATTATTTTTAACTTAATTGAAAATTTTAAAAAATTAATAACATATTTATATAAAATAATTTGTCTAAAAAAATAATTTTAAGGATAATAGTGGATGAAAAATGTTTACAGTTGAGAAATAGTATATTAATGCAAAAGAGACTCATTTGAAATAATAGCTTAGAAATCAAATGTAAATTGAAGTCCCAAATGAAAATGCAAGATGAATTCATAGTAATATATAAAGGGAATTTTTTTTTATAATTTATTTTTTATATCATTATTTAATAAATTACTTATTTTATATCTTCTTTTTTCTCTATTCCTTAAAACACACATTTTTTATTTAATCTTTTCTCCAGAATATAAATTTATAAATAAAAATAATAAAAAATCATCATTTTTTTTATTCTCTCAATTAACTATTCTCCTCAATTCTTTCTTCTATTGAAATTCCTTTCACGTTTGGATCTCCAATAATACATAATTTTTTAAATTATATATATATATATATATATATATATATATATATATATATATATATATATATATTTTACTCATGAAATATAATAAAAACTACATATTCACATACACTCATAAACACTTGTGTTTTTGCTAATCAAATATGTTTTTCTCACTTACGTTACCAAAGATTTTTAATCATAACTCAATTTAAATTTTGGATATATTGCTCTAGACTATATTATCTTTATTGTAGTAAATAATAATCTAACAAAACAATTATTACAATAATCAACACTAAACTTGTTATTGCAACAATTATTAAGAAATATAAGTAATTCATTTTCAAAACTTTCTTCACTCCAGGTAACAACTAACTTATACGATTTATTGTCGTCCAATTTTTATTATTAGCATCATCGACAGGGGATAACAAAGCGGGTTAGTCCACTCCGTTTTGACTCGTTTCACCTTTGGTTCGCCAAAAACAGGGTGTGTGGACTGACCCATTATAGTCATGATTAGTTGTAGATTTTGGTCCACCCCGCCAAAGGGCAGATTGGCAAGCTGACTAGTCATAATTTAAAAAAATAATTAATTTTTTTAAAATCAAATTTTTTAATAATTTTAATAATAGGATTATCATTTGTTTGTCAATAATTTTTATATATATTTTAAGTTGATAATATAAATCAACACATTGTTTTAAGAAATTATAATTTAGAACAATAATAAAATTTATATAATAATAAACAATAACAAATATATATAAATAATGTCAAAATTTGTAAAATTTATATTTTTTATATTAAAAAATTCAAATATTTATATATTTTTTATTTGATAAAACTTCATATTGTTCTCCTGTTGAATAAGTTTTACACCTTTAATTCAAGTCATAAGGAGGAGAAGAGGAGAAAAGAGTTTGTGTTTGAGTAAGGAGAATGTTTCCTATAATGAGTGAGATTGAAAATTTTTTAATTGTCTTTTTACAACTTTTAACTTTATATATTACCTTTATGATTAATTGTATTATCATAAAAAAATATATTTTTATTAATTAGGCGGGATGCGGGCTGGTGGACTTAAAACACTAACTCTGCCCCACCATATTATAGCGAACTGACGGGTCTAACTTTGTTTTGTCATCTCTAATCATTAAACATTATGAAAGCTTCTACTATCTCATATTTATGTTCTAATAGAGTTACATCTCTGATTAATCGTTGGGACTTCCAACCCTACTTTCTTTTCTGGATATTTTTCTCTTATTGTCAATTGTTCACCATTTCTCAAGAAATGACTTCTTTGTTATGATTCTTTAAGGGAAAATATAGAGAAGATCTTTTTATAATAGGTCATGAACTTATTAACAGAGAGAACATGATATCATATTTAACTCAAAACTTTAAAAATTTTGAGTTATTCTTTTTATGTTATTCATTTTTCTTATTTTTAAACAATGTGAAACTCTAAATCTCATTTGAATCCCAACAATAGTTGATCTCCCTCACATTCTACATTCTCATCTCTATTACAAATAATCACATTCCACATTCTCATTATCTAATTGTCGTCACCATCATTCTCATATTGTTATCATTACCACAATTCTAATCACCTTTGTTGTCGTTGTCACCAATCCTCTATATATTGTTTTCATTATCATTGTTATCTTCATCATAATGATACCACCACAATATTCTTGTTATATAAACAACATCCATACCATGGTTGTAACAACAACACAATCACTCTCCCATTAGTGTAAATCTTGTCATTATCATTATTATTACAGTATTATTTATAATGTTGCAATTATTATTTTATTATTACCATCGTTGTTAGCGTCATCAATTCATATGAAGAAATAACATTACAAACACATTCTCGGAGTGACTAATTCACTAATAAGTAGTTTGGTGATTTTGGTTACCCCGATCATATGACTATATATGAACAAAGAGAAACTCTTAACTTTATAAAAACATAAGAAAAATGAGTTATGATAATAATAAATAATTTAAATTAACAAGTGATCATATGGATTAGATGATTATCATTCCCCATTTTGATATGCATCAAGTGCAAGTAGTTAAGATTTATCATATATCTTCTATCATCATGAAGTGACAAGTTAAAGTTCATTATTATGTGAAAGGGACTCACACTTAAAAGAAAATAGTTGAAAACCTAATGTGAATGGAAGTCCCACATTATATAAAAAATAGTAAGGTGAATTCATAACAATGTATAAAGAAATTTCTTTTTTATATTTGTTTTATGGTGTCACCATTTAATAATTTTTTCTCTCTTCTTTATTCCAACAATACATAATTTTAAAAATAAATATTTATATTTTAAAATTAATATATACATTAAATTTTAATTTATTGAAAAAAAAACATAGTAAAAAATACAAATACATAGACATCTATGAGCACTTGTGTTTTTGTTAATAATATATAAGGAGAAATATTCATAAATCCATTGTCATATAGTTGGTTGATGAACTCCATTTGTGAAAAAATCTTTGTGGTATTTTCTTACACAACCAGTAAATATTTGATAATTGTGTGCTATGATGTCCAATATTGAATCTAACCTTTCAAGTTTTACCGCAAACATAATATTCACAAAATTGCAACTTCTCAAATTTATTATTAACAAGTAATCCTTATTTTTTTAAGCTCAAACATGTTTTTCTCACTTGTCATACCCAAGTTTTTATATCAAACTCGATTTTGAATGATATTTGTCTATATTACACTTTTTTTTATTGTAGTAGATTATACTTCATTAGCAGTATAATTATTACTACAATAAACACTAAATTTGTTCACCGCAACACCTATTAAGGAATATTGGTAATTCTTTTTCACCCCTTTCATCACAACCATCGATCCTTTCAAATCTTTCATCACTTATTTTTCACCATCAAATACATATTTAATTTTCTCAAATTTACCAAGGGATATCGGATTTTTGTTCAAGTTAAACAAATATTTGACTTCTTCACAAAAAATTTCAATTTCATATGTATCTAAACATTATCATTTTGATAACATTATCATAGAACTTATTATTTTCAACCTCTGCAAGTTCTTCAAACAAACATATGTTTGGAGTCATTTGGATGAGCAACAAAAGTCCATCATCCACTTTACATTATTAGCATTATTGAACACCATGAAAGCATATGTTATCTCATATTTATCTTCAACTAGAGTTGCATCCCCAAAGTCTTGCATATTTTGATAAAATCTTTATACATGACGTACTTTCTTACAATGGTAGCACTTAGTGTCCAAGACAACCTTATAAAAATTTATTTGTTGGAACTTCAATCCTCATCTCCCAACTTATTTTATTTTTTGCATTTTTTTTATTAATTATTATTCACTATTTTCCAAGGACTATGACTTAGTTCTTTCATTCATTTCCTTATGACTCAAATAGCTTGAACTTGCTTCAAAGATAAGGACTTGCTTCCATAGGTTTTTTTAAAGTGATCATGTATTTTAGGCAACAAACATAATAAAAATAGTGTCTAATCGTTAGATTTGATCTCACCAACAATATTCTCATAATTAAGAATTAACTTATTAAACTTATCTAATTATTTATTGAATGTATTTTCATCACATCAATTTGTTATAGTTCTTTTAGAAATAATGCAAAGGAGATATTTTTATCAATAGGTCATGAACTTATTATCAAATAAAATATGGATATTTTTAATTCAAAACCTTGAAATAATGAGTTTTTGAGTTTTTCTCTTTATATATTATTTATCTTGTTTATTTTTAAACAATGTGAGACTCTAAATCTTATATGAATTTGAACAATAATAGATTTATCTCACATTTTACATTCTCATCTTTATTACAAAAAATATTATTGTCATCATTAACTAATTATCGTTATCATTACTCTCATATTGTTGTCACCACCACCATTCTTATCACATTTATTGTCCTTGTCACCTGTCTTTTATATGTTATTTTCATTACCATTATTATCTTCATTGTATCAATATCACCACACCATTCTTATTATAAAAACAATATCGTACAATAGTTGTTATTCTCCCCATTGATATAAATTTTGTCATTACTTTAATAATAATAATAATAATAATAATATTATTATTTCTAATGTATCAACAACTATTTTATTGTCATCGTCATTATTAGAGTCATCACTTATTATAAACACATTATAAGCATGACTACTTAATTGATAAAGGAAATTTTGTTAATCATTACAAATAATAAGTTAATTAATTATAATGATAATTGGTTTGGTGACTAAAACAAAGAAAAACTCTTATTTTTGTAAAAACTTAAGAAAAAATGAGTTATGGTGATAATTGTTTTGGTATGTGCATGAATCCCATATCATTTAGGAGTTGAGACCATCAATAGTTTATATACACTCTCCTCTCTTAATTAATTGTAGAGTCTTTTAAGAACAAAGTCACGACGGATTAGAACTTCAAAATGAACAATATCTCAAATAAAGAAATTGATCCTAATGATACTATCATAACATGTATGAATCTATTTTAATCCTAAAAAATCAACTTATAATTGTGATATTCACATTTTATTTATATATTATAAGGTACAATGTCCATAGGAGTTAAGACACTCAAATACTTTTTTACTTAGTAAAATAATAATTAATACTTGATCACATATATAATTAAGTTTAGTAGTATGTGTGAGTAGATTTTGTGAATGAGAAATAAAAAACAAAGTTTAAGGAGTTATATAATTAAGTTTAATAGTATGTGTGTTAGGTATGTTCGAGGGAGGACTAACAACAAGGAGATTATCACAAATGGGACATGAGTCAATCATATAAAAGAATATGACACCACCTTTAATCTAAAATCTTAAGATATTTAGTTATAGATTTTTCTTACATTATAAGTTACTTAACTTTCTTATTTTTACCTAATGTGAGACTTCAACTCACACTTAAATTCTCAATCATGTGAGTAGATTTTGTGAATGAGAAATAAAAAGCTAAGTTTAAGGAGTTTAAAGAAAATGTTTGAAAGGAAGTGGAGTCTAAAACTTAACGTGTGCATATTACTAAAAGACAAAAACACCAATGTTTTGAAAATTGGATGGAATTGATTTAAAAATCAGTTTTTTACTTTAGATGAATCGGTATAAAACAAAAAAAATAAATAAATAACAAAAAAAATTAAGAAAATCAATTAGACTTTTGGATCAAACCGACTGTGAAAAAAATGTTGAATTTCACAATAATTAATACTTGATCACATATATAATTAAGTTTACTAGTACTTGTTACTATATTTTGCAAATGAGAAATAAAAAAACTAAGTTTAAGGAGTTTAATGAAAATGTTTGAAAGTAAGGGAGTCTCAAACTCAATGTCTGTTTACTATTAAAAGACAGAAACACCAATGTTTTGAAAATTGGTTCAAAGTGATTAAAAATCAGTTTTTTACTTCTAAAAGAGTGGGATGTAGATGAATTGTATAAAAAAAATACAAAATTGGAAAATTTGAGAAAATATATGATTTTTTTTATCAAATCAATTATGAAAAAAAAGTTGAATTTTTAAAATGATAATTTTTTATTAAGGATATAACATTTTTCAATTTTTCTTTCGTTCTTTATTTCACATCGTTAACTTTAACCTCATTATCAATTTTTTACTCAACAAAATTTTATATATATAATATTCATTAGGACTATGTTAACAAATTTTATTGTTTTTTTTTATATCTATAAAAAGATATAGATAGAAAAAAGTAAAATATACAAGTTAAATAAAAAAATAAATTATGTACAATGATGAGAAATTATGGGGAAAAAATAAATTCACATGGTTTCATACTTGGTATAACTAAAAGTCATTATTCTATTTTTTTTCACAACCAACCAAATATTTTAAAAATGTACAAAAAGATAAAAAATACACGAGATTGTATACAAAAATAAATATAAAAAAGAAAATAACATCATCGGATATTGAAAGAAATTGGACAAATAAAGATTAAAAAGAAACCATATTAATATTGATGAATTTATTATATATTTATTATATTATAAAAATATTATTTTATATATTTTGGTTCAACCTCAGTTAAACATTAAATTGCAAATTCATGATAAAAGGAGTCTCGTCGTATTTGTAAAAGCACAGAATAAGATAGTTTCGTTGAAAATATATCACTATAAAGTATAATACAAAAAAGATAAACATAATTTAGTAAGTACGTGCAAAAACACGCTACATGAACAATGTTCCAATACGGTTATGGCTGGAATGGACAAAAATTACTCTTTATGTCAATATGAAGTGAGACATAGGTTAATTTTACGAATAATTATTATATGTTTGTTGGTTACTTGGAAAACACTTGTTATATAATAATAAAATGTTATATATTTTGCTATGTTAATGAGTTAAGGGTACATAAAGTAATTTATATAACATTTTTTTCTCAATCCACTTTGTAAAAAAAAATTATAATACATTATAATTATAATTATAAAATTGGTAATACCTCAAACGTAATTATATTTACTATCCAACGAAACTTAAAATGATACTCATGTAAATGAAAATGAGACATTAATATATTTTAATCACATTTATAAAGAATAATTATATCATATTTCAATTTAAAATTATTTAATTATTTATTATAATAGACATATTAATTAAGGAGATATAAAGAAAAGTCCCACATTATTTGTTTCAATTATTACTAATTGGTTTTCCATTAAAATTTAATAAACTATTCTCAATTATATTTGTTTAGTTCTATTTGTGAGATTACAGTTTTACAAATATAATCATCTTGATATATGGATCATAAAATAAACTCATAATATTTTAAAGCTTAAATTTAAATTCAATTCAATAAAATAAAGATTATTTTCCTTTAAATATTTTTTTAAAATGTTATTTTTAATAATTATATATATATATATATATATATATATATATATTTGGTGAATATCATTGCTAATTATAGCCAAGAAGATATACAGAATCAAAAAGTAAAATATGAAAAATGTCATGCAATATTAAGTATAAATCAATGACATTACGTTAAGAGTTACTGTTGATATTCACTTTTACAAAATAGTTTTTTGGGGCCATTCAAATAAACAAAATAGATCTGGCTCCTTAGTCATCTTCCACCAAATTACACGAGTATTACATGACTCTTGTATCGTTTGAGTCAAAATTAAAATAATTTATATATTTTTTCATCTTTAAATTTATAATAAAAATAATTTAAAAATGCTTTAAACTCTCAAAAACAAAATCATAATAAAAATAAATTTAAAATGGAAAATACCTTATTAATTTTTTAATAATTAAAAATAAAATTTTAGTATTTTATTTTTATTTTTTTACTGAAATTAATTTAATTCATAAATATAACAATATTATCATAACCAATATAAAAACTAAACGGAAAAAATATATATTTTTACGTCAAGAGTATTCTATTGTCTAAGAACAATTGTTCCACTAGTTTTTTTAGTAATAAAAAGTTGAATTCTAGTCTTTTGTTTTTTATCTTTTATCAAAATTGGTTCATCCCACAAATCAAACATTTGAATTTTGTCCTAATTTTATTAAAATCCGATTTCTATATCAGTTGACATAATTATTGTCATTGAAAAAAAAAGAGTATATGTTATTTTAACAATAATTTTTGCATAATATATTAGATTGATAAATATACATTAAACAATTAAGACGTTTTGAAAATACAACTAACGCAATTTGTGTGTATAAATTAAAGAGAAATTTTAGTTGATAAAAAATTGAAAATGATAAAGATATTAAAGTAGTTATAATGAGTAACCTATTTGTTATCATTTAAAAAATATGATTATATGTTTCTTTTGAAGTATTTGAAATTGAATTTTCTAACATGCAAACAACTAGTATCATTTTGACATTTTCAAGTAAATTGAAAGTATATAAAAAGTTCCACATTGAATAAATCATTCTTCAAATTCATTTATTTTTCTATATAAATGCCGTACTTAACAAAATGAAATTTATTAAGGTGTAATCTAAGTGCACGCAATTGTCATGTTTAAAGGTATGTTTTCAATTTCTTTCTTTTTTATTATTTTCGTTTCTGTACTTAGGTTATTCATTTTTATTTATATATTATAAGATAATTTTTTATTAGATTTACCTTATCTTTACATTTCATAACTCGCATGCACCATTTGTGGCGTACAAGTCTTCAAATTATCTTTAGCAGTACACCATGAGCTCATGCATCTCTGAAATATAGGATGCACGTGCCTTTCATTAAAAATTATGTTATTTATATTTATGTAATTCAATTAATCATCGATTAAACCAATAGTTTACTAAGCTATTCATATGAAAATTAAGGTTTATTATTTTTTAAAATAAAAAATATTATATTATTATTTTAATTTAGATGAAAATATTGAAATACTTTTAAATAATTTATCATATTTTTATTTTATATATATAATATACGAGTACATGAATGACTCTTTATATACAAGATATGAGTACATGAATGACTTTTTGTATATAGTATACGGGTACATGAATGACTCTTTGTATATAGTATACGAGTACATGAATGACTCTTTGTATATAGTATACGAGTACATGTAGGGATGATAATTAAACCCGTATCCCGTGGGGACCGACCCGTCCCCACCCCCGAGTTTTGTATATAATATACGAGTACATGTAGGGATGATAATTAAACTCGTACCTCGTGGGGACCGACCCGTCCTCATCCCTCGAGTTTGACGGAGAAAACCCGAGTTGACCGGGGCGGGCGAGTTTGAGTTTTACCAACTTTAAAAAGTCGGGAGTGAGGATGAGGACGGGGACAAGGATGGGTAATGCAATCCCCACCCCGACCCCGTTCTCGCCCGCTCCCGTCCCGCCCCGACTTTATATTTAAATTTAAATTTTAAAAGTATTTATTTTTCCTTTTTTATTACATATAAGATCATTTTTTTCTTCTACCCATTTTTTATTTTTTGTCTTTTTTAATCTTTTATATCAATTAATTTATTATATTATTCTTTCTCTTATCTTTCAATTTTTCACATTTCTTTAATCTCTCCCATCAATTTTTTTTTCAATCTTTTCAATCAATTTGATGAACACAAAGTTAATTTATTTTATTCTTTATCTTTTTCTGAATATTTTACATAAATCTTAGTAGTAACTAATATTATTTTATTTATAATTTATATTTATTAAGTTTTATTATGTCATATTTTTTATCTTATTATTCTTATTTATCATATATTAAATTTTATATTAATAAAATAATTGTATTTTAAAATATTAAATGAATTGATAATTTAAACTTTTATTACTTCGAACTAATTGAATAAGAATTAACTTATTAAATATTTCTTTATAAACTATATATTTTATATTTTTAAATGACAACTTAAAAATAAATTAACTTATATATATAATCAGATGTTTAAATACAATATTATAATAATAATGTTATAAGTATTCAAATATTTGAATACAAGTGTTATAATAATAATAATGTTATAAATAAAAAATGATTAAATATTTATTTTACATACATATTTGAATATAAATATACTAAATTAAAATATATATTTAATTAATAATTATTATAAATTATAAATATTTATTTATATATAAAAAATAGATAGTAAAATTAATTTATTATAAATGTAATTATCTTTTTAAAAATAATATAGATCGAGGACTGGAGGCGGGAACCCGAAACCCAACGGGGACAGGGATGAAAACTTAATTTCTAACCCCGGTGGGGATAAGGGACGAGGACGAAAATGGTTAAAAAAGTTGGAGGCGGGGATCGGGGAGGCAAAACCCGCCTCCGGGCCTGCCCCATCCTGTTGTCATGCTTAAGTACATGAATGACTCTCTTTGTATATAGTATATGAGTACATGAATGACTATGTATTACTGTCTATGTATAGTATACGAGTACGTATTAATGCCTATGTATAGTATACGAGTACGTATTAATGCCTATGTATAGTATACGAGTACGTATTACTGTCTATGTATAATATACGAGTACGTATTACTGTCTATGTATAGTATACGAGTATGTATTACTGTCTATGTACAGTCTACGAGTACGTATTAGTGGCGGATCTTGACCATTGATATTGGGGGGGTCAAATAATATATTATTAATAAATAATAAATAAATATAAAAGGAAGAAAGAATATGAAAGGTTGAAAAGATAAAATTGTAGATATATACTTAAATATATTAAATTATCATTAAGTTTAAAGGAAACAAAATCATAAATTATATGAAAGTTACAAAACTGAGGAGGGGCTGGGAGGATAAAATTGTAAATATACAAGTAAATATATTAAATACTCATTATATTTGGGGGGGCCAAAATCATTAATTGCATGGGAGTTACAAAACTTTGGGGGGGCCACGGCCCCCCTCAGCTTCCAAGAAGATCCGCCACTGTTACTGTCTATGTACAGTCTACGAGTACGTATTACTGTCTATGTACAGTCTACGAGTACGTATTACTGTCTATGTACAGTCTACGAGTACGTATTACTGTCTATGTACAGTCTACGAGTACATATTACTGTCTATGTATAATCTACGAGTACGTATTACTGTCTATGTATAGTATACGAGTACGTATTACTATCTATGTATAGTATACGAGTACGTATTACTATCTATGTATAGTATACGAGTACGTATTACTGTCTATGTACAATGTACTACAGTACACAGTTTACGAGTACGTATTACTATTTATGTATAATATACGAGTACGTATTACTATCTATGTACAATGTACGAGTACGTATTACTATCTATGTACAGTGTACGAGTACGTATTACTGTCTATGTACAGTGTACAAGTACGTATTACTGTCTATGTACAGTACGAGTACGTATTACTGTCTATGTACAGTGTACGAGTACGTATTACTGTCTATGTACAGTGTACGAGTACGTATTACTATCTATGTACAGTGTATGAGTACGTATTACTGTCTATGTATATATATATAATATTAACCTAAAAATTTTGTAACTCTCATATAATTTATGATTTTAGTCCTAAAATGAATATTTAATATATTTATAATTTTATTCTCTTATCATCTCTTCAATTTTGTAAACTCCTCGTATAATTTATGATTTTAGTATCTCAAAATTAATAATTATTTAATAAATTTATTATATATTTACAATTTTACCATCTTATTATTTTATCTTTTTTTATATTTATTTATTATTTATCAATAATATATTATGTAATCTTCCAAAATCAATAATCAAGATCATCACTGAATAAAATCTAAAGTTACACAAGTAAGAAATAAACACATTATATTATATAAAAATATACATACACATTAAAAAATTTACAATTTTTCATCATATACAAATAGGGATGAAAAAAATTGCATAATAAATATCTGTAGGTAAATAAATGAATATATTAAATAGCCACTAATGATATTTTAATTATCCAATTGTTAATGACAAAAATATTAGTATTCAACCATGAATACCCATTACCTGTTAAAAAGTTGTATTCAATATATTTTTTTAAGTATCTATAAATTTGTGGATATTTTTTAAATAAATATCTAATGAATACGAGTGTTGTTTTGGTAGGAGCGATAGCAGTAGCTCTATTGGTATTTAACTTGTTACCATCACTAAAAACAAACATATTAAATATACATTAAAATATTAAATATTAAATAATTTTTATATATTATATAAAGATGATATATATATATATATATATATATATTATTTTACTATATATTTATATGCATATATTTATTTTAATATACATTAAAATATTAAATATTAAATTATTTATACATTATATAAACATTATTTATATATATATATATATTCTTTATTTATTATGATTATTAATATATATATATATATATATATATATATATATATATATATATATTATGTTTCTTTGATAAAAGATTTGTTTATGTTATAAACTATCAGATGAAAGTAATCGCTTTAGAATTATTTTCAATTTATTTAAAATATAATTTTCAGAACTGATAGTTAACTATTATTCTACTAATACCTATCTATTTTCCCCCACCAACTATTTCTTCAATGTCAACAAATTCTTAATCTTTTATTTTTGAAGAAATTTCAAATTTTAAACACAAATAAAAAAATAAGAAACTTTTATAAATAGGTGTAAAAATAACGATTTTATTTATTTATTTATTTATTATTTTATGTCTTTATTCATAAAAATTAATTTAAGATGATATATTTTTAAATATAATATATTATTTTAAATAATAAGATTAGTTTATTAAAATAATAAAATTTTAATTATAAAATTAATCAAAATATATTTATTATATGTATTATTAAGTATAATATTCAATTTAAGTATATTAAATATAAAAATATTTAGGCAAAAAGATTAGTCCATTTAGATAAACAAAAAATTATAATCTATTATAAAATATATGTTAAGTTAGATCATTAAATTTAAATTTATCCATTTTATTCGTAAAAAAATATTTTATTTTTTTATTTATATCAATAGAATTGCCTAATCTCGTAACAATTATTCGAGAGGTGGTACTCTGATTAATTGAAGTACAATTTATAAAAAGGTACATAATATAAATATTTTTTTACACTCTTTCCATCAAACCATTTATTTTTTTATTTTGGATTTGAATCTATATATGAAAAAGTAGGGATGGCAAAACGAGTCGACCGCCCGCTTTGGCCTGCCCCATCTTTGGCCCGCCAAAGCGGAGTGATGGCTGACTCGATATAGTCATGACGGATCATAGACCTTAGCCGCCTCGCCAAGGGTGGGTTGACGAGCTAGCAGCTGACCGTCATAATTTAAAAAAAATAATTTTTTTTAATAAATTTAATAATAAGATTATTATTTGTTTGTCAATAATTCAATATATATATATATATATATATATATATATATATATATATATATATATAACGTTAAACTTATAAAATTTATATTTTTTATATTAAAAAATTCAAATACCTATATCTTTTTTATTTGATAAAACTTAATATTATACTTGGTTGAGTAATTCTTATACCTTTAATTCAAGTAATAAGGATAAATATAATCGAGTACTTAGGATAAATAAGGAGAACAGGAGAGAAGATTATATTTCGGGAAAGAGAATATTTTATGTGAGAATGAAACTTTTTTAATTCTCTTTTTAAATTTTTTAACTTTATATATTATCTTTATAATTAATTTTATTACAATAAAAAATTATTTTTTTATTAATTAGGCGGGTCGCGGCTTGGTCCATCCCGTCCCGTGGGTTGGTCCGACGGGTTGGCGGGCTTGGTGGGCGGACCAAAGCGGGCTGGTGGCTGAAAACACCAACCCGCCCGCCATATTATGGCGGTCTGCGGCCAACCCGCCGGCCTAGCTCGTTTTGCCATCCCTATGAAAAAGGTGTTTTTTTCCCCCTAAGTTTTATAATTACATATCTTCACATGAATACTGAACATTAACAAAATTATAATTTGTGAAGGAAATATGTAATATAGAATAAATAAATAAATAAATAAATATTTTATTATAAATCATACATATTAATTAGTTAATATTGGTTTAAAATTGTTTATATTATATAAATAATTTTATTTTAATTTTAAATATTTTTTCATTTTCTAAATATTGTAGTATCTATAATAAAATATTTATTTTAATTCTTAAATTGGAATTTGGAGATGCCGATATATGTTTTATATTAAAACCTATCATTTCATTCAAAATGTACATTATCTGGAAGTTTCCCCAAATTAAGAGAAAGAATAATTAGAGGAAATTGCAGGGGCTTCGTTCGTTTCTTCAATCAGGAAAACCCTCCCCTCAAAATTTTCCATCTGCCCTCCGCTCTCTCACTTTTTCACTTCCCGCTTTAATATCTCCCACTCTCTATTTCTCTCTCAAGAGTGAGTGTGGCTACATCTACATTACAGTAAGGTCCACTGTTTTTCTCTCCGCGAAAACCACTCTCTACCTCGTTCCAATGGCGTAGTAGTCGCTGTGCAAGTGAGTTTCCTTACCGATTAGTTCGATCTCCTTTGTCCTTAGTGTTTGAGTTCAAATGAAAACCGTTGCTATGCTTCTTTATTTACTCTCTATTTCGATCTCTCCTTTCCACACTTAGGATTTAGGTTATGCTTTTCGTTAGCTTCCATTTTAGGCTAAATTTTATGTTGTTAATTATTATTATGTCTTTGTTTCAATTTTTTCGCATTTATGCAATCGGATCTGTTTCTCTGTATAATTTATGGGAACACATTTTTCCTTCTATTTTTCCTTAGGTTTTAGGGTTTAGTTATTAACAGGTACCACGAAGATAAAATGAAATTAGTTTATCTAAATAAACTCAAAATTAGTTTAAGATTAAGGTGATTTTAGAACCTATGTCGTTTAGTTTTTTCAAAAGCTGTTTTTTACTCATTTATAAAGGTTATGTAAGAAGTAAGCTGAGTTTGGGTAAACTTCTAGATGCATACTTATAGAGGAAAAATAAATAAATGAAAAAATGACAAACTTTGGTGTAAGCTAATTTTTGATAAAGTTGATTTTAAGTTAGTTATGGATCGGGAATGGATCCAATAGGCTATACGTGTCTTCAAATTTGAATCCATTATGAAGTAACTTATTTATTTTTCCTTTTTATTTTATGCTCTTATAAATGTTTATGGAGAAGTTTGTATAAACATGTCATAGCACATTTTTACTTATTTTCTCCTTCTATTATTACAATGAGGAAATTGAGATCAACTGTTAAAGCTTTTTAAACGTTATAATTTTCTATTAAGAAGCAACCATTCCTTTGGTAAGAACCCCTTAGTGCCAGGTAAAGCTATTTCCACCGGTAAAGTTTCTTCAGGAAACTGTTTCTTGGTTTAAAGAAACCCTCCAAGCACCCCTGCTGGAGATGCCCTTAGTTCTAATTAAGAAAGAAGTTAATCAAACAGGGATTTACTGTTGTGGGACTTTGTCTAATTGGTAGTATTTTGAAATGAAAATTTAATGCTTCCTGCATCATATATTTTTAACCAGTTCCTGAGATAGATCGTTACTTGAACATACTATGGTATTAAGCATGTCTATGTTTACTTTTGCAAGTAATATATGAAATTCTTGTTAAATGGTTCATTTGGTGTTTGGCTTGCGCAGGTCAGATGAAAATGTAGCACCGTGACTGGCTAGTCAATTTCTGAATAGGAAGGAGCTGTTTCCCTCTCTATGTATTTCACGAGATTCAGAGCACTGCAGTGAATTGGGGTTTTGTTTCAACTAACCAATGGAGTGCAACAAGGATGAAGCTATGAGGGCTAAGCAGATTGCTGAAAATAAGATGCAAGCTGGTGACTATGAAGGAGGGCTGAAATTTGCTACAAAAGCCCAAAGGCTGTTTCCTGATATTCAGAACATTGCACAGATCCTTACAGTTTGTGAGGTCCATTGTGCTGCACAGAAGAAACGCACTGGGTCTGACATGGACTGGTATGGTATTCTTCAGACTCAACAGTCTGCTGATGAAGCAACGGTAAAGAAACAGTATAGGAAGCTTGCACTGCTACTTCATCCTGACAAAAATAAATCTGCTGGGGCAGAGGCTGCTTTCAAGTTGATTGGTGATGCTAACAGAGTGTTGAGTGACCAAACGAAGCGTACTTTGTATGACTCAAAGCTTGGTGTTCCTGGGGGAAATACAGCAGCTAAGGTTGCACCTCGTCACCCAAATGGAAATGCTTTTGGGACAAAATGTGATGGAAATTCAAGAAATTTTCAGAACAGTTTTAACTCACAACCCCAAGCTTGGAATTCATATCATCGGGTTGAAAATCAGACATTCTGGACATCTTGCCATCATTGTAACACGAGATATCAATACTTCAAAACCATTTTAAATCACACCATACGCTGTCAACAATGTTCTAAATCCTTTACAGCTCATGATATTGGGAACCACAATGTGCCACCAGCATATTGGTCACCTTTTAAGAACCACAATGAGTCTCCACAACATGCATCATCAAAAGAAGCGTTCAAAAGCAATGGTGGAAAATCATGTGGTAGAGAAGAGGAGGGTGTATCAATGTCAAAATGCACTGCTGGAGTTGGTGCCTATTCTAAAGTTGCGAAGAGCAGAAATGGCCATGTGGCTGCGGGAGTGACAATGGCTGGTGTTGAAGGGTCCAGCCCCACTAAGTCTAAAGCCAAGGAATCACAAGCCTCGACAAAGGTTGGATGTAAGAGAGGGAGGCAGTCAACTTTAGACGATGATAACAAAAATGGAAATGGTCGAGGTATGAAAGATACGAAGGATCAAGAAAAAAAGGTTGATCCTCATAGGACATCTTCAAGTAAGAAAGACCATGTTCTGTACCCAGAAACCAATAAAGAAGGTGAGTTTGGGAGTTCTTCCAAAAGGCCACGACGTCATGAATCATTTACCCCACCTAAAGTCGAGGAAAAAGAAATGCCAGCAGCTGGTGGGTTGTTCAGTGACCTTAATCCAGCCTATTGTGCTTCTGGTGTGGGTGTTCAAAATGTAGAGACAAGAAATAAAGCAAGTGAACCACCTGAAGAAACAGTTTTGAGGAATGAAACCAAAGTTGAGAAGACAAATGTGCAAAGAAAGGAGGTATCCTACTCAGATCTCAATGATAGAAAGTCAAAAGCTGACAATTGTTCTCCAGTGAAGTCTAGTTTACCTCCCAGTTCAGAGATTTTCTGTCCTGATCCAGATTTCAGTGATTTTGAGAGAGATAAGGCAGAGGATTGTTTTGCTGTTAATCAATTATGGGCTATTTTTGATAATAATGATGGCATGCCACGATTCTATGCTCTTGTCAAGAAAGTGTACTCCCCTTTT